TGAACCCTACATTTCTCTTATTAAAAAAAAGGGGAAGTTGAAAAGGTGCAAAAGGGTGTGAAGTTTCACAGCTCAATCTGAGGTTGTAACTGGAAATGCAAGAGATGGAACCGTAAACAGACAGAGGACTAGAACAATGAAGAAATGATAGATAAGTGTGTGCAGTATGTCACAGCAATAAAGCACAACTGTTTTTACTCTACAGAGGCAAAAACTGAGAGAAATTGGTTCATTTTTGGTATTGTGTATTTTGTTGTATGAAAAAAAAGGCAGTGTTTGTATAAAAAAGGGTTCAAGTGTGCCGCTTGAATATTGTGTGTGATACATGTAGGTGTTTGTTGTGTGTTGTCATCTAATATTCATTATTTGTGTAGTATATGCATACCCAATAACGAGCTTCTGAGGCTAACCATGCATTCATTGTGCCTAGGGAAGATTTATAAGATTACTTTATTTGGGGATACCAAGTATCAGGTAGTTGAGGGGTTAGTAAGGCCACTCCTCCTTTGTTTCCCTGTGTATAAGATGATTGGTAGTGGAAATAGAAACTATAAATATCAAGGCTGTCCCTTGAGAGACTTTGAATGATCTCTTTTTACCTCCGCTGTTGACAAAGCTGTTCATATTTTGAAATAATTTACTTTTATCTGACTTCTGAAACTGGTCTGATCGAAAAGTCTTCCCAACAGGTAAACTTTTTATTAAACTCTTTCTTGTACAGTTTAAATGATAATAATGATGATAGTCATTATATATCTTTGGATTCACTATGAGATACACTGTGGTTAAAGGTATATTTAAATATGCCATATAACGACTAATAATGTATTATTCTCTTTTCCTTTTTTGGAATAGAAATGACTATGAAAGGGAAGGATAAGTGGACTGCCACAGTAAAAGAAAAATTCAAGAACAGCCCCTTTACAGCAAATTTTTGTTTTGGAATCATACTTTATTGCTTTGAGAAGATTGTCAAGATCGAGTTTGCATGCCCTTGTGCTGATGGATGGAATCTTAGGATTGCTGCAGTGTTCTTTGTTGCTCCAGCTCTCATTGTCTTTATGATCATGTTTGTGATGCGTGGGTGCAGGTGTGGGGTGTCGTGCTGTTCAAATTTCAATAACAGCTTAGTCCCTGCCCTAACGTGGCTGATAATAGTACTTCTTGATGGCCGGTATTACACCTGTGCGAGGACAAACTGGTCAGGAAAATATGAAGCCATTGAAGGCGCCGAACCTCATCGATGGTGTAAACCAACCAACATTTCTCAATTAAACCAGTATCTGAGCAAGAGTCAGAGATGGTACTCTGAATCTCAGGTAAGAAACATTTTCTCTCTAAAGTTTTGCACTAATCAGTCATTTGGTATGTCAGTCTCAGAACCATTTGTGTATTTTCTTATCTGGCCTAGGTCTTTGGATTCATGGTGCTTTTTGTGCTGACTGTATTGTACTGCATCTCTTGGTGCTGCCGTGACACAAACGCAACCGAAGAAAAAGAAGTTAAGGAATTTGACATAGAGATGGAAGGTGTAGACCTATAGACTCTGTATAAGTCTTAATTCCACTGAAAAACAACTGAAAAACATGAATTAAAGACTTAAATTGTCATTAAAATAATATATTTATGGATTAACAGAATATCTGAGCTAAAGCATCATTTGCAGTACAAATTGATGGAAAAGGAACACTTTTTGGTCATATTGTATAGAGGTCCTTCTCCTAAGTAAGTTTCTGCCCTCTAAACTGTGCATCAAAGTAATGTTTGAATACAATATGTTTTTAGTTGTTTTCTTGTCATTTATTCCGCACGGGTGTAAAGAAGTGAAACCATTATTTGATTCGACCTGTGTTAGTTTACTTAAATGGTTCATCAATATGAGAGACAGTTTTTTCAGCTTGTGTCATCTTAAATATGTAGAATTGCTCCTTTTCCTCCTTGTGTGTGTACTGTGTTTATTATACATGATGAGCATTATTCATTAATATGAACAGAATATTGGCAGACAAACTGTATCCTGACTTTGTACATAGTTTCACTTATTTTGTTTGTTAGTATACTATTTTTCCTTGTATCCAGTCTTCATGCAATCATGGATTTTTATTTTTATTTCTTTGAATAAAATTAAAGATATTTTAATCATTTACCACAATGAGTGATTGTTTTTATGCAGGAAAAGCCACAAACCTGAATCTTCAATAGCACCCATTTTTGCTCCACAGTCATTTTTTATTTTCTCAAGTCACTCATGTTTCATCTTTTTCCCATTAAGAATCATTTTACAAAATAATCTAACAAGTGAAATGCAGATGAATGTTAGAAACAATCCAACTGCTAATAAAGTTAGGATGACGTCAAGAGAGCTATACACAAACCAGGACATTCTGTGCGACTGTGTCTGCAGATGACGGGCTCCCTTGTGTCTCATAACATACTCTATCCAAAACATTGCCTGATCCAGAGGTTTGATGGGCTGATCTCGGTGCAGCTTTGAGAGTCTCTGCATGTTTTCTTTGAAGGTGGAATTGTAAAGAATGGTTGTCAGTGCCTCTTTAAAGATATGCCTGTCCAGCGTGGCAATGTCCACAATCACAGCTGCTCCCTTGGATTTGATTCTGGAGAGATTATCAGGCTGATCGAAGAACAATGGAAGTCCCACTACAGGAACCCCGTGGTAAATTGCCTCTTGAACTCCGTTGGTACCGCCGTGGGTCACAAATGCTCGAGTTTTGGGATGTCCCAGTAAGTCTTTTTGTGGCAGCCAGCTAACAAGCAGTGTGTTGTTGCCTAGATTGGTTGGCCTTTGTCCCATATACCTCCAGATAACCTTTTGCGGCAGCTGACCAAAGGCTTCAGCAATTTCTTCGGAAATATCTTGGGGTAGCTTTCCGATCAGAGTTCCCAGAGTCATAATTATGACTCCGTGATCTCCAGAACTCTGAACAAACTCCTCTAGATCAGTTGGGAGAGCATTTGGGGGCTTACACTGAAATCCACCCATGTAGACAATATTTGGCATCGTTGGACGTGGATATTCAAAGACAAAATCACTTCTCATGAGCCATATATCAGCATTCAGGAAAAAGGTGGAGTAATGCACATCAGGCCCAAAATAGTGCCTAACTATTGGTTTGTAGGCAGGTTCTGTGATGTATGACAGAGTGTACATTCCTGCAATGTAGCTTAAAACATTCTTTACCCGTTGACCGAAAGTCATTTTATCTGTCAGCTCTGTCGCAGTAAATGGGATGTATGCCAGAGGTGAGGGAGCCATAAGGAAGTGGGCCTCTCCTTGAATGGTCCATCTGACATTGAAAACTAGAGGAACTTGGAGCCTCCGTGCTAACATGGCTCCTCCTCCGATGCCAGGATCAGTCAGCACCACGTCGTACTTAGCCGCATGGAGAGACTCCATCAGGCTTTTGTCCTCAAACATGTGGACGACTGTATCAGCGACTGCTTTGTGAAACTGTGAGAACTGATCCAAAACCAGCCGCTCTTTTTGAATGTTGGTCCAGATGTGGGACCAAAAGGATGAGGATTTTCTCTGAAGCTGTAATTCCAACTGTTGGGACAAAAACACTTCAAAGTTTTCCTCGAATCCACCACGACAGGAAAGGGTGACCGAAGTGTAGAGGGGAGAGTTTTCACTGATGTACCAGCTGTCCGATGTACGAATCACAGTGACGTTGTGGCCTCTGCTATGCAACTCCTCTATGAGCACTTTCATGTTTACCCAGTGACTTCCATCCAGTGGGAACACCAGAATTTTGCCCCCTAATGTGTTGGATAGATGTATGACCAGCAGAGCAAAGGTGAACAAAAGCAAGCGAGGTGCCATCATGGTGACCTTAGAAAAACACAAAAAAAAAACATTAATAAGCTCCTCCTAACTGGTTTGCAGACTGGTTTTAAACATTTCAAAAGATGCAATGGAAAAAGAACAATGAAACTCCCAATAACAAGACGAAAAATGTCTGGCAGCTGAACAAAAAAGGACGGAGAAAAAAAGTCCAATACATACAATATATCAAGTATCCCAAAATAACCACACCATGAGCAAACTAACGCTTACAAAGGGATATATTAATCCCACAAGGAAACCACATTAAATGAAAAATCACCTGAATGAGTCAAAACTTACAACACAGAATTAGCTGACAGACTTGAAACTTGAGACTTGAAAACTTTGGCAAAAGCCCAAAAAGAAATTGCACTGTGAAAACAATATGCGGTACCAGAATCATTAAGGCAAACACTGTTCAAGTTTATGGTTTCCTTGATTCTTTTTCAGATTTTGGACCCTAGGACAGAGAGCTGTGTGCGAGAAACCTGTTTCATTAACTTGTCATGGTTTCAGTGGAGAATGCATCAAAATATCCACAAAAACATCTTAAAAAATCAAATTGGGACAGGTCCATGTGTCATCACACAGGTCAGATATGAAATTAGCATCTCATCTGTTGGTCACATTTATATTTGTACTTTCAATACCTGGTATACCAGTCAACATAAACAACAGTGAGACAAATATCCTGATACAGAAAGATGGAGACAAACAACACTCCATCTAAAACAAAACTATAAAAAACACACAATTAGAACCATTTCTGTGGATGTGTCTATCACTGACACGATAATGTTATGTCATATGACTCACATCTCGTGCCAGCTTTGACGCTAATGTGTTTCTAAAAGCTTTTTATTTTGTAATATTCGAGCATCTTACCTACATCCAGGACAGGCAAAACCGTTTGGATCTGCAGGCGAGAAGTCACGGTAGTTCAATGGGGCTTTGTGTTTTGCTGAACACAGCGCCCAGTTCAACTTTCAGAATCATGACTATTACATGGTGGGCAGTTACCTGCCTGTAGATAAGGATCCTGTTGTAAAATGTGTGCACCGGTCAATGAACTGCCAGAGCTCAGAGTTCAGGTTTGTTCTCAAACAGCTGTGATTCCTGGTTGATTTGTTGTGCCATCTAGTGTTAAGTCAGTGCATAACCTTAACGTGTTTAATGTTAGGGAGTCGACTGCACCACTGTCCTGAAATCACAGGAAATGATCACTGTAAATGATAGTTTTAGTTTGAAATGTTGTCTTGAATTGTCAGACACACGTTGGTCAGCTCCAGCAGGGTTGTATATGAATCAGGGGCCCTCTTTCAGCAGCATTCTGGCGAGCTCCTTAACTTATGTTAGCTTGCATGTCAGCAGTGATAATATCAGTGTCATAGCAGCAGAGTTCTGTCATTTTATATTTGAGAATGTATTTCTGTTATTCATAACTTAACCTTTTATATACTATATTTCCAAGTCTGGGCAAATACTTGCTTCTGATCCTGACTCAAAGCAAAGTTTGTTACATGGAGTATAGACAGCAACTTTACACACAGAGAGCCAGAAAAAAGCAAACACTACCACAGCTTTTCAGTTTAGCCCCATGTCCAGGTTGTGTAAACTGCTGTGTGACATTTAAGTTAAAGACTGAAAGTTATGAAGGGTGAGTCAATTCATGGCTATTTCAGAGTGTAATAATAAAAAGATTCAATGGTAATGTTGCAAGGGTGATTTTCTTTTCCAAATGTGTTTGATTTATGCAGTACATGAACCTTTTGATGCATTTGGTGTTTTCAATAAGAACCAAGGCAGATAAAGAACAGAACTCACTGACAGCACTAAGCCATGTCAGAGACTCAGGACCACAACTTTAAACCAGAATAGATTGAGTGGTAAACGCACTATTAAAAAAAGTCAATTCTCACATTGGTTACACCCCAGTTTGGTCATTTGTGTCAATACAAACTTGTTGGAGTGTGGTGATGTCTGTGTATGATATTGTGCTGCTGTTTTCTGTCCACCTGCTCACCTCTGCAAAGATTTCCTGCAATTTTGTGGGATCAAAGTTGTTGTCAGATTTATTTACCCTAAAGGTTTCTCATTGGAAATGATTCCCCTCTAACACAATCAGCAGTCTAGCCCAAATTGTTCTTTATAATATCACTACCTGGATTCTGCCTGTTTTAATTCTTTCTGGATAAAAAAAAATCTAATTAGGCATAAATTGAACTTTTTATTTTCAGTTCAATTGTGTGTAAATTTAGATTCAAATGTAATTCACAGAATGGAGCAGAGGGTTCCCTTAACCCATCTCTAGTTATGACTATTACAGGACTTGGGCTGTTAATAGTATAACAATATCTGTTTTATATTCTTATTTATTTGATATATGTTGTTAGAATCAGAAGATGTTTTTTTTATTCTCTTTGGGGGTCTTTATGAGTATGTAAGCTGACCCCAGATGTGTCCCACTGAGATGAAACCATCTGTAACAAATCATTCCTCATAGAAATTAATCAACACATTTAGATGGCTCCACCAGTATGGGCGAGAGGAAATCAACCAAAAATAAATAAACCTCCAACAAAGTTATCCTGTGTAAAGTCAGTCAAACGTTGGGGGCGAGTGTGCGCCGTGGGTTAGTGATAAAGCTGAGCCTCCAGCCTCCCTTTGTTGTTGTTCTCACGCTAACATGCGAGATCCGAGGAGCAGACTCGCCTGCGCGGTCGCATTCCGCCCTGACTTCCCCTCTGCCAGCGGCCTGGTGCTTTGAGATGAACAGAAGATGTCGGTTTCGGGGCTGAAGGCCGAACTGAAGTTTTTGGAGTCAATCTTTGACCCAAACCACGAGCGATTCAGAATCATAGACTGGAAACCCGACGAACTCAGCTGCCAGTTCAACGTAACCGGCGAAAAGCTGCTGATCATTCACTGCAACATCACGGTGAGTCCAGGCCGGCTCCGCGCCCGAGCTAACAGCCCCCGACAGCCCGCTGCAACCCGGGCGCTCCGCGGGACCCTGTTTACCGGGGGAACGGCTCGAAAAACGTCGGCTATTTTTGGTTCCCCCCCTCCCATAGTCAACGGTAGCGAGACCAGAATTGCAGTTAGCCGGACAGGCAGACGCACGGACACGACGTTAAATGAACATTAAAAAAAAGTATTCAATGAGACGCGAGTTGGTAACGACGCTGCGGTAGCCGCTGCTAGCCCCGAGAACTGAAAGTAACGCTAGCTTGCTCTGTTAGCCAAAAATAACTGCGTTACCTCCTCCAACGCTAGCGCTATTAACTTTCAGCTTATTTTTACATGTTCAGTTGACTAACCAAATGATCATTTAATCGAAGTTTCGAAGCACTTATATGATGTCACGTTAAAAAACAAAAAAACAACAACAACAACAATGTATTTAGCAATACGTTTGGAAGCCAGACGGAGGGCTGAAGTCCCGCTGGCGTCTGTAACGTCAGATACAGGCAATTTAATGGAATGTTGATCACTGTTTTTTTTAACACTGTTCAGTAAATAGACTGATCCCCTTAATGAACCGTTTAAAGCGGCGAGGTTAGAGGCTCGGCGACCCAACGCCAGAAACCCCTCCAAATGCACGCGCACTCTTCCCCCGCGCTCGGTTTTGTTTTTGCCCGTTTATTTAATTAATTGCCAACACAAAAGATGGGGCCTCGCACTTCGCCGCCATCGGTTAGTGAATTACCGGGGATTTTCGCCCCCACCCGGAGGTGTGCTGAACGCCGCCGGGGCGCAGCGGTAGTCACGGCGCCTGTTTTTGTCTGCTTCAGGTGGCACAGGCGAGGAGCCTTCTCGACATCCTGACCACATCCTCCTCTCTGTGCAGAAACGCGTACACGGGTCGTTCCACTTTTGCTCCTTCACGAGCAACAACCGGGCTTGAATATCATATTTAGGCCCCGCTCAAGGACCCGCTTGTTACGGTGACAGGTTACGAATTTGAACAAACCTAGTGTTTCTGTAGTCAGAGAAAGGTGATGTGATTTGTCTGACGGGAAAGTTGGCCGTGAACGCACTCCCACACAAGCTGCAGAGTCTAAAAACGCAAATTCTCGCTAAGACACGGCCAGTGTTTTTTCATCTGCTTTGTGTTTGCTAATGAGGTGTTTTCAAGTGTGCTGCCTTGCTCCCTGGTATGAACCCACAGTTTGTGAAGCCCAGAGTTCCAGTTTTCTGACCAGCTGCATAGTAAGAAAAACCACAGACTATCTCCTGGACCGTGGGTGTGCCGGCAACATTTACTGCTCCATCCTCTTTTCTGCTCACCTGTATGGCGTATTACACACTTACAACAGGGTTTAGGAGGTATTTCAATACACACTGTGTGCCTTTGATAGCGACATGGAAAAAAAAAAACATTCTTCTGGGAGTGTCAAGAAATGTTAATGGAAGAGACATTTCCCAGAGCTTGCTTTTTGCATCGTGCCGAGCGTCCTCCGAGCTCTACCCAAGCACCGTTGTGTAGTTTTTCCATTCATGACAATGTGTCGCCTGCTGTGAAAAGCCTGATAGAAAATGAGCAGCAGCTGTAGAGGAAGTCCAGGCCAAAGGCTGTGCACGTTCGCCAGCGCTCGCACATGAAAACAACCATTGATGAGCGAAGCAAACCTGCACAACATCATACTTGTCTAATTTCTGTTCTGTCAAACCAGGGAAGACAACATGCAATGTTTCTCTAGTTCAAGCTGCAAAAGTCAGAGAGGCATCGAGGACTGGAAAAGCTTCAGAACTCATTAATGTAGTCAAACTTTCCAAATTGAATACATGTGAACTTTGGGTCATAACTGATGGATTTGTGCAGTCGTACACTGTGGATCATAACAGACTTTGTATATCTGGCAGAAACTGAAGCCTTTTTTTAATATATGAAGCCATGGAAAGCCAGTCTTTGCTGGTTTCTTTGCATAGATGGCTTATTGCAGTCCACTAGGCATTGTATTTTATATCAGTAATGGCTTCCCCCTCCAAATTTGGTAGCTTTCAATTTGTTTCTTGGTGCTCCACCTCAAGCAGATGGAGATGAAAGCAAGGGTGCCCTTTTTTGTGAAATATAGGGAGTATATAAACTTGTGATCCCACACAGCTTCCCTGATGTCTTCAGATGTCCACATATATTTGAATCCCCTGTGTTAAAGAGCTGACAAAAAGTGTTGGGGGCTCCGGATATGTGCAGATGATGACTGAATCTTTCATAATGACATCTTTCTGACATTAAAAGTTTCAACGTGCAGCTGGTAATTCCGATGAGGGAACTCTGTGCCGTAGCTCAGTGTAAAGTCCAGGCACTGTGTGTACATTTAGCTGAGCAAAACTAATTCCAATGTAATGTATTCAATGTTTTGTGGAAGTCTGTCTGGAGCCCCTGAACAGCTCCTCAGTCATATTCCAATCCCTGTTTTTCTGTTTTAGTGTTTAATTATGATAAAAAGACCATTTCCTCCATCGTAAGCTGTGCAAACTGGGGCTCATTTGTCGTTGAATGTTTACAGAACAGCCTAACTTGGGCTTCAGAGCAGAAAAAAGAGCAGCTTGTCGTCGGTGCTCTACGGTGTTCTACAGCCGACAGAAGGCTCCCGCTTTGGTTCAGTGGGTGGCTGTGTGGGCTGACACATTTGGTTTAAAGTCGTTTGAAGCACTGAACAAAACTTTCAGCACTTTGCTCTGGGCAGCATTAAGTCGGCCTCAAATCTCTAATGCCCAACAGTTAACCCACAGTAGAGTGAAGAATAGAGCTCTGAGTCCTGAACCAGCTCAATCATTGTGTTTTGTGGTCTGCCGCAGGAATCCTACCCCTCCACTCCACCGATATGGTTTGTTGACTCTGACGATCCCAGTCTGGCTGAGGTGTTGGAGCGCCTGGAGGATGTGAGGAAAGGAAGCACGCTGGTAAGCCCGCTGATACGAATCCGCCTTCAAAGGGGACATAATTGCAGTGTCATTAGCGGCCTTTGTTTGGAGCACCTGGGAAAACTCCCAGAGTCAACAGCGCCACGTCAAGAACTTCACGTTTTGAGCACTGTGCTGTTTTTAAGGCTGCCACCGACCCTGCGCGGGTATTAAGTTAGTTCTTCATCATTCAGAGCATATTGATGTCAACTTAATGCTCAAGAAGGAAAAAAGCAAACATTTCATGCTCTTTAGTTTTGATATCATCAGAAGCCCTGCTGGCTGAGACTTGGATGTATCCCTCTACAGAGGTATTTTGCATCCTAGGATGCTAACTGTTCCCTAATCCAGCACAGAGTGGTAGCAGAGCATCCTGTAACCCATCGGTTAAACGGGCCCCCAGCCTCAACATCCACATTCCAGTTTGTGGACAAAGTGAACTTGACATTGAGATGTGGGTGGAGGCCAGTTCCAGAGTTCTCAGCCGAGTCTCAGCACAGCTCTCAGAATCTTAATGTGGCCTAATGTGTCCCCCTGGTAGTTTTTCCTGATCCCTTCTAAAAAAATATACAGTGAACTGAAGTTGGGGGCCCTTCAGTGCCTTATTCATAATAATGTTTTGACTTAAACAGCGAGGATAGTCACACCATGGTGTGATATTATGGTCATCGGTGTCTTATTAATGAATGAATCCCTTCCTTTGTGATGCTTCTAGCTTCTGCAGCAGCTGAAGCGCCTCATTTGTGACCTCTGTCGACTCTACAACCTGCCGCAGCATCCAGACGTGGAAATGCTGGACCAGCCGCTGCCCGCTGGACCAATCACCCAGGAGCGCAAAGTAAGCAGGAGCAGGCCGAGCTGGTAGTGTTTGTGCTGCCCGTCCAGCCGGTCAGTAGCTGTTAACGCCACATGTTTAACTCCCCCACAGCACGGGCCCACCGACGAGGTGACGTCTGAAGAGGAAGAGGAAGAGGAGATGGGAGAGGTGCCTATATACGTTTCTGATAGTTGGGTGGATTTCAGTTTAAGAAACCCCCGATTGTCCGCTGGGTTTCGCATTCATTCTCACATGCATTTCCATTGGCTGTGACAGCAGGACATAGACCTGGACCAAGACCTGGACCACTATGACATGAAAGAGGAGGAGCCGGCAGAGGGTAAAAAGTCAGAGGATGATGGAATTGAAAAGGAAAATCTGGCCATCTTGGAGAAAATACGGAAAAACCAGAGACAAGATCACTTGAATGTAAGTGTCTGCTGAGTCAGCATTTCTCCCGTATCAAAAAAACCCAGTGATGGAACAGACGGGGGAAAGCCGCTCTCTTATGTTCAAACAATGGCAGCCCCCTCATTGTTGCTCAGCACACAAAAAAAACAAAAAAACAAAGCGGGCTGTGCCTCTGAGGGGAGTGTTGTGGGGGTTTTCGTTTTGACCCGGTTGGCCGTCCGCAGGGTGCAGTCTCTGGCTCGGTGCAAGCCTCGGATCGCCTCATGAAGGAACTCAGGGAGATCTACAGGTCACAGAGTTACAAAACAGGTAACTACATGAACGTTTGCCGTGCCGATCTGTTATTATTTTTTTGCTTCAAACTGTTCTGAGCAGCTTTGTCTTTCAGGTATTTATTCAGTGGAGCTACTCAACGACAGCCTTTATGAATGGCACGTCAAGTTAAGGACGTAAGTTCTGATTTTTTTTGGGGGGGTGGGGATTAAGCAGCTCTGTAAATGTTACGGTACATGAAGGCTAACTGGTTTATTCTCACTTCAGGGTAGACCCAGATAGTCCATTACACAGTGACCTGCAGGTTCTAAAAGAAAAGGAAGGCGTGGACTACATTCTGCTTAATTTCTCTTATAAAGTGAGTGATGTGGGAGCATTCTGGTCGCCAAGCTTTAAAGAAGGGTGTTTGTTGGAGTTTTTCTCAATTGTTGTTGTCAACGTGTGCTCCCTCTGACAGGATAATTTCCCTTTCGACCCACCTTTTGTGCGGGTGGTCTCGCCTGTGCTCTCCGGAGGGTAAGTGGTGCTGGTGTGCTCACACAGGACTTCACACACTCGCGTCACACACTCGCCTCACTGTTCATTAGCCGCCCGTACAAACGCGAGCACAGTCAGCCGGTCAGCTGCTGTCAGCTCAAAGTTTTCACATGTTCTGTTCTGTTTTGTTTTTCTAGTTATGTTCTAGGAGGAGGAGCCTTGTGCATGGAGCTTCTCACTAAACAGGTGTGTGTTTGTGAAACCGTGTGCCGGCGCGTGCTGGCCGCAGGACTGAGTGTTTTCCGGTGTGTGTTTCCAGGGCTGGAGCAGTGCCTATTCCATTGAATCTGTCATTATGCAGATAAATGCAACTCTGGTGAAAGGCAAAGCCAGGGTGCAGTTCGGAGCCAATAAGGTAAAGAACACCCGGCCGGGGGTCGATTACTCTGTTCTTATTGCCACCCTACATACCGTGTCATGGGTTTATACAGAAAAGGGTTTTATGTTTTGTGGGAACTGCTGCCTAACGTAAAAACAGAGGGGTTGTGCGCCTGGCTCTGACTCACCGAAGCGACTCAACTGAATGTGTTTCCCTCTAGAACCAGTACAATCTTGCAAGAGCACAACAGTCGTATAAATCCCTGGTGCAGATTCACGAAAAGAACGGTACGTTGTGGTTTGAAGCGTCGGCGAGTCTTAGTGAGCGCCCAGTGGCATGCCCCCATAAGGACAGGAGTGTTTCTTCTCTTCCAGGCTGGTACACACCACCTAAAGAGGACGGATAATGAGGGGCCTCCACTATGCACTAGGAACACGTCTTTGGGTCATCTTGTTTTCATCTGAATATTTTCCCTCTCTGACTTACTGGGAATATATCATCTGTCTCACGGAAACCATCTCGTTGGCTCTTCTGACAAGTATTCTTTCGCTGTGCCCCTGGAAAGACTCAACTCTGGTCTCACGTCCGCCCTCAGCATCTCAGCGAGGAAGAGGAGGATGTGAGGATACCGCTCGTCCTGTTTTCTAGATATGCTCATTTGTCTTTTCGAAAAAGAAGAGGGGGGGAAAAAAAACAGACTTTTCTCCCCTGTAAGTGTGGGGAAATGCTTTTTCTTTAGCTGCTTTGACAAAGTGGGCCCCCACAGGCAGTTACCCCTCTGAATGGGAATTTTAAAGGAAGATTGATACTGAAGCTCTTGGAGTGGCACCTCATTGCACCAGTTTTTAATTTACTGTGATTTTTTTTTTTTTCTTTCCTTCTGTTTTTCTTTTGAAAATGAACAGGTACATAAAGGCAAATACTGTTTTAGACATATTTTCTGGCAATTATTTTTGTTATTTGAGCATCCTAGATAATAAAGGAGCCGAGTTCTTATGTTCGAAGCTTATATTGAAATTGAGATTATCTACCACCCTGTATCAATAGCTTACTTTTTAAATGTTTGGGGACAAAAGAAACAAAACAAACTTCTAGTCACGCTGCGGTGCTGTTGAAGGAAGGTAGCTGATCAACAAACCCCCCCCCGTGGTGAGCAGGATGTATCTCTGCATCGTGCTTGTCTAGAGAAGAAAAACCTTTTTGTCAGCAGTTCTAACAGGCCTAACGCTGGAGCCGAAAGGCTCTTTGCTTTTTTTTTGCCTGATCTCTTTTACCGCCCCGTTAAGTGCATACCTGGCTGTGAGTGGTCCCGGCAGTGGACGGCGGTGTGGACGGCGGTGTGGACGGCGAGGCCCGCCGTGTGCAGAGGAAGGCGTGTTGTACAGGAGCCTGGTCTCCGCCGTGTGTGGGGCTGGTTTAGCGGAGGAAATAAAGAGGATGTACAGATGTTGGATCTTTGGTCATTCTTCTGCCCGTTTTCACCAAATTTGACGTCGTCTTCACTGTTAAATTAGACATGAGAAAAGGCGGTTGCTTTAGGGCGGTAGTCTCTCGGTAGTCCTCTCACAGAAACCAGCCGGTACGAAGCAGAGGCAGGACGGGTGAAACCCCAGCAGGCCCCCGGGTTGAAAACGGAGCTGCTTCTGTGTGTGGTCTCTGTTTGCGGCGTTTTGACCGGAGATCCCGATCCTCTAAAGCCGGTCGGTAAGGTGGCGGCAGGACTCAGTGGTTAAATCAGAAGTGCCATATCCTTTAGAGGGGACCAAGAGGATGTTGGGCGACTGGCCGCGCTGCATTCGGGGTCTAAGGCTCCTTCACTGAAGCATCAGGGTGTGATGGCACCGCCTTGTTTTCTGTTTTCCCCTGCAGTTTCTTAACCCGCTTACTCAAACGTGGAAGAATAACCCAAACTAAATGACAGTTTAAGCATGATTGAATTGCCATAATGAGGGATCAGTGATTAAAACCATCCAGTGAAAGTGGAGTTGGTCCTGTCCATCCTCTGTGGGACGTGTTTTCATGTGACTGTTGGAGAGGGATCGTTTGTCACGTGTGGAAAACCTAAAACTCAGTACCCGTAGGAAACTTTCCATTCTTAACCACGAAGATGCAATATCCTGCTGTCCTCTGTACCACAGAGCAGGCACTGTATCTATCAATCTGACGGCTTTTTTGCGGCACATTTGTCAGTGTCGCAAAAGCGTCCAAACGGCAACTCAGGTAACAAAGAACTTTCGTGCTGGGGCTCACACACGTTCCTGTTATCGGTCACTTTCTGGGATGAATTAGCGCTCGGCACCACTGATGTTTGGCCCCTCACCACCACCCCTCAGCCGATGTCAGAAACAGCAGAAGTCGCATGTTTGTTGTTTTATTGTTGGTTTTGCTCTGGTTATTCAGGCAATGAAGGGTGGAGAGGGTTACACAGGGGGTCTGGGATTCCAGTAGCATGATGAGCTCCTGTGTCTGTTGTAATAGTTGCTTTTGTACTCCCAGTTGTAGTTTGTGATCTCAAAGGATTTTCAGATTATGGGGTTTGCACAGCTGGCAGCGACGTGCCTGCAGAGGTGATCCAACGAAAGACGAGAGCCGGCTTATTTTCACGTCGGGGAAAACTATTTCTCGATCCGCATCCTGTTACATGTCTGAGATGTATGCGAGGGGGGTGGGGAGGGTGGGGGGTTATCAGGCGTTTTTAGAAGTGTCCTCACCTTTGGCCAAGCTGTTGTGTGGTGAGAAAAGTTGCACCACAAGTGTTACGGAATTTAACAGAAAAATCTCATTAAACAAAATTGAAAAAAATAAATAAAAAGGTCAATCCCAGAAGTGGTGGCTGTAGAAGCGGAGCGGATTGACTTTGACAGTGATGCCGTGGTGATTGGACTTGCACGCTTCTCTAACTGGACTGTGTTGAAAAGATGGATTTATCTTTGAATTGTCAATAATCTTTTCTGGATCACACAAGTGATGGAGTCTGGCTCTGCTGGCTCGCTTTGGTTTTCTTTTGTTTTTCATTTCCCATTTGAAGAAATTTTGACCATGTACAGTAATTTGTAAACTTGCATCAAGTTTATGAATAAAGAATTTTAAGATTATTGCTGATTTTGTGTGCGCGGTCAGTCCTGTGATTCAGGTTATTGGTATAAATGAGAATTGAACATAGATCTGACCTATATTTGTGAATGTACAGTATAGTATTTGCTTTGCACCTTGACCTTAAAAGTTTGTAAAATGTGTATCAATTGTGTCGACTAAACCCGAGTAAAGATGAACTATGTCACGGGCGGATTTAAAGTTTAAATTGAAAAAAAATGTTTAGGCACATGTGAGGTAGTCAGTAGAATGTAAAACTAGACATTTGATCCCGTTTTTCATCATTTTGATTCAGAATGGTGCTTGCATGTTAACATTATTGAAAAACTAAGAATGTACTAAATAGACTTTGTTCAACTCTGTGTTGGAGACCAAACTAAAGCAAAATGTTTTCCAACGTTCAAACATATTTTTAATTTGCTAAGGATTTTGTTTTTGTCACATCCAGGTTGAAATGACTCCTGGAGTTATGTCAGTTATGTTCTGTGTTCTGCTATTTCTACATGAACAACGGCTAAGAAACCTGTGCAGTCCTCTGACAAGAGAGCCAAACGGGATGCAACAAGAACTATTTAATACCTATAAGGATAAAACCAAATAATACAAAAGTAATACACAAAAACGTCTTCCTCATTGAAGTCACTCATGAAGACGGACTGCTCAAACATTTCCTTCACCACATGAGAGCACGCTCTCTTTGGATGTGTTAATCCAGGGCTAACATTTACCTCCAGTAATTATATTATAGTCATAACTACTCATGATATAGTACATGTTAATACATTTCATACAACATACAGTACAGTACCTGTGGGAACATGAGAAATGGCTTTCAGAAGCATTGATACAGCAACAAGAAAAGCAAAGTGTGACTCGTCCAAAGCAACGCAGTGCCTGCTACACAATAACTACACAGCTGTCGTTTCCATTTTCACATACACTGGGAGTCCATGGGAGACACTCCACACCCCGAGACGGGCCGTGTTCATTCCAGTTGTCTGCAGTGCTTCACGTCCTTCATACGAGGTGTAGAGAAATAATCAGCTGTGCATTTACTAAGGGTCGAGCAAACGTGTAGTGCCTCTTACAGCACAATGACTACTGTTTGTGCACCTGCTGGTGAAAATGTTAACAACCCTAAAATCGTACCAGTGCGATCCAGCTCGGAAAAAAGGCCCACTGATTTTTCGTGACATGACGCTTCATGTTGTGGGTGTTACTTTGCACTGATGAACGTCCCTTTAACATAATTACATTAGTATTGCTGCACCGTAAATTCACTGTGAATTCAGTCACCCTGCACAAACTGTTGCTTATAGTTTCAAGATTTTACATTTAAAAAATAAGAAATTAAACAAAACTTTACCACTGCCATGGAAAGACAAGTCTATGGCTTAAAACTCATCCACTCATCATCCAAACGGTACTGAAAATAAAATGATTAAAGAAAACAACAGACTGTTTACTAAATGTCACATGACCACAATCAGACAAAACAACTCACAGGTTTTGAAATGAGGACCATTCAGATAAGTATCTTCACATCTGTTTCAAGTCAAATACTGTATTTAACTGTAGTAACCATCTAATGAATCTTGATAAAGTTCTTAAAGATGACTTAAGGTGATAGAAACCCTCTGGCTAAAATCAGTTTGTTCAATATATCACGCCTCCCAGGGTTTCACTTTTTTTCCCCTTCAATTAAATTCCTCTCCAAAAAGAAATAGTTGGCTTTAATTTAATATTCTATTTTCGTTTTTTATATTACATAGATTCATGGGAAAAAACACCAACAGCCACAAAATGACACACTACTGAGGCCTGAAATTCTAAACTTCAGAGACAAGTAGTAATTGAAGCGTTTACATGTAGGGATAAGCAGGAGAACTGACCAGAGGGGAAACATCCATCACTCTGTACAATGCTATGACCACCCACAACAAATACTACTATTCACTGTTTATCCCACCTGCTGGGGTTTAGCTTTTCTTCCATTTTTCACATATACAACATTGATTTGGAATGTTTATCCAATAAGAACTAATCCCTAATTACAGCGTGTGCTTCACTTTTAACATCAACTTACATTTAAAAATAATAAATAAATAAAAAAAACATTCAACTGAAATCAGTCTGCCCAACATGTAACTAGCACGGAATGACAAAACCAAATATCCTGAATGGTCAAAGGTGATCAAAGGAGACAAAAGCCAGACGCGTCAACTTGAGGGCTTAAAAGCAATTACCACACCTTTCCTGAGAATGTGAAAAAGTTAGCTTACACTGCATCTTCAGTTCAAATCAAAATAGGAAGCTAAAACAAATATGTATAACATTCTGTTTCTAGATTTATCTTTTTTTTTTTTTAAAGAGACAGGGTTATAGTGACATTAGTTGCTTTTCTGAGGAGATTTGAATGATAACAATAAGTGTTTATTCTTTTTGTGTAATTTTTTAAGTTTTAGCCAGCAGCCAGTTAGAATAGCTTAGCATTAGCTTAAAGGTGTGAAGTAAGGGAAACAGCTAGCATCATTGACAGTTACAATATCTGTCTCCAAAAAACCTCTTTGATCTAATATAACAAACTAGTTACAGAATCAAAGCTGCTGTTCAGTGGATTTTAGTATCTTTGGACAGAAGCTTTTTCACCAGTCTTCAAGCCAAGCTAATCTAACTAGCTGCCAGTGGAAGCATGCCATTCATTCTCATTGAGCTTTTGGCACCAGAAAGCAAATAAAGGTGTTTCCAAAAATGTTCAGCTCTTCTTTGAATGAGTAATGACCAACACAATATTTCATGGAGTGATTTTTTCAGCTGAACAATCATTAAAGTGCATCAACTGAGAAATGTTTTAGCATTCTCCGAAGTTCTGGCTCAATAAAAGTGAAAACTCTTCATTTTAGTGTAGCTGCAGAAGCACATAAAGAAATACTAAAAATGTAAAGTAGAACACATCAGAGGCAGATTTAGGCTCTGCAGACAATACACAAACAAACCTGACTTAATCAGATGAAGGGCAGAGGATTGCTTTTAGCCATATTATGAAACATTGTTAAAACTCAACCCCAAAAATGGCCTGCTATAAATAAGCAGCAAAAACAAAACAACAGTTTGTTCAACTAACTGCTGACTTGAGTGTGAGCTGTCAAAAATGATTAAATCCTGCATGTCAATTTGCCGTTTTGAACACACCCTACATATTTCTGTTTTCTGTGTTTTGATGAAGGGCACCTAATTCAGAGTTGTGTTCATAATTGATCCCTTTTTAGCTCTCCCGCTCTGCTGCCCGGCCCCCTGTCTGCCCTACATTGGTTCGTCGTAGTTGTAGGTGGGAGCTGCAGAGTACTGGTTCTGCTCCATGGCTCCCTGTGCAGCTCCCATGGCTGCCTGCTGAGCTGCCTGCTGGACATGGGGGTTCTTCCAGGCCCCCGTGGCCCACTCCTCCTGGGCTTTACCCAGACTGCCCCCACTGCCGCGGTAGAAGTTGTGCACCTGCGTAGAGCCACACACGAGAGTTGGGATGTAAATATTTAAGATCGAATCATATTCTAGCCCTACTGATATAAAAAATAAAAATTAGGGAAAAAAAAGATTTTTTTTACCAAATGTTAGAAAGGCTTTTACACAAATTAAACAGTTTTTGGAGTGTTTTGTTAGTTTATAATAAAGACTACGATATTTAATATACAGAAGTATTCAAACCCTTCACTTAGTGCTAGATTAAGGCACTTCTGTGAGCTACTGCAGCCTCTACTCTTTTGGGAATCATCTCAGATATGCAGCACACCGTTCTTTTAGAAGTCACTCCAATTCCTCCTGCCAGAACCCTTGAAAAAGCCAGGTTGGTTGGAAAGTGTCCGTGACAGCCATTTTCTTGTCATTCCAGTATTACTGAGTTTGGATCCACATTCTTTGCCATTCTAGATGAAACACCCCTCACTTTTTATTGCTCTCTTTTTTCTGCATCCATCTTCTCTTCCACTCTGAGTCATCTCCTGTGCATGTACCACACAGAGGGATGTTCCACTGTAGGGAAGGTATTAACCAGAGGATGCACAGTGCCTGATTTCCTCCACTCATGCTGCTTGGAACTTGTGGCCAAACGGTTACATTTTCGTTTCGGCAGGCTAGCGGATTATACCTCTTGGGACCTAGGTCTCATTTTTCATATTCCCAGTGGAATGTGTAGAGAGGAAGGAAACTAAACCATTCAAAAAGATGGAGAAGTATAGATTACCTTTGTTAGGGCGATGAAGGAGAGCACGGCCACTGCAGTGAACATGACTGTGGGGATCAGCATCACCACAGCTGAGCCGATGTTGGTGCTGAAGAAGGTGATGGTTGCCAGCCAGCCGCTGTGGAACCAGCATCACCATACATTCAACAAGGTACATTTACACCGTGCAGTAAAATTCCAGCGGTGGTGAAGACCCAGAAACGCTTAGATCAAAGACGTACTCGCTGATTTCAGCGAGCAATTCATTTTATACGTAAATAGCACGTAATGCTATGTCCGAACACAAAATACTTTACTGAATTTTTTTTTGGCGATATTTCTTTGATGGCTCAATAGTTTAAAAAAAAGAGTCAAATACAGTAAAACGATGTGTTTGTACTTCAAGCTGCTTGTTTTCAGTACTGATGCCCTCCAAGTGGCACAAATCCAGTCTAAGCAATTCAGGGTTGCTGCTTACTTTTCACATGTCACCTATTTTTACAATAAACATGGTAAACAATAAACATGTTTTTCACTTAAGAAACCAGGCACAGCTCTTACCATACTCCCCAGCCCGGAATGCCAACAGTCTGGATGATACTGATCACCACTTGAGCCATGAAGACGAAGAAGAAAGCCATGAAGTTGAAAGAGCTGTCCGTCCTGCAAAAGGCAGAAGAGCCAGAATAAATTCCATCCCCGTAATAAAATATGGGATTTGGTATGATTATTTTAAATATTACAGGAGGTATGCTTACTTAAAGGCTTTATAGATGGGCCTAAACCAGCACACGTAGGAGCAAGGGGTGAAGAGTATGAGCCACAAGAACGCCATCCCAAAGTTTGTAGCCCCGCCTCCTCCACACATCCATGCCAGGCAGCCAATCAGATTGACAGCTAGTGTGGCACTGTTCACTGACAGGATACAAAAAAGTTAGGCTGTGGACTAAAACCTCTGAGGGTTCATTCATTACTCTTTATGCAGCGGGATCGAATCAGTGTGAATCTGAGCAGATGTTCTGTACATCGTTCCACATCAGCTCACTGAACCCTCCCAGTTCATTCTTTGGTCTTCATCACACCTTGTAAAGGTAGTTACCAAATCTCATTTTAAACTGAGCCAAAATGTATACTGGAAATACACAAAAGCAGACAGCTTATTAGAAACCAATCAAAAGATGCATGTTTGACTAGAACCAGACTGAACAAAGTATTGAAACATTCTCAGCTCTAAAAATCTTAAAGTAATTAATTAGCTAATTAGCTTCATTATGGAACCTAAAATAGCAGGCAGATTCTGTTACTCCATCATTTATCCATTTTTATGTGAGGAGATTCTGAACAAATTTATTTTGAACCTGGAACAAATTTCTACCCAGTGGATTGAAAATGGGCTTTTGCTGAGGTGAGACTCACAAACTGCCATCAGTAATAATTACAGTCATATTTGGAGAAGAATCTTAGATTTTTACAAGGTGAATTCCAGGGGTGTGTTCATTATCTTCAGAGCATCCGTGACATGAACTGGGAGGTTTAGATAAATTGGCCACACTAAGAATGCTAACATTTTCTGCACTAGATTACATATACAATTATGTGAACAGGAGCTACACACTGAGTAAAGCCTCTTCTCTAGCATCAATGTTCTATTACCAAACATTTTATCTAAACCAAACTACCTTTCCACCTTACTTACGTTTTTGTTTTCAAAGTGTAGAACCTAATGGAAAAAACACCATGGAACCCATTTAAATGTTAAACATTGGCACAATCTTTTTCTATGGCAACTAATTATTTATTGGCATAAATCATTAACTCGCACAAAATTAAACCACTATGGTTTCCCAGGGTCAAAAATACCTTTTCACGCCCCGGTGTGGTTAACCTAAAGACCCAGTTTTGAACTTAAGCCAGATATGGTCTACCAATCAAATGATTTTTCAGGTTAAAACAATAATAAAAAACTGAATTGTTGATCCAGCTCGCTGACACGCGTGGGACCGGTTGTTCTGGTCTTCATGCCATGGTGTTTGGATCAGAGTGTTTTGGGGGAAACACAGTGACTAAACGTGCAGTGCTCACAAGGTTCAGTGTTGCAAACAACAGAAATGCTGACAATAAAGTAGTATAAGGTAGACTTACAGATCCAGAGGTAGTAGAGCCTCTTGCACATGGTGCGATGTGGGTCTGGGATTTCATTGAAGTCTTGGTAAAAACATGGCTTGAGGGGGATGAATCGAGGCAGAGGAGGGAAGTTGTTTTCTAGAACAGAAAAAGGTCAATTAAATACCAAAAGCCAAAGTCATAAAAGCGTCAAGTTTAGACAGCTGCAAAACTATTTAGCTTTGGCGGCTAGGTTGATTTAACAGCTGCAGTTGAATTAAAAAGGAATAAAATCTTACCAGCCATGATCACAGTTCAGTGTGTTCGTCCACTTGCAAACAGGCACAAGAACTTCCGTCTGAGCTGCCTTGAAATCCAAACTGCACAGAGAAGAGCCTTTTTAACAACATCCCTCACACACACAGCACTCCTTGTGACCACTGGCCGTAACCCTCTGTAGGCCTTCCTGTAGATTACCACTGCAATGGAAAACTCTCCATCCTGATCTGGCTGGATGAGAGGTGGAACCAGACGTTTTCACAGCATCCAACCACCATGGAGCACCATTCATTCAGTGTACGGAGATGAATATGTTCCCCAATTTCGTTACGAATGAGTAGTGGGCGCTGTAAGGCACCGTGGCCTTGCAACTACCCATCAAATGTACCTTACTCGCAAGGACGCATAGCTGGGGTGTAAACCACGATGCACTGTTCACCGTTTGAGCTATATATAGCTCTGCTGATTGTTTAATTTCGGATCAGGGCCAGTCGGGTCTAATCAATCGCTTCCCACATTTTCTGACAAATTGTAGCCCTCCTCTAGTAGTGATCATGGTGGATATATGGTGGAGGATGAAGGGCATCTTTCTGGTACATGCGGAGCTATTTATACCGCACAAAACGCACTGATCGGGGCGGATTTGACGTGTTTTCGTCCCGGGGCTGTCTTAAATGTGAGCATCGTGCAGCGGGTGGCAGGGATGCAGCACCAGGACGCGGCGCATCGTGATCCCGGCCGACGGAGGAGCGTCCTTCAGGCGGTGCGACACGGCACGTCGCGGCTCCCTTCGCATCTGGACGACGCGCAGACCGAGCCAGAAAGCCCCCCACAAACCCCCCCAGCCCACCGATGTGGTGGAGTTTAAGGCTTTATGTCAACACATTAGATGTCTCTCCTCCCCTAGATTCAGCGTGATGAATGGAATTGGAGCCGTTTGAAGCTACCTACCTCCCGTTTAGTCCGAGAATGTCGCTAGAGATCCGTCCGTTTGTTTAAATTGCATCCTCCAAACGACTCTGCATTTACACTCGCTTCCCCAGCCAGGCCCGCCGCTGCTCAGACAAATATGTTCCCCTTTATTACTCAGATGATGGGTTCTAGGACTCAGGGGCGGTCACGTGACGTAAGGTCTTTTCTTTACTCACGCGCGGGAGGACCACAGCCCCGGGAACAGCAGGAGATTTGTGACTGGTTCGTGCCAACCAATCATTAACCTGGGATGTTTGATCAAGCCCCGCCTCCTCCAAGGTGGACCACTGCGCCGAGAGAGAAGAATCACACAAACTGATCTGATTGGCTGCCTTCTTTTGTAGACATCTTGTTTTTTTTTGTTTCTCTTTATAAAACCTGTCACTTTTGCGAGCTAAACACACAAGTAAACAGATCCACCCACTCTGGAAAACGCTGCTACTTATCCGTTGCACATCTCAGCATCTGTGACTCTAAGTGATTCAAAATTTTGCCCAATTATTGGTCACTTTACATTAGAAAAGTTCAATTACCCTTTGAGGGTAAGTGAGCTATTTTAAGATAACCTTAATTGTTATCTGGCAAAAAAATGACTTGGAGAAATGTCTTCAAAATCGAAAAAAGGTTTTAGGAATAGTAGGTAAAAAAAATGAATACTCTTAAGAGCACTAACTCCAGGCTACATATAAAGACTGAAGTAGTGTAATGCAATTGTTCAGCTTTCATCCTTTGAAAACGTTATACCCTTAATTAGGATGAATAACCGTAAATTGACCACTTCATAACACATAATTTCCTACATTTTATAAAGTGCTGTTTGAATATGACCTGTAAAGTCAAGATTAGTTTCTTAACAGTTTCCAGCCTGGCAGGCACAGAAATATTTCTCATGTCTCATTGCCATATGTTGTACAATGTAAACTAACATCAGAAAAACAAAAACAACTTTTTTGTTTGTTTTGTTTTTAATTTAATCTCCAATATGAAACTTTGAACCGAACTGCTTACATTATTAAACTGAGTTTATTTAAACAATTACCACAAGGTGGTGGTAATGACCAATTAAATGTTGTTACTTTGCAAAAACAGTTTAGCCTCTTTATATTTTTACTTTAAGAATAAACCAACATGGGAAATCGGAGAAGACTTCCGACTATCCCAAAACTTTCCTCATTTATTCAGTTTGTGACAGTTAAACAGATTTTTATTAACTAAGTAAATAACTAATGTATATAAATAGATTAAGCGGCTGTAAATCTGACCCATTTAAATGCTCGCCAAGAAAAAGGTCGAAGTAGGCATATTTGTCATTTTTATAGGAAAAATCAAAAGGTATGACAAATTACCTTTGTTGTCTAATGATGGCCATAAGCAGGTGTCAGGTGGAGGAAGTTAAAAGATTATTGCATTTTTTGTGTTTTACAAAAATACGAACAATGGAAATTGGTTATTTACATTTTTGACTAAGTACTTCGTCGGTCACAAAGCAATTATAATGAAACGCAGATCACCTGTGAATAGTCTGTTTTTGATGGCAAATGCTGCCTTCTAGGCTACTCGTAAATAGTTGAATTTCTGCTGCTACAAGAGTTTTGTTTTTAAAGAAAATTTCAAAACAGCGCACCATAATGTATTTGAATGCACTGGTGTTCAATATTAAACACACTTGTTGTGTATTTCTGGCTTTCACTGTGCAAGTGACGCTTTGGTGTTTTACTCTATCACGTTTTTCCTGCGCTCCGGAAAAACGGATACAACCGCAAAGCTATCGCTGAACGTGATTGCAGCGGTAAGGATGCTAAGCTAGCATGAGCGTCTACTTCAGTGCTATGAGTTGAGCAAGACTGGAGGTAAGAACGACTAACTTTTTTTATGTGGCTGTGATGACATAAGGGCCACATTGACATGTTCCTAAAATTAGCATTATCCAATGCGACTGTGAAAATGCTGTATATTACGTTTATGTTGTTAAAGACTGAAAGATCTGTAGCTCTACGCTACTGTTAGCTACATTTACGTAGCTTCCTTACAGCCACCTGCTTGTTTAGGACAGCAACCACAGAAGTACGGCGTTTAGATGGCAACGTCGAAAAATATGTCTTAGGGATATGTATGTACTGATGTGCCAGCTTCTCTCTGTGTGTCAGCTATGACAGTTTCCGTAAATGCCAGCTTACGATCACATTAACACAGCGTAGGACTTGACCTGGTTTGTTAGTAGTGTCCTTTCACATTTTGCATTGTCAGCAGAAAATGCCACCTCCTACCAGTAGCGAGTGGCACATGGGAGGCTAGAACTAACAAACGTTGCTGCTTTCAGCATAATTCAGAGAAGACAGCTGGAGCTTGTTTTCATATCTTAAAATTCTGAACAATTAGTTGGACATGATCAAGCCATAAATCAAAATAATAAAGAAGTCATAGAAACAACTGTCAGGTTCAGTCTAACTTATTTTGTCATGTGTCATATATATGTTAATAGCTATTTTGGCATCGTTATCTGTATTCCTTCTCCTCTGAAGTCTCCTGGCTGTGTTTGCAGAGCTGGGAATGCAGCCACAGCTGCCACCTGAAGCTGTCAGAGAGCTGGTGAGCTCCTGCCTGCACAGAGACCCCGTAGCAGCAGATCTCCGCTGCAGTCTGTTTGTCGCAGCTGCAAAGAGCTACAAGAGGGACTCCTTGCTCAGACCCTTCCCTCCTCTTTACATTAGCGGCGACAATAAGGACTTCGAAGAGCTGGTAAGAAGAATGGCTGTCGAGTGCCCTAAACTGTAGCAGTCATGAATGTGCCTTTTGCTTGTGTTTAAAGAGATAGATGAATGTGTCGGAGGAAATGTTTCCAATGCAGATAATGTGGAATGTGTTGGCAAATGTATTTTTATGGATACAGATTTTTGGCATTTTGTATGTTTTGTTTTTTAATGAGTTATTAGTCATGCTAGTGGAATCTGGGTATTGATAATTTCTATCCATGTTATGAGTACACCTTATGCCACAGACTTTTACCTCAAAGTGAACAGACAAGTAACAGGTTGGACTCCTGCATTTTTCAAAAATGGTCTACTCATTTCCTCAGCTGGCCGACGTGAACTCACTTCCTGGCGTGAGAGAGTTGGTGAGACTACGACCTGGAGAGGGAGGTCATCATTTGGCTCTGACACACTGGATTCTGTCCTCTAAGAGTTTTGCCGTAAAGACGCTACAGAAGGATGAAGTACAGTACTCCAGCCCTTAGTGTATTGAACTCTTTGCCCCTTAACACATGCTGGAATGTTTTCACTGTTTGTTCTCCTCACCAGTATGCCAAAATTTGTGACCTGACGGAAGACGAAGGGATTTCTGCTCCTGTCCCAGACTTCCTCTTCGAGCTGGAGTACTCTGATCATGTCAATGCCAGGTTTGAGAAAATGAGAGAAGGACGAGAGGTGTTCTACGCATTCCACGGGAGCCGACTGGAGAACTTTCACTCAATCATTCACAACGGACTACACTGTCACCTCAACAAGGTCGCTGCTTTGGCCAGCTCTGAATCAGCTTCTTACTGAGGTGTAAAATGCCATTCAGTAGTAGTATCCACGCATTCAAAACCAGCTTTGTCTGCTTTGATCTGTGTGTGTAGAACTCTGTGTTTGGGGAGGGGACCTACCTCACCAGTGACCTCAGCATGGCTGTGCTCTACAGCCCCCACAGCAGCGGCTGGCAAGAAAGCATCCTGGGACCGCTGCTGAGCTGCGTCGCCCTGTGTGAAGTCATCGATCATCCAGATGTGAAGTGCCAGGTGAAGAAAAAAGGTGCGTTTGAGGAAGCCATGCAGCACCGGGTGCAGTTGGGGCTGAAGTCATGCAGCCATGGCCAGCTGTGACCGACACCCTGGGGGTCCACCAGCCCCTTCCCTCACCCGCCCGTTTTCCATTTCAGATTCTGAAGTCATAGACCGGCAGCGCTCACGAGCCAAGAACAGCGAAGGAGGGGACGTGCCACACAAGTACTTCATAGTCACCAACAATCAGCTTTTACGAGTCAAGTACCTGCTTGTTTACTCCCAGAGGAAGCACCTGTCCAGGTAAGAATCTCCTGGGTCAGATTGGGGGGACTTTTTAACCTGTCCGGAGCCGAGGTTGTTCTAAAATCTCTGGGCTTTTAGAAAACCTAAAACTGCGGGGAAAAAATAACTAACCATCTCAAGAAACCAGTCACATGGACTGAAACGATTTAGTTTAAACTCTCAGCTGTCACCATAATCAATTGACCTTACACTCATTTTTGTAAAAAACATTTAAATAAATTTAAAAGTCCTATCATCATAATATACTTCCTGTAGTTCGAGCTTGTGTGTCACATCAGCATAGAAAAGATGCATTAATCACTTGGGGAATTGCTTCCTTAAAGTTGTGTGTGCTGTCTGTCCAGAGCCTTAACGGTGGCTTTTCTTGTGTCTTAATTGTGTCTTTAAAATCAGGCATTCCCGCAGCAGCTCGTGGCTCCTGCGGCACCATTTTGCCATCATGATGAGCCTCTACCTTCTGCTGCTCATATTCATCGGTGCCTTGAACTCCAGCGCCTTCCTGTCCTTCTGGAACAGACTGCTGAGGTGACGCGACCACTGGACGGGCGGCCCCCGCTGTGCCTTTCTGATCAGGGACTGACCGGAGGTCTGAGAGAGCTGAAGTAAAACCTTATGCACATTTTTACCATCTCACTCCTCTTACAGTTCCTTACTTGTTGTTGAAATAGTTCAGTTGTAGATATGTTAACACATATCTTAGATTTAGCAGTATAAGGGGCTCTTTTTCATAGTAATTCTGTTTAAATCAGACCACTGTACATTATAAGAATGATATGCAAAGTTTCCTCATTTAATTTGTATGATTGAGTAAACGCTAATTTGTGGGAAAATTAACCTCTGAAGGTTTTTTTTTTTTTTTAAACTAAGAACGGAGAAACAAATCATGCTTCATGTTTTTGTGGCTGTTTGAGGGGAAGCCTCTTTCTAATTTCAATCCTGGAGTTTCTTATTGTTTTCCAGATGTTGTGTTGCATTCAAATGCTGGCGTGGGTCACCTCTGACAGGAGCACGTTTATTACCGCTGGCACACAGACAGTCCCCTGCTATCTGCCGTTTTTATCACCGAAAAAAAGTCAGACGGATATATGGGGCTGATAAAGGAGGCGGCCTGCTTTGGTCACAGATCCTGTCATCTTAATAGAAATGCGATAATACAGTGCACATCAGCAGGAAAGTATATTTGCACCGATGTAAGATGATGGAGTAGCGGAATATCTAAAACATTAGAATGATTTAAAAAAAAAAAAAAAAAAAAAGATATACTTGTACCAGCTGGATTCTTTCTAGTTCATATTACCCAAGTGCATATTTTAAATCTATTTGAATAGAATCTTGGGTGTTTTTTTATTTAGCCGGAGTGTTTCCATTTGGTCACAACACCAGCGGATTTAATTGTGACTGACGCTGCTTCATAGTTAACTGTTAAGAAATTAGCTTTTTCTCATGTTTCAATGGCTTGAATTGGCTCTGGATGAAATTCAAAGAAAGTAATTCACTGGAGATCACAAATACGACGAATGACTAGTTAAAGGAAGATGAAAGAAAGTGCAGGCTGTTGTTTTGGCTTTAAAACCAATGCCGTCTTGCGAAACCCGGCAGATAAACGTCGTCTCTCCTTCAGAAGCAACTCGCATTTGAAGGCCACAGAACAAACTGCCCATTGTTGGTCCACACTTCAGTCCCTTTCTGTACAAGCTCCATTATTGCTGCCTCATAAACTGTCTGTTATTCAATAACCATTGAATAAAGGAGGGGGGCAGCAATGGCACAAAGAGTCCCCAAATGGGAAGCAACCAGTCAGAGGAACCAAGCTGCAAAGTTGTTGTTTGTCTTTTATAGAAGCCGTATTCCACCCAGGTGTTTGTGTTTTTTAAATCCTGCTGCCAAAGCAGGTTTCTGAAAAGCTTCACTCACACAGACTGACCATCAGGCCTCATGATGATCAGAAGTATATGTTTATATGCCATTCATAGTGGAGGGATTTCAAATTATGTCAGTGACATTAATTCAACATCATTATTTCAGTGATTTCTCAAACTATTAAGAAACTCAAATTATTGTATACGCGCATATTTATTTCCTTTAAAAATGCATTTATAAATCAAGAATAATCACGTGTCTATGAATTCAAATAAATAGTAAACATGCAGGCACATTTACAATAAAAATACTGTTTATGTAGAATGTTTTATACAGATATGATGCAGGTTATTACAATACCTGTGTTTTAATGGATTGAAAAAGAATCAATGGAGGCATTAGTTTATTTCACCCCTTGAGTTTGTAAAATTATTTATCTGGTGAACATCTTTAGGTTCATGCAAGGGAAGTGAGCAAAGAGAAAAAAAACACCCATCTCTATTTCCAAAACCAACTACATCTGATATCTGTAGCTTCACTTTAGATTTTCAAACTTTTTAAAAAATTGTTAAGAATGGAGATTTGTACATTTGCTGTGTCGGAATTCTTGAAAATGCTCGAAAAGAAATTCCCTCTAAGCGTTAGCGTTCCAGATATTCGAGTATTCTTTTCCCCTTATGGAAATAAAATCACAGGCAGTACGAGATGACATGGACGTTTATTTTTCACCATTACACACAGGGGTTATTTTACATGTTGACATTTACATAGCTGCCGTTTCCTCTTGTGCTCTGGAGAGTTCCTCACACTTCCTTCTCCTTATGCAAAGAATCACCCACTCTGGTCCGGACAGGCGGGCAGTAAGCAGACAAAGTGCCCCTCGCTGCTCCTCTTAAAGGGAAAAAAAACACACATTTGGTAGCAGTAAAGGATGAGGGTGGGCTGTTTTTCTGCACCTGCTCCTACCTGCAGGGCGCTGTGGCAGACGGGGTGTGGGGGGGCTCTCAGGTGGCTGTGGACACACCTCCCAAAACGCTGCAGGCAGTCGGAATCGGACGGGCCGCAGGCGTGAGGGCAGGACGGGCGCCTCAGCGTCAGGCAGCTGGAGCAGGACGTGTGCAGGCAGGAGCCCCGGCAGGCCCTGTTCTCCACAGACACTGACCTGAGAGGGAGGGAGGGGGGGGGCGCTGCTGGTCACGATTCACAGAAATACAACCTCCAAAGCCTGCTGGTGGGGGCTCCCTGATTGATTCTGTCACCTGGCAGAGCAGATTGCAACGGGGTGGTCCTGACAGTACTCCTGGGTGCACTCCGGGCTGCAGCCCTCCGGCTCCGGCCGCTCCACCACTGCACAACACAGTTTAAGAAGGGTCAAACTCACATCCTCTCCTCCCCGCCGAGACGTCCGAAAGACGTCTGGAAGGACGACAGCCCTTTTTCATCATTGGGTCAGATAAGCAGAGTCATTATGCGAGCGGAAAGCTTTGGATCAAACGGAGCCGTGAGCACACTATCGGCCCTCGCGGCCCGTAAACGACATTTACCTCACTGGCTCGCTTCCCACCACAATTACTGAGGAGAATAAAAGGCGCCCGAGGGTGTTTACTCTGTTTGGGTTTGGCGGTGAGATTTCCCTAAATATTTTGACAGAACACACAGGAAATTCCTGGAAAAGAGACAGAAGGCCAACAGAATGATGACACCCACCCCCCCTCCCCCCAGCAGAGGCCCGCTGACGGTGACCCTGGGGCCCCCACCTGCCCTGCAGACCCCCCCGCGCTCTGCTCCCGCCTCCTCGTGGACGCACAGCAGGCCCCCGTCGCACTTCCCCAGGTAGTCCCAGGCGCCCCCGCAGGCCTCCCCCTCGGTGCGGGCGCAGGCGGGGCAGCAGCCGCACACGCCCGTGCTCACGCCGCCCTTACACTGCAGCCTCAGCGCCCGCCGCCAGGGGCAGTGGACCCTCTCGCAGGGCGGGCAGTGGAGAGCCTGCAGCGGCCCGCCGGCTCCGGCCCCCGCCTCCCCGGAGCCCAGCGCCCCGGAGGACGCGCACAGGAACACGAGCATCCACGTCCAGCGCCTCCCCATGCTGCTGTCCTGGGGTGGGCGCGCTGGCCGGCCCCCTTTTATAGCTGCGAGGGACCAGAAAACATCACGCCAGAGAGGCCTTAACCTTTACGAGCCACAGCCCCCAGCAGCAGCCAATAGATGAGGGCAGGGGGGTTTAATAAACCCCTTGTCTTATCTCCACGCTATCACAATTTTGTTTTGAAACAATTCCTCCTCCTGAGCACGGTTAGATAAGTCTGATGGAGCTGGAAAAGACTGCCCCCCTTTGTGTTTGGAGCCACATGACCTGCAGAAGGGGCAATTCGCTGCACACCTACAGTCCTAAGGGTAATGACCTATTTCTGAAAAGAACAAAAGGATCATGACACCAGCGGGTTATCTGATGTCTTGTAAGTAAAGCGAGTAAAAACTGGCGGGATGTGTGCACAATAATAAAAGCAGCTGCAGGGCGTCACAATGGATTATGCAGACTCCACATTTTCACGTCCCCGGACAGTAAAAAGCCACTTTCATCGTCAAGGCTTCTTCTGCTGCGGACCAAAACACTAATTATTATTTCCTCCCATTTACAGCTCACTCTGTATATTTCAGCTCATGTGGATATTGACCTCTCCTTCACATAGGATGATTCAATTAGTGGGTTAGCTCAAAAAGTTATCTTTATAGGATTTGTGTGATTACTGATATGGACTTTGAAAAACGTTGGCAACTATTTTTAAGATGGGAATTAATTGAGTCAAAAGAAGTGTAATTTGCGTGCTCTTGTTTTCTTGAGTAAAACCTAGAAAGCCACTGGTATCATTTCATATGAACCTGTTGCATCACCACACATGGTTATGCAACCACCTTTTCTTTTTATTGCATTTTATAGTACAAATGTGCAAAAATGTTTGTTGTACATATATAAAAATATAAATATAAAATAGTTGTAGTTATACAACTGAATGAATCTTTACTATTTCTGTTGGATTAGGCATAATGAGGTGTAGTGAGTGAGTTTGTTTGCATAACAAAACATTTTAAAAACCTCGGAGGAATCTGTGAGATTAGACAATCAAACTGTCACATGACTCGTGTTTTTGCAGTCTTCATTTGATTGAATTTATTAAAGATGATGAATCACATTTTACAGTTTGCTCCTCGTAAAGCATTTTAGGACATTTTCCAGCATGAACAGAATCTGTTACATGTTCTTACACCAGAGTTCCTGCTGGTAACATTCATTTAGTCACTATGCTTGTGCTTTTGGAATTTCAGAACATCTTTTTTCTTTAGCATAAAAAACAAAAAACAAAACATTTATCAACATGAAAACAAAATATGTAAAAATGAAGAGGCTACAAGTCGTATAAAAATGTATTTATTTTCATGGAAACCATTGAGTAACACTGAATACACCGGGAGTGATCATTCAATAGTCAAAAGTTGTGACTCCTACGTCAAAGATCCAACATACGAGACATCTTGGAAAACAAGATTTAAAAGCAAACATGTTGGCAATTTGCTGGTGCTACAATTTCACCCCCCCCACATAACAAATTTAGGCGATACACACCCGTGTAGAAAAGTGACAAGATTTTACATCAACTTACAAAGGGCTGGATGTCAAAGTGCAAGATGCCTGAATCTCACCCCCCCACACCAACATAAAAGAGGGCGATCAAAGTGTCGAAATCAGAAATGGACTCTCAAGATACAAATTTCCAAAATTATTGTTTGGCCATTATGGCTTTGCATTCATTTGATACCTTATTTTAACACACATTTCATAAATTTAAAATATTTCAGAAATATTTTCCTCCCAAAGATAAGATTTTTTGTTGTTTCCTTTTTTAAAAACTGCACCTTATTACAGACAACTGCATGTAAAATGGAGTAAAGCGTCACAGGAATACTGCAGGCTTACAGAAACGCAGCTGCTCAACAACTTCAAACAAACAATGACATTTTGTTGGTTTAGAAAAGCAACTGAATCAAAGAGTACGTACTAAAAACTGAAATTCAAATGACTTAAAAACCTTCGAGAAAAAACAAAAACAAAACGAAAAACCTATGTACATATATGTACAAGTGAATAGAGTAGAGTGAATAATATACAGGTTCGACTGGCCGCTGGAGGTCAGGCTGAAACCAACACCGTGGGACATTCACTTTAGTCTGGAAAGGTTGTTAAAGACAAGCTACCCACCAGAAGGCCGTCCGTTTGTTCCCAGTCTGGTGTGACCGTCTATAGAAAAACATCCAAGACTTTTTGACTCAAACATAGTTGTAATTCTACTTCTTTTTTTTTGTGTATGTGTGTGCGTTCATGTTTGGAGAAAAAAAAAGAAAAAGAAAAAAGAGTTTTCTATGCAAATAGAAAAAAGTCTGAATGGTTCCTTCCCAGTCTCTGCCGCCTCACATCTTGTTACCGTGTCAGGGAGGGATGGACGGCAGCTGCTCAGTCTGGAGGAAGGAGGTCGTGCAAACGAAATCGTTCTCGGATGTGCGGTCTGACGTCTTCGTTCTGTGGTCAAAATAAAGGACAGAGGTGGCCGTTAGAAATGAGAAAAACAGACTCTTCCGGTTTGGATGGCTTCCAGTGTCAGAATGAATGTTACCTGCTCAACCAGCCTCCAGACAAACACACAGTTTTATCAGACTGCACTGCAGGGCCCAGCAAACCCCTTGCACAACTCAGAGTGCAGCATTTGGGACTGAGGTGGTCAGTTCAAACCAATGAAAGACTAACAGCCAATCAATTAGAAAAGTTCAAATGTGAAAAGAGGAGCTCACAGACCTCAGAGGACAGGTCTGTTATCCTAACCTGCTCCACTCTGTTACCGACACTGACAAATCTCTTTTTGTTCTTATGAGGCGCACACAGCTGTGTATCCGGTGCAGTCCAGATGACCGATCAGCTTTAACTCCCCGAATGAAGCAGAAAGAGGTTTTCAACAGACACCATAGGTCCCAACACCTACCAGCGCCACGAGTTTCTCGAGGAAAGGGACGAGCTTTAGAAGCTCGTTGTCGTTTCTGTCCACAAACCAGCTCTCGATGGGGATTCCGTTGGAAAGCTGAAAGATACAAAAAGACAAAACAAAAAGGAACCGGTGAGGCAGAAGCAAGACATGGAGCAGGAGTCTTCTTCCAGTGCTGTCAAAGCTTTACCTGGTAAGCGAAGGCTTGGGGCGAGTTGTCGATTATTACCGTCTTGGAGAGGTCCCTCCCGAGTATGTTCAAGTCTTTAATGTAATTTCCTTGAACACAGACACAATGCTCTCGAAATAGTCTGTGCCTGAAAAATAGAAAAAAAAGAGAAAAGGTATTTGGTTATCCTCAAGATGCAATAAACCGTAACCCATCAATGTAAACAACTAATTACAAGATAAGGAATTACAGATAAGGAGGTGGATCCCTGAGGGCTGAAAATAAACAAAACAAAAAGTCATCCGGAAAATCTCCATTAGATCACGTACATTTCAGGGTTGCTTTCCAAAAAAGAAAAAAATTAGAGCCAGACTTCAGATGAATCTTCTAACATGATCATTTTTAAAAAAGGGGGCTGTGATGCACCGTTTAACCTCACCAATGCATTTTCTCCAGCACTAATGACCTCTGCCTCCTTATTTTACTGCTCACAGCTCCAGCTCCTTTAAGTCTGGTGGTTTTAGCTAGTGTCCCTAAAGTCCCGCCAGCTGCTTCAGCTGTAAAGGTGAACCGTATCACAGTCTGCGCAAATGTTGTGTACTAAAAAAGGATGAACGCTTTCACAAGAAGGCCTACAGAGGTGAGATGTTTAGTCAGAAACCCTGACTTGTTTTCACTGACCTTACTAACTGTTTTTTGGGATCCAGGATGTTGAGCAGCTTGTCTGCGTAGACTTTCTTCGAAGCCGTGAAGAGAATAATCTGAAATGTTTACGGACAGCGATAAATATGCGATATTCTGAGCGGCAGCGGTGAGATGAGAGGTGAATAAAAAGCCTCACCTCGTACAGCTGGGACATGCGCTCCAGGAACTCTCGGAAAAAGGGCCTCAGCCGGACATACACCTTCATCACAGACAAACGGGAGAAAGTTTACAAAATGAGCAGAAAGAGTTAGACTCTTCCATCAGTCCATCCATTACTATACCGCTTATTCCCTAAGGGGTGGCATTTGGGAGGGGGCCTGGGGTGTGAATGGGCCTGGAACTTGTCCTACCTGGTATATGACGTCTTGAAAGAGCACGGGGAATGTCAGGGCTGCGTCTTCCAGCTCGTTCAGACTGCAGTGAACCAGAGTTTCATCCTAGCAGCAGGAGCACAAAAATCCATGTGAGGCCTTTTCTGTTACGAGACGGAGGCCTGTTAAAGCATCGCCACTTACCAAGTCCAGGACCAGAGAGAACTCAGGAGTGCTGCGCGTCTTCAAAGGTAGCGCCGGCTTGCGCGTTAACTGCTCTTCTGTCAGAGGAGGCACGTGCTTGATGAAAAAGTACCTTAAAAACAGAAGCCACGAACAGCATTGAAACTCCTACATTTTGCCCCAAAACCTAGAAGCTACTATAATATCAACAAGAAAATGTGTCCAGAGCAGCAGCAGCGGTGTGAACATGGAGACGCATTTGTCTCTTCTGCTGCCATCTCTTGGATAATGTTTCCCTCTGCACCACAAATATGCAATGTCACTTCAACTCCACCACATCACAAATAGTGTTTGTTTGTTGTTCAAAAGCAAAGCAGATACAAAAATCCTAAAAAAAACAAGGCAGGTATTCTTTTGTTTTTTGCTTTTTTTACAGACTAATAAAATAACCGTCTGATGCAATTTGCCAAAAAAGCACTAGCTGTGGTCACTTACGGGTCAAAGACCTCCCAGTCCTCCTCATATGAGGTTTCAGGAGGAGCAACGGGTATCGTGTGTACGTAGCTGCCATCCGACATACATCCAGGGGCTGATGGAGACACAAAGACAAAAAAACTCAAATTAAAAGATTAAACCTGTGCAGCAAAGCTTGTGAGCAGCATTTTTCTGATGGCTGCTGTGTTGCCTTTCCTCCATTAGTGCTTCCTGTGTAAAACCCCAATGTGGGAATGACTTTTCTCTTTAACTGATGACAGACTTCCGAAAACGTTTTAAATAAAACTGAGTTAAAAATGCTCACAACTTATTGAATACATCATTCTGAAACAAATATTTCAAAATTCAGTAAAAGAGAAAATGAAGCAGGCTGTGTTTTGGAGGCCTCATTATGAAGGCGATTGCTCAGGAGGAGAGCATAGTACTGACCAACACAGAATACCTAGTACTTTTCATGATGGCTATACATGTCATTTGTTTAAAAATCGTTACATCTTGTTTAACCCCTAAAGTCGAAGTTTCCCTAACCTATTAATTTCCTAGATAGCTCTTGTTACCTGTCAATGGGGGCATGTCAATTTCTGTAACAATCTCTCCCTCTTCTATAGTTGAATCAGAGGTGATTTGAAGACTCTGAGGTATCAACGGGGAAGTGAGACACTGGGTGATCCCTTCGGTGGACGTGAGAGCACTGCTTGGGATTTCTTCTGCCTGCTCGATGTCCAGCTGTTTTATGATTTCCTCTGCTTCCACTGCTTGGCCTGGAGAGTCGGAGCCTGGGGTGGCTGAAAACCAGCAGAGTACAGTCAGTAAAGGACACAACACATCACAGAAACAATAATGAACACTTTGTCCTGCAAGGAAGATTGAACAGATAACAGTAAGGCATTTTAAAGTTAAAGAGTACTACAGTCGATTATGATGAACGTAAGAAAGTATAAATGAAGGCAAACAGAGAGTGGCATCATCAATCTGTGAACACCCACCCACCAAACTCTTAACTTGTCAGTGTTAGCTGTGATGGTAGGAACTGTTCAGTAAGGATGCACTTCCCTCACAGCGAACAGAGGAAACCAGGAGTGTGTCCCAGTGTACAGTATCTTTCTGTTATCAACGAATAAAACTAATTACATATTCAATTTAACACTACATTTCAATGCTCACGACAAACAGGAAAACAGGGCATAATGTTTCCTTAATGAGAAATTTCTCAAAAACATTAATACTATTATATTTGAAATAATAAACATATATGTATTACTCATCCAAAATATTTCAGTTGCAATAAGAATTATCTGTTGGTATTAAGATTGTTTATTAAGAACTCTGCTTGGGTTATTTTCCACATATGACCTTTACAAAAAAAAAAATTAAATAAAAAATGAATTATGCATCCAAATCCCAGGCGGTGGGGGAAACTTGACTCCTCTACGACCAGAGGAACAGTTTGTTTGGAGCCCCATATTGGATGCTCAGAGTGTGGAATAACATGTCTAAAATACCAATATCATTTAGCTCACTGTTTTCTTACCAGTTTTAGTTGCTGGTGAGAAAAAGTTAAAGACCGGGGAGAAGATGGTTCCCAGCAGGGTGGTGCGTGGTGGGCTGCTTGCTGTGTTGACGGGGGGATCCATTTTACCGTTTGGTTTCATGGGTTTACTGTTGCATGACACCATGTCTATTTATGGAAAAAAAGACAAGAAAAACGCTTCAAATACTGTTTTCTCACTAAAAGCTGAGACTGAAGACTGAATCCGTTACCTCTATTAGGAGTTTTCCGACAAACTCTGGACACAGTTTTGTTGGGGAGACCTCTGGTCTGTGGAGTGGAAGTGATGAGATTATCGTCCGGATTAGAGTCCATCCGACTCCTCTTGGCAGGGATATCCTGCTCCACCTGGGAAAGAAAAGAAAGAGACACGTGGGTCGAAAACATGAAACATGAAAAGGTTGAAACATCAGCCAAAAAAAAAAAAAGAACGTGCAAAGAAAAAATGTGAGTATTGATAATCCATCATCAACCACAACAAAACAAGCTGGCAAGGAAAAAACTGAATGACACGCTTACTCGTATCACCCATTAAACCCAGTGACGCTTTGTCTTTGCCCTGGGAAGAATGTAAAAACAGCAGCACAGTCTTCGTCTGGGCCTACCTTGACAGCATTTCCACGGATAAACTTCTTTATGGTGGACAGCAGTCCAGTTTCATTCTTCTGCATTTTGCCTCGGACTCTCACTGGGGATGGCTCCAACTCACAATGTTTCCTTTTGGCCTGGGACGGGTGCGTTCTGGGGCCTGTGTTCAGCTGCTGAGGAGCTTTACGCACTCTCAGCCTCATCATGCACTGACGTCACATAGAAAAGTCTGTAAAAAAAAAAAAAGGGAGAACATTAGCCGTGTATTAATTATCTGCTTAATTGGCAGTGCGGTTTGCAGCTCAAACGTGAAAAAGAAAACATCATTTTGACAAACGGTACATCATCACCCTCTTAGATGATCCTCTCACTTCCCAGCAGGTGATCACGGATTAAAGATGCCCTTAAATGTCCCAGATCAGTTTTTACCTGTCCCAAGGAGTAGCCTCACAATTTAAAGACATAAAAATTGCCGTAATAAACTCTTAGAGAAACGTTTTTAATAACTTGAATGTAAATCTCCAAATGTGTTCAACAAGCCATCATGTGTAAACTTGATCCACGCCCACCAAAACAAACGCAATTTGCTTGAGTGTAAGGAAGTAGAAAGTTTGTTGTATGAATCAGAATAATTCTTGTTGGTTGATTAGTTATTTTGAATGCTAGACTTCACTCAGACTGCAGCCAAAATAAATGAATCGTCAAACCAAAACAAACACTTGTACAGGAAGTTGTAGTTCTCCTTCCATTGATACTAGAGGCATTCGTAAATATGAGGCTCTTTGGGGATATGATAGGTGTTAAGCGTGTATATTTTGGAAACCATTTTGCTAATGTGTTGGGACCTTAATTATTTCCGATCGCAAACGGAACCACAAACAGTCGTTATGCAACATCGGACAGGCTGAGTTAACACAAACAGCGGCAGCCGCTAACGCTAGCCAAGTGCTGGCATGTAGCAACAACAGCCCCGTTCACATTCAAAATCAGGTTGACGCTGGTGTCTCGTGGTCGGTAGTTCATCAATGTGTTAATGAGGCTCCAACTGGCACTCATCAGTCGCATGCATCAGCTGTTAATTACAAGTAACGCCACAACAGACTAGTGCCCCGGGGTTCTGTGGCTAACAGGCTAAATGTAGCTTCGAGGCTAACAAAACGCAAAGGGAAGCAAAACCCATGCCGTGACATTGTTCGGTTCGCAACAAACAGGGCTTCCACTTGTCTCCGCCAACGTCTAGTTGTTCAGTAAGCAAGTTATTAATTATTTCATTATTTTAATAAAGCAAGAAAACAGGGTATTTTGTTCGCTCCATAACTATGTTCAGCCATTAGACTACGCCCCCTTCGCTGACTAACGTTAGCCACTAGCTAGCAGCTGTTGGCTTTCACGGGGACAAACGTTTCTGTTTATACAATGTTTGCTTCCTACCGATTATCTTGGAAGCTTTCGAAAACTTGCCCAAGCGCTGTCAGCTCTCGGCTGCGACCGCGGTGGCCACCAACCGAGGTCGAACCGTGTTTACCGCCGAGCCAGCTGCCTTCGTCGCTCGGTGGCTAGTCACAGACGAACCATGTCTTCAGACGCCATTTCCCGCCTCTTCACAAACATAACGTTGGTGGTGCGCAGGGGAATGCGACACAGACGTAGAGGAACCAACGTGGCGGAGTCAACAGGAAAATGACAATGATGTGCACAGCTGGACTAACGCGCTCTGCCACCCCGTGGGTATTGATGTGTGGCTACAAAAAAACATTCAATTACAAACTTGCTGAAATGTTTGCATGTACCGGTATTTAAAAAAAAAAAAAAAAAAAAAAAATTCAAGTTTGTTTGATTCGACAGAAGGTCCTTCAAGGTACAACTCCAGCGGCCCAAACAGTAAACGTTCCTTGATATCCTACAAGTAAGTAATATATTCAGGAAAGGAACATTAAACATTTAAAACTACAAACGAGTAAATAAAGATAGGTGAAATTGTAACAACGAGACAGATAACATTAGGACACCCCATATGGATCTATTACTAATAGAAATCCGACGTTTGGACATTTTTAAGTTTTAACATGAAGACGGTGACTGAAAGGAGAAAAGATGGAACATCATAGAGGAAATAAACCTCAACAGCCAATCTATAGGTCACTGAAAAGCAAAATCGAGTTTAAAGCCAAATACACAAAACAATCACATGTTATAGAAGATACATGGAACTTCCCCACAAGAAAATAAACAAAACCTTTTTATCTGTGACTAGTGTTCTGAACAGGGTTTACACAGACTTGGGGTCTGGCTCCACATTTTCCTGGATGTAAATACAATAAAACAGTTAGGTCAAATGAGTGAAAGTTTTAACCTGCATTGGTTTTGTCTTCCTGTCATACAGAAAAAGCAGAACAAATCTAATCCTCAATTCTCAAACTGTTCAGCATCATAAAATCTAATGCGCTCATTTAGTCGGTGAGTTTGAGACTCCCACAGATTGATTTAGACATTTTAATAACATTTACTGCAGTAGCTATCACCATCACAAACATCCGTATGAGGAAGTGTTGGGTGCTCATGAGTTCTGATGTCTCTGGGAAACGAAAAAAAGTTTTAAAAAACCTGTAGAACCGGTTTTGTAAATAGTGACAACATGCAAGAACAAGCCCTTCATTAACGCACAGCATCATAGTAATGACTGACAATTGTAGTTTCAGTAAACCTTTGAAACAGAAACACACATTTCTATGCAATATTTAGCATTGTGTCATACATTTTAATGAAAACAAATGCAAGCTGATATTAACAATCTTACATTTAAATGGTATTTTAATAATAATAAACAAGCACAACCACAATTTGTTTAGTTAATGTGATTATTTTATTGATTGAAGAACTGTACAGACAGAGAAAATAATCACGATGTAAAATAAAAAAATAAATCACTAAATCTGAAAATGATTTTTAAAAGGTAAGGAAAAGCTGTTGAGGTATTTCCCATTTAAATGGTCCAGCATCTCACACAAAACTTGCAGGATAAATGGTAGTATAACTACTGTGTTTGTTACACAGTTCCTGACTTTCACCATGAAATGCAATATGTACTATAGCATCAAAAAGAGTACATTTGTATACTTTTATTAGTGGCTACTGTCAACACTTATTCTGGATTACAGTCATCTAATTTGATCCAAAAAACAGAAGCATTGACTGGGCTAACTATTGTACACTGATATTATGAGATTATTGTTTTTACTGTATGAATTTGAATAAAATGGGCATGTAATCTTCACACAACAGAAAAGCTGAGTTAACTTAATGAAGTTTGTTATATCTTTTGTAAAAAAAAAAAAAAAATCTACAGGCCTCATTGAATGTATACAAGTATATTGAGATGTGAAAACAATAAAAAGAATGTTTAAAAATTATTAGACATTGTTCTTAGCTGCAATAAATGTTGATAATCATTGGATTTTCAGAAAACCTGAAGCATAAACGAAAAGCAACTCAAAGCAGCTAGAATTAAAGTGATACACCCTCTCTGTGCCATCAATAACAATCATTGTCTGCATTTTCCAGATGAACTGATATTTAAACAAGCCCAATGTGTTGTGACACTTCCTGTTTGAGTCCATTGTTTTAGGTGTTGTTATCTGATGAATATCAGGTGCTACCTTTCCCCATAACTTTTAAAATATGTTTGTCATACAAGCTGAGTTTTTATTTCATCCCAAGGTGCATGAGTTTCCTGTATGGTCCCGGTCCACCCCACAGGCCCCTAATGGAAGAGGCAAAGAAAATCACTTGTTTTTAAAGTTGTTTATGTAAAAAGACTGATCACTATCAGCTGAGAAAAAGTTCAACCACCACATACGAACCTGAGGAGCCCGTGCCAGTAGAGGTGAGGCATCACGTCAGCTTTCATGTAGTACATTAGTCTCCTTTCTTTGGCCTGGTTGATTGGGAATGTCTCCAGCGGTTGTGCATTGTAGTCAAACTCTGCCAGAACCACTGTGTTGTAGCTTGTGACCAGCGGACATGAAGTGTACCCATCGTACTATAAGGAACAAGATGGTTAAGCTATAGTTTCTAATCACTCGTCCCACAGGGTTGCTTCTTAAAGAGTAAAAAATAATAACTCATTCTTTTGATATTCAGGTATGACTTACCTTTTTATCCGGTATCTGATTTTTCAGGATTCTGCTGATAGTTCTACCCAGGATTGCAGACTGTGCAGCTGAAAACATAAGTAAAGGTTGACGTTTTTTCTAATGCTAGAATAAATACAAATTCTAATCAGGGTTAAGACCACTTTTATATACATTTCTTTTTTTTTTCTTTTTAAATCCCAACAATAAGTGTCCTTAGCTGGAAGCAGAGTTGACTTAATTATTCCCCAAAAAACCCAAACTACGGTAAAGGGTGGTACTTTTTTCCCCTAAAAATAAATTACACAATCCCGACAATACAAGCAGGTCAGTGTTTGTTCCTTAGTTACAGAAGTTACAGACGTGACTCTGACTGACAAACCTCTTTCTTGCTCCTCTCAATATGTTCAATATTAAATTTAATATAAAAAATACATTAATATTCCAAACTGAAACTTAAAAAAATCTAAAACTGCAACGTTAGGATGTCCTTTCTGAACAACGAGATTATAAAGTTGGCAAATAAATTCCCTATCCTTTATTTGACAGAGCAGGTGGCGCCACCCTCAGGAGATTTGGCTCATACTGCCAGACAAGATACACCTTTGTTTTTGACATGTAATGACACAACCAGAACAAAAAGATAATTGAAGCTTGTCAGGTATTGGGTGAAATACTATCACAGGAACCTCATATGGGTGTGGTTTGGCTCTTTATGGTGGGGATTTTGCAATGCAGATTTGATGGAACATGGTGTAGAAGAAAAAGCTTTTCACAACTAATACAATCATGAGCTGCCAGTGGGAGCGTGACTCTTTCCTGCATTTTAAAAACCGATGACACGAAAGTCACTTACCCACCGCGGCTCCTGTTTTGGCTGTGGGAAGGTTGGTACAATCTCCAATCCCGAACACATTTGGATATTTGTTATGCTGGAGGGTCTCTTTGTTGACATCCAACCAACCAACCTCATCAGCTAGTGGGCCGCCTTTGATCACCAAACTCGGCCCCATTGGTGGTGTGACGTGAAGCATTTCATACTGGTTGACAAATTATAAATGTTACAAATTATAAAATGTCACAGTGTTGCACACAACAGAAAAATGTTGTGCACTGGACAAAGCAGCCAAAGCAACAAACAAACGAAATTTACAGTGGAGACAGTTACCTCAAACACTTTGGTTTCACCTGGTTTGTCAAGATTTTCAAAGACAGCCTCCTGTTTGTCTGCCCGCACTTCAATCAGATTGTGCCGAAGGTTCACCTGTAGATCACGAGTCTTCACGATGTCCCACAATGTGTCAGCGTATTTCTTGATCCCAAAGAGCACAGGTAGCGATGTGTTGTATATTACATTTGCCTTTGCCCTTTTACCTGTCTTTGGAGCAGAAAACTGGTAAAAACCCCAAAAATACATATTCATACATATTTAAGATATGATCAATAGATCAGAAGTACCTTTCTCAGGAAAGCATCTGACAAGTACATGATCTTTTGTGGGGCTCCAGCACATTTCACAGGGGTGTTCGGGAAAGTGAACACAGCATTTCCCTCTTTAAAGTCCTGCAGAGCCTTCCATGTTTTGTCCACAGTTTCAACAGAGTAGTTTGACCCAATCTTTGGGTGACCAAACCCCTCCGGTAGCCCTTTAATCTACATTTAATAAGTGCATTTGCATACATTAACAACATTTAAGAGGCACAGTTAAAACAAAGAAGTGAGGAAAAAAAGAGGGATCTCACCTTCTCAAAATGAAGTTGTAAACCAAGAGCCACAATCAAATATTCATATGAGATCTTAACAAAGAAGTTGACAAAGGACTATATTAGTTGAAAAGCAGCAGTATTTCTTAGGAATATTTATCTCAATCTTACTACAGTGAACTGTCAGAGAGCAGTCTCCAAAACAGAACACACCTCAGATCCATCGTCTGTTCGGACCGTATTTGTCTCTGGGTTTATTTCCTCAACCTTTGATTTCACCCACTTCACTCCAGATGGCATAATACTCGATGTGGAGCGACCTGATGAGGCAAGGGTTTTAGCACCAGCACCAACCAAAGTCCATATTGGCTGGTAGTAGTGCATCTAAAAAAAAGATGGAAGAGGTATAAAGATAGGACTTTCCATGACCAGAACACTGCCATAGCTGGGATGGAATCGCATGGATGTATAACGTTTTCTTTGAACCATTTATAGAGTTTTGCAGTTACTGTAAAATAGGTAGGATGAACTAATAAAAATCCTATTAAACATAAGTATCCTTGCCTCGGAGGGCTCCACAACAGCCACATTCTCAGCTCCGACCATTCTCTTCAGGCGTGCACTCATGGCGATGCCCCCACTTCCTCCCCCGAGGACGAGCACTTTGTAGGACTGCTTGGATAAGGCACGGCTGCTGGTGTGATAATGAGAGATAGCGATGCCTGCCGGGTGGCACTGCCTCAGATGGCGCAGCGAACTCATTTTGAGACTGATCCTTCAAAACAAATCATTTTTGGTTAGAAAGAACTCCATTTGTGCAGGCTCAACCTCATCCACGTCCCCAATCTGCACTTCCTGTGTTATTGCTTCAGATTCACACCCAAAAAACACACCATAAAAACAACACCAGAGATTGTAACTAATCATTTTGACTATGAATGAGTAGTGTAAATGACTCATTACTAAGACAGCTTCATTTCATATTCAGTCTGCTGTCTACCTGTAACCACAGTAATAAGGTCATAAATGTGACTGTGGCTTTTATAGCCACAGCCATTGTAATGATGAGGTTTACAAATTTAACGGTCTGGGGGAAGAAAAGAAAAAGGACGGCTGCACTGACGTTTCTTTAAGTAAAATCTAGCTCTAACCGAAGATTTTCTATGATGACAACGAGATTGAACACCGTTAAAGCATATGCTACTGGCCTATTTCAAAAACACCTTTAAACATCTGAACAAACAGCAGAAACAAACCCGCAATCACACGCGAGGTTGATTGTTATCAAGGTATGGTCTGAGAAACTATGTCTCCCCCATAGCAGCTGCATACTGCGCAACAGACGACACCTTTCACAACACTCATTCCTACATTGGCTCAGACTCGAAGACTGCCGGGTTACGTCTAAAAACAGTCTTGCGTGACTCTTACCTGAAGCAGCGAATAGTTGTCCTTAGAAAGTCCTTAAAACACTTAAGTTACTCTTCTCTTCCCTGCTGCTGTGCTTCACAAATAAAGAATACCACAACACCAGACAGGGCAGTAGTCTTTTGTAATTGATCAACGCCCCTCAGAAGATAGACAGGACAGATGTCCAATTACAAATTAAATGTAAACTTAAGTCCCGCCTTTTTCAATGACCGACCAATCACAAACGACTGCTTCTACCCGTCAGACCTGCTTGTGAACTCTTGCTCAAACTTCATTTACAGTAAGGCTGCAACTTCACCCTAACGACGACGTAAAAAATGTAGGTCAAATGTTTGTAACGCTATATCTGAACTGCTGTAAGTGAAACCTGCCAGTCACGCTGCAACAGAGACAACTCTGGAGGCACATTTGTGTGTGTCTGCGTGCCTATGGTGGCTCTCCGTCCTCTTAGCGTGTCACCCTGGATGAAATAACCCCTGAAGGGCGTGTTTGTGATACAAACACAGACATGTCGCTGTTTTTTTCTCCCCCTATAGAATCAGATTTCCAGAGTTATACAAGTTTCTTACCCTGCATTCATACCATTTAAACCACAGGGTCTGTTGAGCAACTGTAAATGTTTAGCACTACTTAAAGAAAAGAATCGCCATTTCTTCCATGGAAACTTATTTAACGTCCACAAACACACACAAATCATTTTAATCATTTTCTTAGGCAGTCATTATTTTTCATGTTATTTTTACAGTGTTACAGAATCTGAAAAATATGCTTGCTGACTAAAAATATTAATTAGGAAGAACATTGATGTTACACAAAATTTTCAAATAAATTAGTTTAGGTCCTGTTTCTACGTAGTCTGAGCGTCTTGTGATATTCTTATAGATGTATTTAAGTAAGTCAATAGTATGATTGAGTTTTCTCCTTTACAGGAATTATTCCTTGCTCCAATTTTTCTCTCTGTCTCTCTCACTTGAAATGAAAACTGTCAACACATGACAGACTGTTTGCCGCCCTGCTCCTTAGCACACTTTAATCCCTTTATAATGAGGACATCAGGTGGTTTGATATTCCCTACGGACCCGCCTCGCCCTGTCCACACCTGTTTATGCGTTTCACAGGTCAGATACGGCAGGTTATCACCTGAGGATGGCACAGTTACCTGGAGACTATTGGATTAACAGTCTAAAGTGGTTGGTCTGTTTTATAACCTTTAGACAACAATGTTCCAACCAGGACTCCTCATTTTAAAATGAACATTTTAAGAATTTTAGTTGATGATTTGCCTGTGTTTCCTTGTTGAAATGTTGGTGCCATGGCCAGAAATATCCAGTACACAAACTCTGTGATGTTCTCTTTGTTTTCAGGCTGGAATATTCAGTACTGGAGAAGAGTTGTTTCCATAACCCCTGGAGGTATTGTTAAATGGGTTTTTCAACATGTTACAAAATTGATGAATGTGCTTTTTAAATGTTACTGTTCCATTGTGTTTTCAACAGAGGAGTTCAATATACATTTTAACAAAAATATAAAAAAAAAAACACTATTTTGACCACTTTAGGCTGATCTTGCTTGTCCTGGCATGATGAAAAGGGCCTTGGATGCATTTAGCATTTTTTAGCTCCATGCTCTGCAGAGAATCAAAAAGAATTGTTGAATAGTTTTTCTGGCGTCAACCACACCCATCATCACACCCGTCATAAAATCCTAAAGTTTTAAAGATTTAGTTGTGTATCTTTTCAGCAAAAAAAACAACAAATATATATACATATATTTAGTATACTATCAATAGTAGAATAATGCAAACTTATTTCTCTTAAGGACAGTGTTTTTTCACTTTGTTTTCAATGACTGCAATAAATCACTAATACAGGCAACTACTGTGCACTAATTGTGTACTGATGCACACTGACACAGCGGGCCTGTTCCAAAATAACACAAACGCCTTAGCTGAGCTGCTGTCAGCGATACTTTGATCTGACACTGATCCAAATACTTCATTTAGAATCTGAACAGGTTCAGCACGCACTGGTATCTGCCAGCCTTACAGTTCCATGACCATTAAACACCTCTGTTGTACTCTCTGTGTGAAAATACAGAAAACGTTTGTGACAAAAAACACGAAGAGCAATTTAGGTCCCTGTTATCTTTTTTGTGACTAAATGGAAACACCTCTAAACTAAAATAATAGAGATTTCAAAGAATGGCTCTTCTGATCAGGTTCATGTTTCCCATCCAGGTAACATCAGTTTATGTTTTCAGTCTCACACATATTATGTTTTTGACAACTTTTGAATTTAGTATTCTACTCAGACTGAAGTTCATGGGAGAAAGGGTCAAGGGTTTCAAACTAATTGCACTTAAATATGACCACCAGCACGCAGTTTTACTTATAGGCCATTTGTGAGATCTGTTATTATGTTTCCCCACTAATTTAAAGAAAATTATTGATATGATCATGCAGACATATTTTCCAGCAGAATTTGTTTACTTAAATATAGATCAAGAAAGTTTATTTATTCCTTTCCAAATAACTTGTACGTTTCTTCATGCTTCTTGCTTCCTCTGCCTCACCATTACTATTGTGATTTAGCCTCTGAGTTTGTTAAATTAACATTCAGTCCTGCATTTTACTCACAAAAACATGTGTGTAACGACCCTAAAAGGGATGGCATCTATATTTTTATTCGCTATTAATTATGAGATTATTGAATCCGAGGTGTTTGAAACCTGTGCTGACCTTTGTCTCTCGCCCGTGATAAATATAAAATTTGTTAGGTGCTTGCCAAGGATCAACTTACAAAGTCTAAACCCACAACAGCACACACACACAATGGCAGCAACAAATGACAGTATCACGATGTGTAAAGTGTGAAGACAAAAGACGTTCTGCATTGATAGGGTTGTTGTAATATTTGCGTGGTCACCCTCTGTTGCACTATGATGTATATTTTTTTTACTTTGCCATCTTACATCCGAAATACCTACTCTCTCCCTCTTTTCAAAACAAAACTCAAAACCCACCTGTTTAAGATTTCTTACCCAACTCACCACCTCTAGCTCCAACATTCCTCTCATTCTGCACAGTTTCATTCATTTGATTTTTATTTAATTCATTTATGATGTTTTTATTTATGATGTATTTATGACTTTGTATGTTTCTTATGTTTCAATGTTGTTTTAATGATGATCGTCTTTGCAAAGTGTGCTTTGTAAAGCACGAAAGGCTATTTTTAAAAATAGAAGTCTTACTCTCATTGATAGCTACCAAGCCAAAGAGGCACACACCTGTTTTCCAGCTCATGCATTGTGTCATGACCTTTTAGGAATACGGCAGTTGGTGGTTCTCGGGGGGTCTGCTGGGGGCGGATGCCTGGTTGTCTCTGTGACGGTCTTCCTGGGTTCTGAGCTCCCAGGTGGCTGCTGGTGGACTGTAGCTCAGGGCCTTCTTGGAGTGCTGGGGGGGGGGGGGGGGGTGCAGTGGCTGACGGCGTCTTTGCAGCCATAACTGATTTAGCTGCATATTTTCTGGTGTCTGCAGTAGCCTATAATTATCTTCCAATGAGACCAAAATGTTGCAATTCAGATGAATAACAATGAAAATGAAAGGGATTAGATACACTTGTGTCGCACCATCTTTTTTTCTTTTACTCCTTCCTTTGTTTAAATGGCAGCCAGCACAAAGAGACTCACGGCAGAAATCAGTGCTCATCCTGGCAGAAATGAAAATGCAACAAAGAGGACCAGCCTTTTTGCAGCAAGGCACCTCTGCAGTGTGCCGTGGAACTTTTACAAATACACCACAAGGGGGCGTTAAAATGACAAATATGTGAGGTTTGATATGAATGATAAGAAAATTCAAATAAAGGCAGATGCCGACGTCAGAAAGTCTGCTTTTGAATACAACGATAAAGAAGGATAAGCTCAATATATTTATGTGATCTCAAATCAAACGAACTCTTACATTTTTTCTTTATTCTATTAATATTTTGTTTATTATTTGTTGTTTTTACCTTTGAGACTTTATAATGAGGGTAAGTTTTTAGTCGAGCCCTATACTTAAATGAGCCTTACCTGAACTAAACTGAGTTGAATTAAACTGAGTGTAATTCAGGGCGGTCCCACAGAGTCTCGCACCCCCTCAGCAGTCCGTCCTTACAGGTCTAAGTCAACTGATTCCGTGGGAAGAACATCATGAAGTGATGATGAAATGTTGCAGGTTTTCTGGCATCTTCACGCACTCAGACACAGAGGGACACGCTCGCTGCAGCACGTGCGCCCGCACGCGCGCGCGCACGCACGCACAGACTTCCACCTTTTCCCCCGGTGATGTGGAGACTCCAGCCCGGCCCCTCTCGGTGAGAGATGGTGCGTTTCTGCGCACCGATTCTCCTCACAGTGGGAGCGATTCTCCACGGCCCACACCATCCACAGCCGGCCGCTGACCATTACTCACCAAAGCCAAACGGCTCTCTCCACTGACTCACATGAGTCCATCCATGTCTGCTGGTTACTCAAGAGGAGAAAACAGCCTTCTCTGCGGGGAAATCTGCGGAATGCGGCGCTTGGAATAATTGGCCGTCAACGACTGGCAGGATTCATGGAGACAACACAAGGCTGCATCTGTGACAAACTTGTGCAAGGTAAGAGCCCACCAGGCGCACGCGAGATTTATCTGCACCCATCTTATTCTAAGCTGAAGAAAAGTGCATCAAAGCTGATATTCTTGCAGGAAGATAGATGGATGGACCTTTAGAGGTTCCACCCCCAGCTCTGTGGCTCTCACCTGGGATCTTTGGCTCTCTCGAGATTGAACCACTGCTGTAGTCACACCCCTTTTGTTTCTAAGTTGTTTGTCTAAACAGAAAATGCAGCATTTCCTTGGTCATCTTGCTGATTCTGATGCCTCCAGCTTTTGTTTGAGTTAAATCTTTGCATAGGCTCTCCATGTGTTTGACAGGGAAAGCCTGGGGAGGTCCCAGGAAAAGATGGCATTCTGGAGGAGAAATACTCACGTCGGTAAGACCCTTTTAATCAAACCTATTCTCTATTTTCCCCTTATCAACTATTTATTCAATTCAACCAAGATATTATGATCTGATGAAGTGGCACCCTCGGCGAAGATGCAGTTTTCTGGCAGTCAATAATTAATGGAAAAACAAACGAATGAGTTAGACTCACAAAACGGCTCAAAATTAAGCTTTTCTTTTAAATCAGAAATCAGAATTTGTGTATTCTTGTCCTGGTGGTTGGACGACTTGGGCTCTCCTGGTGTGCAGGGCGTGGAAATTAAATAAAACTTTCAACAGTAACTAATTGCTCCGTCTATGTCTTTGAGTGTGTGTCTCTGGTCTCTCATGTCTGGTGGAGAAGTGTAAGTCATCTTTGATGTTATTCTTTAATCAAATAGGGTCCTTTAATAAAAGCTGGGGTTCAGTGAGCTGAATCTGTGTTTTTGCAGGGACAAACTAACATGCTTCCATCTGTTTCTGAGGGGATTTCTGTGTACACTATTTTAGTTATAATTATCTCAGCGATAAAGAGATCACTAACCCTAACCATCTTAATTATTCTGTCATCTCTGTGAAACTCTTTTTTTTCTTCTTTTAAAATACACCCCTGAGGCATTTGGGAATCATCTCTCTTGATCAGCTGCCCAGACTTGCAGGCTTGCCCAGGAATTTCCTTAAAAAAAACATCCGACACACACATTAGACAATGATTAACGTAGAGAGCCAAGTTTATTAGAAAAGCAAAACTACATTTGAATATCCTTTGATGAAATACAGTCTGAAAGCTTTGAATAGAGGCATGATTTATTCATCAGTGATAGTTGTAGTAACTGATAGCTGGACGATCTCAGTAGTTTTCTGCCGCGTGTCAGCGCCCGGCAGGTGTGTCATGCATTATTCAGCAGTGATTTAAGCTCTAACTGCGTCCTAACAGAGGCATTCTGGCCCTGCTGCTGGGGAAAAACTTAAAGTACTTTGGTAACTAATTTTTTATCATCCTTGCAGTTAAGACTGTTGATGCCACTGTTTCTGAATCCTTGTAATTTCTCTTGAGGCATTAGAAAGCAAGACCCAGCATGTTAATGACTCCTAATGCTTCACTCCAGAATATGAATGAATGTTGTTACTTCAGGTGCGGAGAGGGCAAGCAGAGACATGAACAAACCATGGGCATTATCTCAGCCTTGTGTCGTCAAATCCCTGAACTAGACTCCGCCAGTGAGATGTCATTTCCACTGGTAATTTCCAAGCCAAACTCATCAGCTGATTAAGACTGAATACATCTTAGTGTATATCGGTTTTACAGCAGCTCTTGTTTAGATTTATGATATGTATTTCGCTTTCTGGCCCCAGTAGGGCTCTTGTAACTAGTAGGTATCTCATTTGCTCCTGTGCCGCTTGAAACCATGGTTACCAGGACCTGGACTGTTGTCGCAAGATTGTATAATGCTTTGATGCTTTTATCACTTCTGTAAGATTTCCTCAATGTCCCGCTTTAATGGTTTTAGAATGGCCTGAAAGCTCGACTTAAGGTCAATCTTTATGAGCTGAATAAACTCACTAAATGTGTCACTTTGATAATTACTCATTCTTATACAAGCATCCTACAGAATAGCATAGAATTGACTATTTCTCAAGGTTTAGAACATGATGAAGACCCTGTATAAAATTGACAGAAAAGTGTGAGTCAGAGAATCTCCTGTCTGCTACATCACTGTATTTATGCTTGTGATATTATAGAAGCTTGACTGAGTTACACACACGTTAAACTGCACACACATCAGTCAGAAAAAGAATCGGTGAGACTGCCCAGTCAAACTGTTACTTAACCCTTCTCCTCCTGCATTCTCATTCATTTGATTAATAAATAGAATGGCGTTATTATTAAAATTCTGCACGTGACCTTTTCTTGCTTTGATAATCACTCTGCTTATAGAGAAGGAGCGCCGTGTAAAAGCCAATGCACGTGACTACAATGACAAGTTCTCATATGCCGTAAGTAAGCCTGATAATGCACTAAAGGAGTAATGCCTTTTCATGGACAATTTTGTGAATTCCGACTAAATTTCTGCAACCCCACTTTGGTTAAAATACATCAGGCAGACGGTACAACAGTCCCCTTTGAAACTTTTACACGACAGCTTTTCGCAGCACCTGGTTTCCCTTTCTCTTCCCTCTTTAATTGTCTTTATTGGTCTTTATTTAGATCTGTCACTCAGCTTTGTGCTACACAGCCCCTTTGTACTTAGGCATGATTTAGATTCGGAATTCTTAGTTCTGTCATTTTAAAGCATGATATGAGCGTATGGAAATAGCCTGAGAGCCTCCACCAGCACATACAGCAAACTGGGCTCTTTCAACCACACACAAAACTGATTTTGTTCTCAATTCCATATATTTTCCACAGGCAGCTGGCACTGATTCCCCTTTTAGGCAGCGTCCTTTGTGAGTTGTATTGAAATACCACACCACAAACAGGAAGTCAAAAATCATGCCCCAATTCATCCATCACACGAAGACTTCACACATCCAAATATATGCTCCCAAGCATAGAAAAATGTTATCTTCAACACTTATGTAAGCAGCTGTATTCAATCACTGATGCTTCTAAATATGTTCTTCTCTCAGGACAATCACATCAAAACCTCGAAGTACAACATCTTCACCTTCCTGCCCGTCAACTTGTTTGAACAGTTTCAAAGGGTGGCAAATGCATACTTTGTAGTATTGTTGATCCTTCAGGTATGAACTCCAGCTTTTTTAGGTGGATAAAAATAGAAATTGCATCACTTTAAGAATCCTGTGTATCAGGTCAAACAATAATATTTAATACTTATACTCTTGACTTCTTTTTCAAAGCTAATTCCAGAGATCTCCTCCCTGTCCTGGTTCACAACCATCGTGCCTTTGGTTTTGGTGCTGGTAATCACTGCTGTCAAGGATGCCACAGATGACTATGTCTGTTCTGTTGTTTATTAAGTAACAACTCAATAAGACTTTTGAGCTAGCAAGTGAACATTTGAACTTTTCAAAATTTCAGTTCAGACACAAGAGTGACCAGCAAGTCAATAACCGCCGGTCTCAGGTTCTCCTCAGGGGAAGGTAATTATTTTTAGTTTGACATTTAGCACAACGCTTGAACTCCCAAATGACAAATGTCGTTTATTTTCTCTTGCTTCCAAGTTTGCAGAATGAGAAATGGATGAACGTTCGCGTGGGAGATATCATTAAACTTGAAAATAATCAGTTTGTGGCTGTAAGTAAATGTTTTCCAAGTTATTTTGGTATCAAAGCTGCTGAGGGCTGGTTGTGTGTGCAGACTGATGTTTTACCTTGTTTGACTCCAGAATGTTTCATATGTGATGTGCACACAGGCAGACATCCTCCTCCTCTGCAGCAGTGAGCCGTACGGGCTGTGCTATATCGAGACTGCAGAGCTGGATGGGTGAGCGCTGCACTAGTTGAGTTTTGTAATAGAATGAAAGCTGACATCTGCTGTGTGGTATATATATATATATATATATATATATATAATGGTATAATATATGGTAAACTGTGACAATTTTGATATTCTCTCCATTTAGCGAGACAAATCTAAAAGTCCGTCAGGCTTTAAGTGTCACCTCAGATTTGGGAGATGTTTCAAAACTAGCGGACTTTGATGGTGAGACAATGCAGTGTATTTATTTTATTTTAACTTTTTTTTGTTAATTTTTTTTAGTTAATGTTGAATATTTATCTGATCTATATCTTGCAGTGATGGCTTATGTTGAGTGTATCAGTCCTTTTTTTGTTGTATTTTTTGTATTTCCTCCTCAGGAAAAGTGATTTGTGAACCACCAAACAACAAGTTGGATAAATTTACAGGAACGCTATACTGGAGAGACAATAAATACTCACTGGATAATGAAAAAATGCTTTTGCGAGGGTGTGTTCTCAGGAACACTGAGTGGTGCTTTGGAATGGTCATCTTTGCTGGTATGGTGATTCTTACACTCTTTCTCATTTTGAGAAGTTATCATTTATTTTAATATTATCCTGAGCCAGCTTACTAATGTTCTGTATACACTGAATGCTGCTCTTTTTGCCATCTAACAGGACTGCAAACCAAACTGATGCAGAACTGTGGGAAGTCTAAATTTAAAAGGACTAGTATTGATAAACTCATGAACACACTGGTTTTGTGGGTAAGGCGCTTTTGCTCCGATGGACTATTCCCAAATTATTTGCATCCTATATTCAAACAGTGATACTTATACCTTATGAAACAAGATTTTTTTTTAAATAAGTAATTTGCAGCTAATTTAAAGTTAACATTTGTTTCACAAAACAAGAACAAATCATATTTCTTAGAGAAAAAACTCTTTTCAGACATAGTGAGTGACAATCTTCATGCTAAGTCTGTTTGCAGAAAGAAAATGTGTTTTCTTACACAAAATTTTTATACACGTTTTTTTGTTTTCAGATCTTTGCTTTCCTCGTATGTATGGGAGTTATTTTGGCGATTGGAAACACTGTCTGGGAGACTTGGGTTGGCAAAAAGTTTGAAGTGTTCTTGCCCTGGAATGAGTTTCAGAGCAGTGCTGTTTTGTCTGGCTTCCTCACTTTCTGGTCCTACATCATCATCCTCAACACAGTAGTGCCCATCTCACTGTATGTCAGGTAAAGGCAAACAATGTACCCGGCTTAAATGACACAGACAAGGAATGTTCCCTGTTAAATATCCTACTGTCCCACTGAGTTATTGATCTAATGATGACATGTTTCCTCAGTGTGGAGTTTCTGCGTCTTGGTCACAGTTTCTTCATTAACTGGGACCAGAAGATGTACCACGGTCCGACGGACACTCCCGCCGAAACCCGCACCACCACCCTGAATGAGGAGCTCGGTCAGGTGGAGTTCATCTTCTCCGACAAGACCGGCACCCTCACCCAGAACATCATGGCCTTCAGCAAGTGTTCCATTAACGGGCAAACATATGGTATGGCTCGCACTGGCTCGGTCAACACGCAGGGATAATGACTTTATCATGTAATGTGGAATGTGGAAAGGTGAACCAAAACCCAAGAAAACATGCTGTCAGATGTCAGGGCAAAATATTTACAGCAAACTGTTGATTTGGTTGGAGTCTTCTACCAATAACAAGACGATTCACTGATTTCAGCATCTTGTTCTTTTCCCAGGTGATGTCTATGATGAATTTGACCAGAAAGTAGATATTACAGAGGTAAGTAGTTTCTCTCTCCATTTATTGATACATGCCACAAAGTAAGAATAGTGATGCAATATGTATCCGCAGAAAACAGCATGCGTGGACTTCTCGTTCAACCCTCTCAGTGACAGAACTTTTAAGTTTTACGACGGGAGCCTGGTCGAAGCCATTAAGCTAGAGGTTCCTGCCGTGCAGGAGTTCTTCAGGCTACTGGCTTTGTGCCACACTGTCATGCCAGAGGAAAAGAGTGAGGGTAAAGCCTACACATGGCCCACTACCTGATGGAGCCATAACTGCATTGTGAGCTGTTTCTTGATCTATGTGTTTGTTTGAATGAAGGGAATTTGGTGTACCTGGCTCAGTCTCCTGATGAGGGGGCACTGGTCACCGCCGCGCGAAACTTCGGGTTTGTCTTCCGGGCCCGAACCCCAGAAACCGTCACGCTGTGGGAGATGGGAAGAGCTGTCACCTACCAGCTGCTGGCCATTCTGGACTTCAACAACGTGCGCAAGAGAATGAGTGTCATTGGTTAGGTTTTCACTTATAAAAGCAATGTTCTGATTAATTCGTCAAAATCAACAGCAAACTCCTTCAGATGAAACAGTTTTTTTGCAATTTGTTCAAAAGATCATTTTGTGTGTACATTTAGACACAGGTACATGTCTCCAATCAGTTGTCAATGCATTTTTCATATGTTATCTTATGGCATTTATCTTTAAAAAAAAGAAAAATAAATATTTGTTTTCTGGCTGTGTTTTGTTATCTAGTAAGAAATCCACAGGGCCAGATCAAACTGTACTGCAAAGGAGCAGACACAATTATATTTGACCGTCTGGATCCATCCAATGAAGACCTCATGAACACTACCTCAGAACACCTAAATGTAAGTATTTAACAACAGATGGTATCTATTATTTAAAGAGTTTAGATCATGACCAGAAACAAGTTTCTAATTTTACATTAGTAATCCCATCTGTTAAACCTGAGTGGATTCGCTGTACATAGGCTTTGTTGTCTATATGAAATAAAAACTGAGTAAGTGATTATTTGTACTGATAAATGGGCTGCAAGTATCTAGCATTATGAATTCTAAAAGAAAAATGACCAATCACTCATATATAGTCCTTATTGTTGTCTTGTCTTTCTTTGAACTTTTTCTTTGCAGGAGTTTGCAGGAGAAGGGCTCCGAACACTCGCTCTGGCCTACAAAGACCTTGATGTAGACTATTTTGAAGTCTGGATGAAGAAGCTTTTGTTTGTGAGCACTGTGATCGATAACCGTGAAGATCAGCTGGCTCTTCTGTACGAGGAGATTGAGCAGGGAATGAAGGTAAAATTTCCATCCGTTTGTTACCAATTACAATTACTCTCATTCAGCGACTGCAGACTGACATTTGACTCGGCTGAAGCTTCTAGGAGCCACAGCAATTGAGGACAAACTTCAGGAGGGAGTACCAGAAACAATCGCCCGTCTGAATTTAGCAGACATCAAGATCTGGGTCCTAACAGGGGACAAACTAGGTAGCTAAAATGAATCTAAATGAAGCTCTTGATCAGGCAGACAGTAGCTGCCGTGAAAGACTGATCTGGGAACTGTGATATTTCAGAGACAGCAATGAACATCGGGTACTCCTGCAACATGCTGCGAGATGACATGAATGAGGTGTTCGTTGTCTCTGGCCACACCATGCTGAACGTGCAGCAGCAGCTCAGGTGACTCATCAAAATCACACAACAAAAGCCACCGAGGAGCTGTGCTGCACAGCTTTGTTTCTTTGCTTCTTTTTGAAAAATCTATGGCTTTTGGTGATTTTTCATCTGCCTAAAGACAAGATTGTTATGCAGCCATTAAGTCATGTGATGAACACATTGAAAGCGTGTGCTAACCGTCTTCTGCGTCTCCTCAGGAGCGCCAAGGAGCTCATCCTTGGCCTTAGTCGAGTTAGCAGCGCAGGGGAAGTGAATAAGACTGAAATGGTTGCAGATGATTCAGTGTTTGAGGAAACCATTGTTGCAGAGTATGCCTTGGTCATCAATGGACACAGTCTGGTGAGGTTTGATTAGATTAATTTAATGAATAAATGCTTTTTTATCCTCTGTGTGTATCCATCTCTTTGCATGTTTTTCTTTGTTGCTGTAGTGATTACAGCTGACGTCGGCCTGTTAAATGTCAGCGTTGTCGTCTGTTGAATCTCCGCATCTCTCTAACTGCTGCTGAATAAACAAAGTCTAATTAGCAGAAAGCGGCTGTGCTGCTAAAGGCCGTCAGCTCTATTACAAGTTTTCATTAACATCCGTTGCCTCCATCCTGGCTGCGCCTGGGGAAGTGTGTAGCATACACAGTTACACCGGGCTGTTGCCTGGTGCTGCCTCTGCGGGGGGTTGAGGTTATAGTGGCGGTAATGATGGGTTTAACAGGTGTGATGGATGTGTTTGCCTTCCAGGCTCATGCTCTGGAGCCCCAGCTGGAGCACTTGTTGCTGGATCTGGCCTGTTTGTGTAAAACAGTCATCTGCTGTCGGGTGACTCCGATGCAAAAAGCTCAGGTGGTGGAGCTGGTGAGGACGCACAAGAGGGCTGTCACCCTGGCTGTCGGAGACGGGGCCAATGATGTCAGCATGATAAAGAGTAAGAGTCGGAAAGAACAGCATAAAGCAAGTCTGTTGTGTATTTATATTACATTAAAGTCCCGGAGCTTTGAATATCATTTCCTTGTTTTCAAATCTAGATTAATGTCATGAGACGCATTAAATAAATCTTGTTCCAAGCAAGAGCCAGCCTTCAAATGAGAAAAAAAAAATCCCCAAAAAGAAACGTTCTATTAGTTCAGAGGACTTTAATATTTAGAACAAAATCTGAACATCAGAATACTGAGAAAGCATCTCAAAAAGATGACAATGGATGCAAAACACAGAGTTTGTAAACTTACATGCTGGAGCCACACAAAAGCTGAGTTTGACAAAAAAAAAAGAGCTGATGGTGTTTGTTTCCTTCAGAAACCTCAGCATGTTCCTAAAGTGAGTTTATGGTATAATTATATATTCATGTACTAGTCACTAGTGAATTATTTACAACTATTGATTATTCCCAACTCAGAAGCAAGATAGGGCTGGCACTAAATCCCCATTTTTCTTTCGCTGTATTTCAGATTTTCAGACAGGTGAACTGTCATTATTACAGAGTGAATATGCTTGTGTTGAGCTGATTTTTTCTCACTACCAGGCTGCTTAATTAGTAAAGGGACCATCATATATGAAAGCACCATCTGTTGGTCAGTCAGTTTTCTTGAAAAATCTTATATCTGTTCTTTTTGATTATTTTAACTGGAATGAGTATTTAGAGTACCTGGTATTATGTCTGACAGAATAAGACTTAAACATCCTTACACACTTTAAGAATATGTCCATTTTACATTAATTTAACAAAATAGACAATTGGAAATGGATCAGTTATGTGGCAGTAATGTCAGTCATCTTATTGATGACCTTCTATTTTGTCTTTATTTTTGGCCTTCTTCTTGCTTTGGCAGCAGAAGCTGCATTGTTTTTTGGCCTGAATGAATTATACATTAGAACTGGTCATCTGATGCCAGCCCCAACTGTTTGACACGAGTATCCTCACAATCAGAATAAGGGAACCTGGCATGTGCCACAATTTTGCGTGCTGATACATGTATTTGTTTTGTTGTCATGGTGTTTCTGTGACTTAATTATCCTTTAAAATGTCCTGTATATTAGTTCTATGCATTTCTGTTTTTATTTTGTGTCACAAGTGAACTCAACACAACACATATGTTCTTAAAGCGTGCGTGTTTACTTTTTTTCAGCCTAAATATGATATTTAGAAATGACTGGTGCTTCATTGACTTATTTCTTACTGACTGATTAGTGTTTTGCGTTTTTTTCTGCAGCTGCTCATATTGGTGTTGGAATAAGTGGACAAGAGGGGATGCAGGCTGTTCTAGCTTCAGATTACTCTTTTGCTCAGTTCCGCCACCTGCAGAGGCTCCTGCTGGTGCATGGACGCTGGTCTTACTTCCGGATGTGTAATTTCTTGGCCTACTTTTTCTACAAGAACTTTGCCTTCACCCTTGTTCACTTCTGGTACGGCTTCTTTTGTGGTTTCTCAGCACAGGTAAGAGGTTGCTTTGTATCATATAGCTTTTTCTTATATGAAAGTTAATTCGATTCTGAATAAAACTGTCTTCCTTTCCACAGACTGTGTATGACCAGTGGTTCATAACCCTCTTCAATATTATTTATACATCTTTACCAGTTCTGGCAATGGGACTTTTTGATCAGGTAATGTTAGATGTGGGACATGAATAATTCAACACAAACTTCATTATTTAACATAAACTAAGATGAATTTTAAAAGCTGCGTCTTTATTTATGCATTTGCACAGGAAAATACATTTCTTTCAGTGGCATCTATGATACAGTTTCTATTTTCAATATCAGAATATTTCCTTTTTTTCCTACAGGACGTCAATGACCAGAACAGCCTTCGCTATCCAGGCTTGTACAAACCGGGCCAACAGAACCTTCTCTTCAACAAACGGCAGTTTTTCTTGTGCGCACTGCAGGGAATGACTACATCATTCTTGCTCTTTTTCATTCCCTATGGTGCCTTCTCTGTTATGGAGAAAGAGGACGGCTCCCACTTTTCTGACCAACAAGCATTTGCTGTCACCATAGCAACCTCCTTGGTTATTGTTGTGAGTATTCAGGTGAGTCTCTAAAAAAAGAATAAAGTGAATTGAAATGTGGTCTGGTTGTTAAAGGGGTTGCACATTAATGATATGTTATGTTGTTTCTGCTCCCAGATTGGACTTGATACACACTACTGGACGGCTGTCAATCATCTCTTTGTCTGGGGGAGTCTGATTGTGTACTTTGCCATACTGTTTGGGATGCAAAGTGATGGCTTATTTGGCCTTTTTCCAAGTCATTTCCCATTTATCGGTGAGTTTGGCTTAATGTGACACAAGAAACTAATAATGACACCATGGGAATGAAATACCATTACATTTCTGTGTCTCCTCAGGCACGGCCCGTAACTGCCTCTCAGAGAAAAGTGTATGGTTGGTCATTCTTCTCACCACTGTGGTGTGTGTTATGCCAGGTTTAGTCATAAGCCTTTTGAGAGTGGATCTCTTCCCAACTCTAACAGACAAGGTACACAATTTGTTATATAAGAAGTGTGTATTAAGTGAGTTAAATTTAAAAAGTTCTGGAAACATATCGACAACGGTACAACAGTATTACAATGAGTGCAATAGAGTGCAATAGAGCACAATAGAGCTTTAAGTTTACTTGCATTTGGGATCAAAGAAATGATTGTATTTTGCAGGTCCGTTGTCTCCAGCAGTCCAGGAAGAAGCAAGGACCTCAGGGGCAGAATCTGAGGCGAGTGCGCCGGACCAGCTCTCGCCGCTCTGCCTATGCCTTCTCCCACCAACAGGGCTACGGAGAGCTGATTACCTCGGGCAAAAACATGAGGATGAGCACAGTATCTTCTGCTTGCTCCCCTGAAAGAACAGCGCATGGCTCCAACTGGATAGAAAATATGTTAAAGAGAAAGAACGAAGTGTCTTGCGTGTCCCAGGAAATAGCAGGTGCACCCGGAAGCCTCTCCAGAACAATAGAGACCGTCAACTCTTGAGTGAGGGGCTGTGGACATCACAGGATGTAGGGATCCTAAAAACCAAGCACAAGCTCCCCAGTGTCTTCATTTGGGTAAACCTAGGCTCAAATCAACAATACAAATGTACCTCATTTTTTATTAACATGACACACATGGGCTGAATATTAGGGGACAAGATTAAAGGACAAACAAATCATACTTATTCCCAACATTCTAGCTATCTTTGATTAAAAAAGGCAAACATTTTGGTCGTCAGGAGGCAGGAACCTTTCTTAAATTTGCAACTTTCACTTCTACAAGAGCAGGTATAGTTTAATGGCATATTATGCAGAACTTGTTAGAGATGAAGCAGCAAATGATATCAAACAATCTTCAAACGTACGTTTTGCCCCCTTAATTTGGATATAAATCTTTCCTTAAGGTGTCAAAACCTCGTTTTTGCTATCATCCCAGGATACATGTAGCCCTGATAATGACTTCAAAAAGCACATGAATCTTTCCCTTCAAGCTACCACTAAAGTGCTAAAATAGAGTTAAATTCTGAAATGGAGCTTCTGAATGTTGAAAAGCACAATTTTTTACATTCTCCTCACTCTATATTGCGTCGGTTTTGATGCCAAACTTATTGAGCCAAGATTGACTGACTTCCCTGTTCTGTGCCTTGTCTGTTTTTTTTCCTTTTTTGACCTGAATGTATTAGAGGATGTGTCATAAATGAATGCTTGGCTTCAATCTGAGATGTGCTTGAAAGGAAAAAATATTCTTAATGTTTAGTCTCCGACATATTATAACTGATCAAATTCAAAGCATCAGATCAATTAAATGAAACAGTGAAACAGTATAAAGGCTGAAAAATATTATAAAAAAAGAATGTTTTTTGTGTATTTTCAGTAGATATTTCAACTGAAAAAATTGGCATTGTGGTGCTCTAAGCAGGGTTGTGTGAATGCCAAAAAAACTTTAATGTTAAACAAAGGTTTAGGTCAAAAACTATATTTCAGTTCAAAGGCCTGTTTTTTGTTGATCACTAATTAACACACAAAACAGTGGTCATTTTGACTGATAGTGATTGTTTTAAACAATTTTTTGAGCCATTAAAACTGATTTTCCTGCTGCTGCTTGGCACAACATTAGAGTACAAATATGCAGCAAATGTGTGCGACCACCATTTATTTCAGCACCGAGGAGTAGCATGTGCCTTTGAGATACTACCATCATTGATGTCTGACTGTGTGAAATGAAACCCTTCAACACTCTCCAATGATGCCCATCCTGAAAATATTAAACATATTCAAGTAATTATTTAGATTTTTCCTTTCATTTTAAATTCTTAGAGGCATTCATCGTTAAGAAACAGATAGGAGGCTTTATTTCATTTACAAACATTTGTGTGAGGTGTGTCAATAAGATAAATCAAAGCGAGTCATTATGAAATCATACAGAAATAATAATCAGCATGTAAAAAGATTTTTTAGTGTAATACTGAAACTCATTTTGTCCCTTGTATTCCATTTATAAAAGTAAAATTAAACTTTAAAGATAGGTCTTTGGTACATCCTGGATGTCAAAGAGTCCCTCGTGATAACCACTGCTTTCCTGATTGTGATATTGAACATATATGAACGAAGGAGTTTGTTTCACTCCTCCAAGAAAATTCTAGCTCCATCTCCAGGCTTCGATACGAACAAACTCTGCTTTTCCATCGCTGCTCTGCGTGGGTCTGGGAGGTAGTAAGCACCCCTGACAGCTTGCAAAAAGGACTCCACCTTCTCACTGGGAACCATGGAGACGGCACAGCCTCCCCAGCCAGCTCCTGTCAACCGTGAACCAACAGCCCCCGACTTCCTGCAACCACAAAAGAGGATAAAAAGTATGTCAGACTGTCCACACTGCGGGCCTAAGCACAATTAGCCCAAATTTTAAATACTGTACAACAGTGGAGATATGAAAATAAGAAAATGTAGCTTTATTATGCTGAGGACATTATTACTTAATTGGTGGAAAAGCGTGCTTTTTTACTTGTGCTACACAAATAAACTTGCCTTGCCTTACATTACCGACACAGCTGGGTTGAAAATACAGGATAAAGTTCCAGGTAGATTTAGAGCAAAAATATAAACTAGAAGAAAATAACATAAACTGTTGACTTCTGTTTCTGAATGAAATTTTATATTGTATTATTATGATAACTTTGTTATTACTTATGTTTGGTCCAGAGACACATGATTACTTATAGGCTTGGTAATACTATTGTAATAGCTAAATTCTAAAAAACAAAATAAAAAACTCCTCTTTTCCAAACAAATTATTGGACAATATGTCCCACAGTTTATTGCAATAAATCAGAATGGATATGGATAGAGTTTAATTACATTATAATATCCTTTCTGCCATAAAATGGGAGTCTACATGGACAAAAAAAAAGTTTCAGCAGCTGTAGTAAATATGCAATTTGATCATTTATCAAGAAAGTCAGTCTTGCTGTACTCACAGACAGATGTCCACCAGCTGGTCCAGTTCAGAACAGCTGCACTCATACAGATCTCTGCAGCTTGCGTGGCTCTGGTTCATCAGCTCTCCGAGCAGCTGAATGGACTCAGCAGCTCCTGAGTCACACACACTTTTAAACTTCAGCACACGGGCGGCTTCGCCGTAAACATGCTTGGCTCGCTGGTGAAGCTTGAAGTGTGTCTCTGTGGGAAAGGAGGAAGCACAGACACAAAGTTTGACAGATTCATCTCAGGTCAGGCTAAACGCTGTCTGTACAGGGCAAACTATGGATAGCATTTTCTGAAGGGAGGGTGTGTTTCCTCAAACGGTTCCATTTTCAACTAAATGCAACGGTTTCCTGAGGCTAACTGGGGGGGGTTTAATTAAATTAGGGAAATTCCTACAAAGGAAAAATCATTCTATTCAACTAGATTCTCTTTAATTCTATAAATGATCAGTTATGTGTCAGATTATTTGCACATATTCGAGTATTGCAAAGGAAAGTTGATGCATTTTACTAGATAAATGACTTCAGAAACAAAGACGCGTGCCGTTTCTCACCATCCTGGGTGTTAGCGCTCAGCAAATCTGTAGAGAACTGCTCCTCGGTGATGCACAGCACCTTGCAAATTTCCTCTCGGCTGTACGGCTCAGGGTGCAGCACTTCATCCACCAGAGCCAGCATTTCCTCCAGTGAGGCCTTCAGGGCCACCTGCGCCTGCGCCAGCTTCAGCAAGTTGCCTGGATCCACACCGCGTGCCTTCGCCAGCATCTGAGCTTACACACAGATACTTTTTGTATTCAATTTGTTGCAGTCTTGCAGTCATATTTTTAATCTAATCGTATTCACATTCATATGAATAGGTAGGGTAGTTGCACTAAATGTGTGCTTAAGCAAAAATAAACAATGGATGTCTTAAACAAAGTAGAGAAAGAAATATATAGTAACAGATATTTTGTTTGTAGCGATCTTCTCAACTGTCTAATTCAGTTGTCGATCAAATTACAATAACTGTGTAATATAACGATGCACATTTTAGAACGGCTGGTTGGGATCTGTGCACCTTTGTGGCGATCCGACACTCAACAACACGGATGTTGTAGTGGGAAGAAGCAGCTTTATTCATCTCTTTACAGCAGTTGGAAATCACAAACACTGCCCCATCTGGAAGCTTGACGTCCGTGGCTCGAAGAGGCTGGAACTCTATTAGCTTTGCCTGGTTGACAATTCAAGAGAAAAAAAAACAACACAACATCATCGATACAAAGTTTTTGCAATTTCTGACCAAAGCAATCATTCCTCTGTGCTCCTATATATGTTGATGCTTTGAATGTGTCACTTTGATCGTATATAAATGCAGTAATTGACACATACAGTTCCTCTCTCTGCCAGGAAAGATATCGACTGGTCCATGCCTCCTCCCTCTGTACCAATGTATCGCTCACATTTGGCGCAAATCTCTGCAAGTTCCACCTGGAGTATTGATTAGACAGGAAAACAGTGGACTGAGGTCAAATATTCTGCCCCCACTGACTGCTGGAATAAAGGTTAGACACAAGTAGGGTTTATTTTAATGTCATGAATCATCTCCTTCATGGGGATATTTCTAATGTTCTGCCAAGTGACACATTTTCTCCCTTCAGAATTAGCCTGGAACAAATTCAATTAAATTAGATTACAATTAAATGATAAGACCTTACCTTGGAGAGGGATTTCTGATTTGCCTCCATGGTTACAAGACCAGAACAACAAACTAAGGCACTTGAGCTGGACAGACCAGAGCTGGGGGGGATGGTTCCATCTACCACACATGACATCCCTGCTAAAGGAGTGATCCCAAACTTCTCCTGTACGAAAGTTTACAACCCATCAGAAAATCATCAACACAGCAACACTATCAAGTATTACATCTTGGGTCATAAATCTAATCCACCACATGACTCACACATCTTACCTGAATGCCTTTAACTCCACAGAGAAAATAATAATACCATTTTGGATTGTCTTTGTCGATGGTTATCTCCTCTGAGCACGAGACAGTGTAATCCCTGCAACACACAATGAGTTTCCAGATGCATATTATACCATATTTGGGGATATTTTTAATTACATTAGCTTACTAAAATATGCAGCAAAAATATCAAGTGTTGGCATCTTACTGGTATTGAGGATTGGTGTTGGACAGCTGGATTTTCCCTGAGTGGTTCACGCAAACAGCTGCTAGGATACTCTGCTCAATGGCCATTGGCAGTACAGAATATCCACAGTAATCAATATGCTCACCTAGTAAAAGTGACCCATAAAACAAATTGGATTTAGCAGTGGGCATTATTGTACATTTGACCAAAGAAAAAAAAACAACTCAAACTTAATTGCAAAGTTTAGCAAAAGGAGAAAAAGCAAAAAGGGCAAACAGCCTTCATGTGTTGAGGAATGTAAAATAGAATTTGCCTGAATATTTAACTTTAACAAAGTGGCTTAACATAAATGTAATCATCAAATAGAGAATGAAAAAAAAGCTTAACACCAAGAAAAATCTGTTTCTTCATAGTCTTGTGAAGCCAGACTAAATCAGTCGCATACAATTTTGCAAAAACTTTGTTACAACTCATTAGTCTAAAAATTAGAAAGATTTTTTACAAACAGCTAAAAATAAAAATACAATATCATTAATAAAAACGTACCGATTAGATTTACCCTTCCAGGTGCACAGGCATAGAAGAGAGGTGATTGTCCATATTTCGCTTCAAACGTGTTTTTTAAGGTTTTCAGCCTAAAAATAAGAAGAATATGAGGCTGAATTCACTTCCCCTCAGTAAAAGCAGCACCTTCGGTTGTTCCTTACCTTTCATTAGTAGTTATCTCTGTTTTAATCTTAGGTGGAATCGTGGCCATTGCTACCTGATTTGGAATATTCAATCCAAAAATGTAGTTTTAGTTGAGGAATCAGAGGAGCTTTAAGTTCCTGCAGACCCTGAGTGCAGTCAGCTGACAGACTGAGGGATAACAAACCCGGATGTGATATTGCTGAGCTCCAGTCAGTTAATAAGAGATATTCTTGTTTTTTTAATTGTACTCAAATGGGAAGAGCTGACTCTGGAACAGCAGCAGAGGCAAATGCGGAAGTCACTGGAGACTGTGGAGCGAGTACTAATTATGTCTAACATGGGCTGCCGTACGCCACGAATCTCGTGGTGAGTTAGAAGAACTTCCCACAACTACACTACCCATAGTTCCAGACTTTAGTTACTATGGAAACGAGTTTAGCTGGTAAACGTCTTGGATGTTGTAGTTCTGGAGTTTACCGTGACAATAAAAAGTATTTTTAGTGTGAACGTTTTGTCAAATGGATAGTTTTGCCGAGTGGAGAGATCTATCAGTAAGATAAAGTTTTACCTGAGAACTTTTTATGTGGAGCACAGTCGCAGCGTGGAGGTTTACCACCGCGTACATCCGCAGTTGTTTGGCGCTGCTAATGCGCGCGAGTTTTCAAAGTGGGCGAGCCCGTTTAAAGAGGACCCTTAGCCCAGCCGGCTAGTTTGTTTGCTACAGCTAGCTTTGTTACTGTTTATGTTTACGGATAGGCCAAATGCCCACCTACTAGGTTTACACAAGACTTTGTTTAAAATCTCCATCGTGTTTATTGAAGGTTTTAAAGCATGTCTATCATGTCTGGGGTGACGCTAGTTAGCTAGCTGGCGTCTCTGCGGTGTGATGTAAACAGCCAGCATTTAATGTTACCACCGTATTTTTTTTCATTAACGGAACAAGAAGCCAAGCAAAGGAAACCTCTACAGGTAAACGGCATATGAACATACGCATGTTTGTAAGCAATCGAAATTAGATCATTTGTCCATTATAGTGTACTGTATTGCTAAATAATATATTTCACTGCCCATAACCACTTTGCTCCACTGAGTTAATTGTTTGAATGTAAAAAAAAAAACGACTTTGTCTGATATAATGCTGGACAACCTCAAACCGTAATAAGTTTATATTTGTTTAATTTCTTCCCCACCAGTCTGTAGAACATGTCCATAGATTTCGACAGTGCTGCTCTTCAAACCCAGCAAGATGAGGATGAATACGACCAGGAGGACTATGCAAGAGAGCAAGAGGTACAAGATCAGATCGCTACAGCACGTTCCAACTGTTGGAATAGCATTTGTGCCTCAGTATTGGCCTTGTTGGACAGACCTCAGAGCCGCTCGAACACAGAGGAAAACACATATTCAAAAATAATGTACAATGCATAATTTACTGCTGTCAATTCCAAATAGAATAATTAATAACTTTCTTCTATGTCGCCTAATTGTATTCACCAAAAAGGACTTCTCCTTTGAAGACAGAACTGTCTGGTGTCTTTTTGTTTGCTATTACAGAGTTTGAGGATATGGGTGAAATGCTCATTCATTTATTTCACTGTCACTACTGGACTCAAGCAGACACACATTCACACGGTTTTCGCTCACGCCTACAGTCTGTTGTGTCATGAGAGTGCGAGCTATTATTGGCTCACGCGAAAAGCCTCCTTCCAGGTGTGTCACTGGCTGAAACTAGCTCTACCTTGTGACCTCCTCAAACTCCTCATGCAGATTATTTTTCTTCAGTTCCAGACCTTGCAAGAGCTGTAGGAAGGAAAGCTGTTGAAACTGCTACCTGCTATGTTAACATTATGTTACAGAACCTACCAAAATGGGATTTAATTATTTTTTTTTATTGTTGGTCTGAACTATAAGTTGGTCAAGCGGAAAATTTTTGCCATCAGTAATTGGAATGTTTCTGCTCCAGTTAACGTCGCTATATGTTTTGCTTAGACAATGGACTTTTTTTTGGGGCAAAACACAGTAATGCGACAGGGAGCCGACGGCATACCAGGCACGTTTTGGATGTTTCATGCGGAAGGTCATCTGGGCAGACAGATTAGAGGGGGCTGGCTGTTTTTGGAAAGAGAAGCAATGTTTTTTCTACAGTCTTTGCTAAATGTGTAATTTTTCTAATATGGGTCCTTTGGTTGTGGACACAGTGGAGGACTTGAGGAATATTCAGCGCTCTTTGTGGGAAGTAAGTCCAGCAGGTTTTAAATGTATCATCACATGTGGTCGACTGAAGATTAGTCAGTGTGATACTTATGGAGTAGAACTGATATGAGTTGCGTGTCGTGTTGAGAAAAGTGCATTAGTGGGTCAGAATCAAATGGGACTCAAATTTTTATTTTATTGGTCATGAATGTAAAATCATCACCCATTCATTTGAGAGGACACAGTTTATTTGTATTAGTAGATGGTCATTTGCTTGAATCTTTAGGTTTATTGTGCTTAGATTAGTGCTAATGAATGAAATTATACACAAGGATTTTTTTCACAAGCAAAATTCCAGTTTGGTTTGTCTTCAGACTGTTTTAATGGAAGCTTTACTCTCACGGCTGTTTTTCAAATGAGTCTTTTATGTCACTTTCGACAAGGCAAACAGATTTACCACCCTAACACCTATGCTGCCTTTTGGCTGTCATTGACTTGTGTTGATTATTCTTTCATGTGTGTTACTTTATTACTTGGTTGCGGAGCAACGTCGGTGACTCATTTCCATGTGCCATATCTCTGCAGCTGCACAAGCTGCTCACAGACCTGCCAGATGACATGCTGGATGACAGCAGAGACTCCTCCCCCGAGTTGGAGTGTTCCACCTGCAGCAATAAAAACACTGGTAGCAGGTAAGAGACTTTAACTCATTAGTGGTTCAGATTCTGAGGACCCTTTTTCTCAAAACCAGGTTTTCCTTTTTTCTTCCTAGCCCAAAGTCTAAGTGGACACAAGAATGGCCAGATCATGCAAGGCCAAACCCTCATGTACAGGTAGTGTCACTTTATATCCGTTGTATATTTTTGCTTTATGGACTTACGAGGAAAGAAATAAACAATAATACTTTTAATGTTTCTGTGAAGAACGACGAAGCTAACTACGCCGATGGCTCTCATGATGAGTACACTTATAAGGAGGAAGCTGCTCATATGAATGGATATCGAAATCACCCTCAGGGTGAACCGCTGCCTCACACCTGGAGCCAGGACCATCAGTTTGCACAGGGAGATTATACACACACCAGCATGGGTACAGAGAACTGTTCAGGCGTCAGTAATTTTTCCGCTGAGTTTGAGTCTAAACCCTATGCGGAAAACACCCAAAACAGTGTGGAATATATTGAAGAAGGAGGGTATGGGGACGAGCTGTGTTATGAAGACCAAAATTCTAGAAACCATTTTCAAGTAAGTGCCTTAGCTGTATCCCGGTTGTTATTTTACACCAAAAAGCATAACACAATTGCGTTGTGTTGCTTTGACTTGGGGAACTTATGAGCTACAGAACAGAATAACATCTCCACTTCTAATTAATTTGTCTTTCTTTGTTTTGATTTGTAGACTCTAAAGCCTGGACAAGCTGACAGAGGTGTAAATACTTACAAAGCCAGCTACAACCCTCACCATCCTGTCCATCAGCAAGAGATGTTCAATTCACAGGCCGCTCAACAAGAAGCTCAGTTTGACAGACTACAAAGAGAATTTCTTGATTCAACACAACGTGAGTCTTGCCGTCCTCATATCAGCGTTTCCACTACATGTTAGTGATCGTGATGCAATGCCGTGGCAAAATACACCTTCAGATGATGAAAATATGATTATAGGGTTTTATAATATTCTTAAACTCTTAGTGGTAAAAATCAATTTGAGAGAATATGGCCAGAGCAAAGCGGAGTTTCACATGATGCTGTCAGGTCCTGTAGCTAACACTAATGTGAAGCATGGTGATGCAAGCCACACACACCAGGGGTTGTATCTTAACTACCAGTTCTTCATTACTATGTTTTAAAAAGTGTGTTAAGATCAGTGATATTTTCTGTCTTTAGTACAGCAAAGCATTTTGCATAGTTGTTTGTCTGGCTTTTATTTTTTACGGGCTCCAAAGAGCCTCAACGGACGGCATGATTTTGTAGGACAGTGCATGCAGCTTACTGCATATGTCAGTGGGGGGCATTGTTGTACCTTATTAGAGGGATCTAAAATGAGCCTCACCTAGAAAACAATAAATGTTTGGATAGGACAATTAAATCTTCCTAATGAAAATGTTTTGAGCCTCAGTAAAACACAAGTTTACACACGATTTAAGATCTGAGATTTACCTGATGAACTGTCCTTCTGACGGATTTTGTGCTCCAATGGAACATAAACTAATTTTGTGTTAATCTCTTTATTTATTCCTGTGTGCTCACGTGCTGTAATCCAGCGCAGCCAAATTATTAACGAGGCCTTTTCATTAGATTTTTCTTCTAATTGTGTATTTTGAGTTAGGAAAAAGCATAAAATAAGGACTATGACTCACAAACAACATGAATGCAGTTAATTTAGCTGTACATGTCCATGGCTTAAAGGCAGAGCGTTGTTCCATTTTACCTATGCAAAACAGCTGCCCCGAAGTTTAATCGTAGAACTCACATACACGGACAAAATGCTAGTTAAAAAGGATGTCTTTTGCTGGCAAATGATTGGTGTGTCAAATGGAAAACTCTTCTGGGTTTTTAGAAAATGCTGATCTGGAGCAACTTGCCCAGCTGCAGATCCTGAAGAAAGCTCAGCAGAGGCAAATCGAAGACTTGGAGCGAAAACTGGAGGATTCACGTCGCAACATGAGATACATTGAACACCAGTTTGCAATTGTAAAAGGTGTGTTTCAAGCAGCGTAAACCTTCAGAGAAGGGATTGCTCACTGTCTGTTGTCAGTAATCTCAGAGAAAGAAATGTGCCTGCTTAGTGTCATGGTGATGCTTGTTCTTCCCACACATACCTTTTTGTTAGACTGAAACTCATAGAGCTGACTTGAGTGTAGCTTTTCACTGCACAATTCTGAGGGATGACAACAGCAGTACTTTGTATTTGACAATTGACCATGTTGTCCTCTAATCTGCAGTGCTGACTGAGAGATTGTTAACACATTCAAATGAATGTTTCCTTATGTTATTAATCTGCCCCCTTGTGGCTGTTAAATGGACACGTGGTGGACTGACTTGGTGTACTCATATTTCTTTTTCTGGATGTGCTCTCCATGACGACGTATAATAATTGTTTTCATACTTTGCAAATAGATGAAAAGGATGGGCTCGCAGTAAGTCTAAAGGAATCAAGTGGATTGATTAAAGAGGCCAAGGAGAAAGAGGTTCAAATGCAAAAAAAGCTTAAGGTGATGGAGCAGCAGGTGCAGCTTCTCATTGAGAAAGACCAGGAGGTAAATGCTGGATCAACACAATGGCTTTCTCATTCAATAATCAAATTTAAAAAGACAGTCTGAAGACAGGTAGCAGCAGTCTTGCATGATTAATGTATTATCCATCATAAGCTTTTCCAAACCTCATTATTGAAACCTACTCTGGGAGCTGTTACTTTTTCATGTGCACAGCAGTTTTTGTTTGTTTGTAGAACATGAAGAAACAGAGGGTGGCAGATGCTGCCGTGGACAGCATGAAGCAGCAGATGTTGGAGCTCTGTCGCTCTGACACCCTGTCCAGAGCGCGGGAGCAGCACGACAGAGACCTTACCGTCATAAAAGAGCAGCATGAAGCGGCACTGCTGGTCCTGCAGCAGAAGCTTGACTCTACCTCTCAGGCTTTGAGTGAGCAGGTCTGATCTGTTTCTTAATGGAAAATAGAAATAATCAACTTGCTGCTCTCATCACATAATTTTGTAATTGGCCATTTGGAATACTCCAGCTCACTGGCAGATAGAGTCAGCTCCTATCTTGATGTTCTCCTGCTTTCAGGTTAGCGTTAATCAAAGACTACAGGAACATTTGCGGTCGCTGGAGTGCCAGAGAGAGGAGGAGCAACTAGAAAGAGCCAGAGTGGTCAATTCTCTCACTCAGCGTCTTGAGGAGAGTCAGCAGCAATGTGCCAAGCTGCTTCAAACAAGTGAGTGAAGGGGCCTGCATCCACTCATCCAGACAGCACGTCACTAAGCAACCTGTTGGCATGTGGGTGCATATATTCAGGTTTTACAAGAATATAAAATGACATTTTCATGTTTTTCCTCTTTTCAGATTCAGTGCAAGAGATGTGCCAGATGCAGATCAAACTCCAGCAGGCTCAGTCGGCCAAGGCCCTGAGTGAAAGCATGAACAGTGCTTTACAGGTCTGCTTTCTGATGGCACACTCGTTTTCTTAATACTGTCCCTTAAGAAAATGTATCTGTACCTGGGAGGCTGAAAGTGTCTGTTTTTATTTGCATCTTTAAGGAGGATATGGCTGATCTAAAGGAGCAGATCTCTCTGTATGAATCTGCCATGAAACATGGTGTTATTGTACTAGATGCGAGCAGCGACTGGGAGAACCATCTGTCTGAGTCCTGTGTGGATCTGGGACTGAAGAAAACAAACAGAAAAAACGGCACTCTCCACAGGTACACTGTGATCACAGAAATCCTTGTAAACGTCTCTGAATCGTTTCATTTTACAGTGAACAACCAGTGGGATCATATTTTTCCCTTTGCTTCGTCAGCACCGCTCTGGCTCACTTGTCAGACTCCAAGCTGCCGAAGGACGAGGCTTTAAAGGTTCTGCGAGTAGAGATGCAGCGCTGCCTGGGGTGTTTGAAGGGGAAGAGGCAGAAGATCACTCAGCTGCAGGAGGAGCTCCAGAACCGTCAGGCTCGAGTCAATGAGCTACAAACTGAACTGGAGGAAGCCAAGCTCAACTCCTCAGTAGGGACTCCACCTCATTTTTAAGATTTGAGGGGGGATTCCATCTTAATTTTTTACATCGATCAGCATATTTCTTGCTGTCCTCAGGTCAGAGAGAGCAGCCAGATGAAATACACAGACACGACAGGAGACTCTCAGAAAGAAATGAAGAGACTACAGGAAGAAAAGCAACGCTTGCAGGATCAAGTGGAGGTTGGTGGTGGTTTATTTTGTGATTGAGTTTTCTTTTTTATATTAGACAGAATCGTTAAACTACTCTGCCTTGTAGATGCTAGAGAAGAAGTCTAAGGAGCTGAAACAGAGTGAAGAGAAGTTGAAATCCTCCAACTCTGAGCTTTGTGCCAAAATGAGGGAGATGATTAAGGAGTTGGACCAAGAGAAGCAGGAAGCTGCTGAGAGGTACCATGCAGGAAAAAAGACACACGGGCTATAATGATTATACGGGCCACCTATAATTCACTTTTAGTTGACTGCTTATATGTTTTTGTTTGTCTGGGTTTTTTTTTTAGGTCTGAGAGGATTCATCAACAGTACAGAGATGATGTGGTGAAAAGAGTCCGAGCAGAGCTCATGCAGGAGCACGATGCTCATATGGAACAGCAGGCCGCGCTGCACCAGCAGCAGGTTGAGCAGTTACAGTAAGTCTTCTGGTAATGCTGCAGGAACAGGTGATCATCAGGGACCCTCCTCTCATTTCCACTTTTTTACCTCCTTCACAGGGATCAGCTGTCAGAGGTAAATGATAAGATGCTGGCCGTGCAGGAATGCTATATATCTGTCTGCAAGGAGAAGGGCTTACTAGAGGAAAGAATATGCAGCAAAGAAAAGAATGCCTTGGCTGAAGAGGAGAGCAGCGCAGCTATGGAGAAGCTCAGAGAAGAACTAGCGGCTCAGCATCAGGCCTCCATAAAGGAGCTCAAAGAAGAATGGGCAAAAGTAAAGGAGACTGAAGTTCAGCAACATTTAGCCCAATGGAAGGAGAAACTGTTAGAGGTCTGACTCTAAAAAACAAAGAAAAAAAAAGTCATACAAGTGATGATTTCACCTGATACTCAAATATTTTTCCTACTTTGCAGACAGAGAAGACTTGGGCTCAGAAAGTGGAGGAGGCAAAGAAAGAAAGGCAGAGAGAGATCACTGAGGTCACCTGTCAAACAGAGGAGACTGAGCCAAGCACGGTTTCTGCTGAGGAGCTGGACTCCAGGCTCAGTGCCCAGAAACAGCAGCTGCAGCTGGAGGCTGACAAAGTGCGACGCAAAGCTGTGGAGGAAGCCAAAAAACAGGTCCAGAGAGAGTTACAGGAGAAACACCTGGAGGACATGGCCAAGCAGGTCAGTGGGTTTAATAACGGATTGAAAGTTAGCTCTACTGTTCTTGATAAGTATAGTTTGGTGTTTTTGGTGTTTCAGGTTGAAGGTGCGGTAACCCGGGCCTATAACCGATGGATTGAAGACCTGTCTTCATTACCAGAATACCAAGCCTCACTGCTCAGGGAGAAAAATAAATGGCAAGAGCAACAAGATAAACTCGCAGAGCAAAGGGTGCGCCATTGTGTTTTGACTAAAAAGAAGCACCACTGCTTTCAACTGGGTATATTTTTTTTTATTCTGAGGATTTATTTAAATGTTCCAGGTGACCCAGGCCTTGAGAGAAGCAAAGGAGCAGTGGCACAAGAACCAGCTGGAGGAGCACAGCTCGGGAGCTCAGAGGGTGGAGGAGCTTCAAGTGGAGGTGGCAGCTCTCAAGAGTCAGTTGGAGCAAGCGGCCCGAGAGCAAGCTGCTCTGTTGAAAGCTGAGCTTGCCGGGGCCAGAGCAGCCTGGAACAGGGACAAACAGCAGGAGATCTCCACCCTCAAGGTCCGCATTGAAGAGGCGTACCGAACCAAGCTCCAGGAGCAGTGCCACCAGCTGGAGCAGGCTGTGCAGCAGGCCAGAGGGGACGCTGAGCTCCAAAGAAAGGAGCTGTTGCTGCAGACTGAGGCCAAGATTCAGCAGGCTGTGAGAACACGGGAGGACGAGTGGAGGTGCCAGCACGCAGAGGAGGAGCTGCGACACAAGCAGCAGCTGAGAGAGGAATTCCTCTCAGAGCTTCAAACTGCACTGGCAGAGATCCAAACTCAGTTCCTTGGGGCCACTAAAACAGATCAGCTGGGAGATGAAGACAGCCGGAGAACCAGTGGGTTGACGTCAATATCGGGCATCATCCAGCCTTCATGCAGGAACATAGTGGACAAAGCAGTGTCACAGGCTAAGATGGAGTGGAAGAGAGTGAGTGGTTGGAAGATTATCTTTTAAGTAAAACATGAGGAACTGTAGCATGTTGTGATGAGAGGACAGATGTCTGGCAACTCTTTACATTTTTATTTTTTGTCAAGTATCTCTGAATTCCTTTTTAAGATAATAATTCTGTCCCCACAGACGAGTGAGGAGAGTCTGAGTCGTGTCTTAAAGGAAGTGCAGGAGCAGCATGTGAGAGAGATCAACAGAATTCAAAGTACGCAGTCTGGAAGCTTCAAACAAGATATCGTGCATTGTCATGACGCCACCTTCATGAGTTTATTGTCCATCATTTTCAGGCTCTTTGTCCCAGAAGAAGAAGCAGTCTCGGTGCAGGAAGGACTGCAGTGAAACTGTTAGCAAGCTGCAGAAAAAAAATCAGGAACTGCAGAGGCACTTGGAGAAAGCCTGTCGTCAGCTTCAGCACAGCATCAAAGAGCACAAAAGTTCCATTCAGAAACTTAAAGGTACATTTATTGCATTCCGATTTTTACTGTCTGATTGAAAACTACAGAACACTCTGTGTGTTTATGGCTGGATCCTCTGCTCTGACTTGCAGATGAACATGAAGGCAGCTTACGAGAGGCAAAGGAGCAACACCTGCAGCAGTTAGAGCAGCTGAAAAGAGCCAAAGAATGCTCAGAGTCAGTTTTTTAAGTTTCAATTTTTCTCTATTAATATAACAAAGTAAACATTGTTTTTTCTGTATATATGCTTTGATTTGTGTCAGGTTACACCTAAATAACAGATTGTTCAGCCATATTGCATCCTGAGGCCTAATCTGTGTAGTTGTTTGTTTTTCCCCTCCATGTGTGCAGAAGCTCTAATCACCAACAAAGTCTTCAGCAAGGCCTCGAGGAAATGAAACGGCAGTACCTGATGACTGTAGAGAAGATTCGAGGTGGGTGAGGGAGGGCTCGATGAGCACTGTGTGGTCATACCAGGTGGATAACACAGATCATCCCTGTTTCTCCTGTCAGGAGACATGCTGCGCTACGTTCAGGAGAGTCGGGAGCGGGCTGCAGAGATGATCCGAACCGAGGTGCAGAGAGAGAGACAGGACACGGCCAGAAAGATGCGGCACTATTATCTGACCTGTCTGCAGGAGCTACTGGAGGACGGGGGGAAGACTACAGGGCAAGAAGCCGCAATTGTCCTAAACTTGTTTACTCGCTTAATTTTGGCTCCTCTGGCTAAATGTATTGATCTTCCTGTCTTCTGCAGAGCTGAAAAGAAAATAATGAATGCTGCAAGCAAGCTGGCGGCTATGGCTAAAGTGCTGGAAACACCTTTCAAAAGTAAATCTGGAAAGAATTACAGCTCTCCGAGTGAGTCCTTTTTGTACAGAAATGATTACTAATTATGACCCCTTCCAAAAAAAAAAAATTTCAATCTCTGGCTGTGTATCTGTTTTGTATTGGCAGATTGTTTGACGGCTGTGGCCACCGCTGCCTCTGGTGACTTGGCAGGTAGGAGCGCAGCGCTCAGTAAGAAGCTGTCAGTGCTAACGGGGCTCCCTGACCCCAGGCCAGAGGAGAGAGCCCACGGAGAGCAGGCTGCTGCTGATGCAGGCCAGAAACCATCCGCCGCAGTTAGGACTAAACTTTTAAGCCGGCTGGACACTCCTGGATCTAAGGAAGAATCAGAAGGAAGGAGCAAACCTTTCCTCGTCCAGGAGGCTCCTGAGAGAGATGAAAGGCACGCAGACTGGAGCAAGACCAGCAGCGACTCTGAACTTGATCTGCATGTTTCCCGACTGTCCCACTCGGGAAGGAAAGTGGAACCCGTTAAGCCATTTTCTGTGTGTGCAGCGTCAGCCTGTGAGATGGGAGAGTTTGGCAGGCTGACTCCAGATTCCTCTGACTTAACAGTTTATCAAGAGATTTCTAAGAAGACGCCAGAAACTGAAGTTTTCTACCACACACGGAGGAGCTCACAAAGAGAGCCTACCCCTGGTTCTGAATGTGAGAAGCAGCGAGGAGCTGGTTCCCGGCCTCTGTTCTCTGAGCTGAGGCAGCGACAGCAGGACAGCGGCTTCGACAGTCCGTTCTACCAGCAGAAGTGACGAAAGAGGGGCAAATACGAGGTGAACGAGGGCAGCCAGCTCAGAGATGGTATTTGGGCAGACATATTAAACTGTGCCTTATAGTGTATATTGTTTACATTTGAGCTTTTCCATTTTCACTTGTGTTTGTGTGTGTGTGTGTGTGTGTCTGTGTACAATTGGACATACTTATTCGCTTTCTTCTGGAAAATAAAAAAACACCAGTGAGGGAGAAGCCACACAAACTAAATGTGACATCTCGGTGAGCTGTGGAGGTTCTGTGGATTAAGTCTCCACAAATGAAGACTGCATACACACCGAATAGGTGAGAGTAAGTGTATCGATCTTCCAATTTATCCTAAAGAAGAAGGCAAATAAGGATTTCCCCCAGAAGAAGTCAAACCGCTGCTGTACTATGCACAGTTGGCTCCAGTTTCTGCACATGCTAGATGGATTTCTCAGCACCTTGTTGGTGGAAAAAGTAACGCGAGATATAACTATCCAAACAGATCTTGTCGACTCTCAAAGCTGTGCGGGACGGGGTGTTCCTCCCGCTTTTAAATGCATTTTTCTGGAGTGGCCGCACACAAATCTCTTTAAAGAGGCTCTTTCAGGTCAGCATCTCCTGCCACACTGAAATATGCCTGAACCTGAGAGAGATTAACGGGCAGCTTAACCACGGTGAATACAGGATTAAAGTCAGGTTTGTTCACACTCTGTTTTGTCTGTTATGAGCTTAATTGGTTTGAGATAAAATGACATTTAACTTTTCTTTTATTATGTCAGTTCATAATATGTTTTATATCAAATTTGTTTTATATCTGTATTTTAATGTCATTTTAATAAACCTTTTTTATTTAACAGCTTGTCCAAACTGAGGATTTTCCCTTTAAATGGCGCTTTATGTGTAATTCATTGGGGCAGCTACAGATTGTCAAAACAGACATAAAGGTCCAGGTTATGAAGTGTCTAAGTCTCTTAGAGCTGCACAGAAAACGTCATAGGGTTTTATTCTCAGCCACTCGGGGTGTGTGGAGGAGCTCCTGGAGTGCCGGCCTATTATTCAGACTGAATGGACCTGCTTATTTAACAGCTTTAACCAAAGCAGCTGACGTCAGAGTTCAGAGCTCCACATGTCCACTTCAGGGACAACGGGCTCCTCCTAGACCTCATACATTCTGCATTTTACTGCACAATAGTTTAGCTTCAGATTAAAAATGCCAGCCAGCGGCATCTTCCAGTGGGCTGTGTGATGAAACAGCTGATACACTAGTCGGGCCTCGTGGAACTGGCTTCAGTTTCTCTGCAGTATTTACACTTTGCCGGTCAGCTGAGGTCAGTGTCCCGGTCATAAACTTTGACTTATATGTTCTACTTGGCAAGTTCACGTGAGCGTTGGATGTGGACCGTGACACCGATGTGGTCAAGAGGAGCAGGTTCACTCTGCCTCTGCAGTCTACTCAAGGACCAATCCTGATGTGCTGTTTGAGGGTGGATGATATATATAGTCACTCCTCACCCTCAGGTAAAGTATGTTTACCACCCGCCAGTGGCGGCCGGCCCATAGGGGGCGCTGGGGCGCCGCCCCCCCTAGATGTGGAGGGGGAAAGTTATAATATATATATTTATTTTTAAAGTATTATCAATGTCAGTTTTACTTAATAATATGTGGCTACATGTAATATGAATTATTAAAACAACACTTCCCCCAACTGACTCTCATTCAACGGTGCATTTTCACCCACAGAACGTATCGTCTCTCTTCTGGGGCGCTAGCCCCAGCGCCCCAGAAGTGCAGCGAAATAACCAATTGAAAAATGTTGCTAGGGACAATTAATAAATATTTGGCCAATCAGCATCGCCGAAATTATTGGCTTTGGGGCGCTTGGAGCTGGCGCCCTAAAGCCATAGACGTGTAGCTAGTGGTCAGTCAGGCTGTGACGTAGAGATGACGGTTGAAGAGCTGCTTTCACACAATTCAGTGAGATCTTTACTGAGATCTCCTTACGTGAGAAGGACAATGGTGGAAAAATTAAACGTAAAGAAGCTGGGACCTGACAAGTCCGAAATAAATTTAACGCAGCGAACCAATGAAAAAGCTAAGTCCCACAGCCGGCCTTTTAGCAGGAGCTGGTTCCAGCGTGAGTCCTGGTTGACAGCCGGTGGGACGGCCAACGCAGTTATGTTTTTCCCGCATCCTTTTTAAAAGTGACCGGAGTGATTTGATGTGGACACAGTCTGGACAGACAGACTTAAAACACATCTCTGAACAACTAAAAACATGAAAGATCACGATGTTATATGGAAAACTGTGTTAAGCTAACTGTGTTAAGCTAACCACCTGTGTGTCTACTTTGTGTGTTTGGTGAAAAATAGTAAAATTGAGTGTTGTATTTCATACTGTTCCCTTCCAAAATAATACCTAATATAGCTTCAAATGGTTAACTGTATATGTAAACTGCTGATTCTAATAAGGGAATTAAATCATTATTGTGGAATTGTACTAATTTTACGACTTTTAACTTGAATGCATGTACTGAGTTAGGCAGGGAAATATATTGGCACACCAGCCCCACCAAGATTTTTTTTCACCAGCCGCCACTGCCACCCGCCTAAGTCAACAAGGGCAAACATGTCTACTTCCAACTTTAAAACCTTTCCAGATTGATCACATCTTTTTAGAAGAAATTTCTTTGAAAAATTCAGCCCTACTCAAAAGACACAAAACCAAACAATTAATTGATGCCTTTTTTAAATGATAAAATAAACAAAAAGAGAAAAGTTATTTTCTGAGTATCACAAATTTGTGGTGGTTGGGGGAATTTTTGTACTTTACAGTAAGTTACGGATAAGACAAGAAATAGAAAAAGTTTCTTATGTGATGCTTATAGCGTTATGCTTTTCTACCGCAATAAGGCTATTAATAAACTTCAAGGTTGGTCAAAGCGATCAAATCATTTTCAGGATTTTAATCCTTTAAATACTAGTTTGCTTACATGATGCTTATATTAATGAATATACAAGTTCTTTTCCAAATGTTTGGCAGCTGTTTGATATGTGTTCAAACAGTCCTCCTGAATATGTGAATATAAGAATGAAAACCTGTTCTGTGACCCGTTAATAGAGCAGTGGAGTCTTGGTCTGACAGTATTAGTTTACTGTACTTTGGCTGTGATTTTGCAGAAAGCTTTGCTTTTGTTTTCCCCCCTGAAACTTGCTAAGTGAGCGATAATGATGGGTTTCACCGTTGGAAGGAACAGATTCATGTCCATTGAAAGGCGGCCTTTTGCCCCGTTAAATCTAGTTCTGAGTGTTGCAGCTGGGAAACGTGCTCACTTTGTGTGGCTAGACGTGTGTAGCTCAGGGCTGTGGGAACTGAAGAAGAAAACAGGTTTTTCCTCTTCGTGTGACAGATCCCATTTGATTGATCCCTAGCCAAAATTATTTTGCAAATATAACTGTGGTTATGTTTTTCTATCCGTTTTCTGTTCTTTCCCTACATGATGGGGCATGTTGACTAAAGAGATGAGTCCAGTGTTCTGATGTGCTCCCTTCATGAGGCTGCTCTCACAACTGTATGCCTAAACTGTGCCGTGGATTAGTAGTTTTTTAAAAAGAATAATGATAATATTTAACATTATTAAAATGATTCTATAATGCTAACATTAAAGCTGACTTAGCTACACCAATCTCTAGTTTGTTTACAGAATCATGAATGGCTACAGACTGTATTGAGCTCTACTCCCACACATCAGATATTTAATTCAACCTTAAATGAAACAGTCCATGTTCATCTAAAGTTCTGTGTCCTTTAGTGTCCTTTTACCACTAACCTGCTGAAAGTGGGTGGACTTTTTGCCAGTGGGGTGTAAAGTGGTGGTTTGATGGTACTTTTACATTAAAATAGATGCCAGCAACTTTTTAAGGAAACAGAGCAGAGCATTGTTGTTAAACACAGCTGCTGAGATTGAACTTTGGAGCTTTGCCCCCTGTTTGTTTGTCTGTTTGTCTGTTTGTTTGTTTGCCTTTGGCGTGAATCTCCCTCCGGAACTTGAACAGCTCCATTCAGGCACGGGGCGGGTGGTGGTTTTTCTCCGGGGTCTTGGGGGGGGGGGGGGGGGGGGGGCGTCAGACGGCGTGTTGTTCCTGAACAGTGAAAGCTTGTGTAACCGGGGCTGCGCTCCTCCCCGTAAAGCTGCAGGCGAATGCGGCCGGGCTGGGGGAGCGCACGCCCACCGCTGGCGCTCAGGTTGCGCATTTTTTGCGGGAGGGTTGCCATGTGCGGATTTCTCAGACGCCAGAAGGCCGGGGAGGGTGTCCCCAAGTCTTCCGATCGTTTGGAGGAGGCAAATGCTTCAACAGGCTGCTGCTCTCAGATGACCCCCACCCCCCCTCCCCTTCCCACCCAGTCCTCGTCTCCGTGGGGCCCCGCCCCCTGTGACCCCCCCCCCCCCCCACCGTCTCACAGCCAGAACAATCCGCCAAACCAGCCCTTATGTAACCAGTGCAGACTTGGGAAGTGGAAACAACCAATCTGGCAACTCTAAGTGTGTGTGTCCCCCCCCCCCGGCTCAGAATGAGGGAGGGGTCAGCGGGCCGGAGCCCCGCGCGCAGCGCCGCCCAGCCCGGAGCGAGCGCCTGAACTTTGTCACCAATTCCTCGGAGAAGCCCATTCCTGCCTGCCCCCGGCTCCCAGGCTGCTGCCCCTCCGTCCTGAGGAATGGATCTGTGGCTCACAGCCGCGGCCGGGCTGGCCCTGCTGCTCTGCTCCTACATCAGGACCTTCTGCCCATACTTCTCGGCCGACTGCGCCTACATCCTGAGGAGCATCGGACTGGGCATCAGGCTGGTCAGATACAAGAGGAGCAAGCCCTTCTACAGCCTGCTGGACTGCTTCCTGGACGCGGTGGGCAGACACCCCGAGAAGGTCTTCCTGCACTTCGAGGGGGCCGCGTATTCCTACAAAGAAGTGGACAGGCAGAGCAACAAGGTGGCCCGGGCCCTGCGGGCCGAGGCCGGGCTGAGGGAGGGGGACGCCGTGGCTCTGTTCCTGCCCAACGAGCCGGGCTTCGTCTGGACATGGCTCGCTCTGACCAAGCTGGGCTGCCCGGCCGCGCTGCTGAACTTCAACATCAGATCCAAGTCCCTGCTGCACTGCTTCTCCTGCTGCGGGGCCAAAGTGATCATCGCCTCTCCAGGTCAGACCCTGCACCCCCCCCCCCCCCCCCCGCCCTTTCCCCCCCCCGCTCCCCCCCTTTCTCCAAAATTTAAATAAACAGCATTGTTTATACCTTTGGTCTTTTCCTTTCCATCTAGTTTCAGAGGAAATGTTCAACTACACCTTAAGCTCCCTTCTACAGCCCCCCCCCCCCTTCCTCCTTAAACATGTTCAAAATAAGATGAAATCTAAGTATGATAATGCCTCTTAAATCATGCATAAACCTGTCACATTGGCCACGTGACTGCCTGGGCCCTGACCCCGGGGGGGGGGACCCCTCTGGTTTAGTTTCAGCAGTATTTACCAGCAGCTACACCTCATCAGCTGACTGCAGCCTGAAAATCTGCTCTGGAAATGAGCAGAGAAATGGAAATCTTGCAAAAATCAGCCGATTTAAACTTTGGTACAAATTCAAATCCAGGTGCTTTTTTGGGGGTGGGTCACTTTCTTCTGCAGGTGGTGTTTTTATCTGGCAGGTAATGAGTGCTGATGTGTTCCACTGACTTGATTGCGTCACTCAGTCTGGCCTACAGTGACCAGCAGAAGGGTCAGGGTAACATTTTCCTGCAGAGGAACTCAAACGTTGCAGTGATCCTTATTATTTGAAGTTTGCTTCCCAATTGTTTTTGCATTTTTACCGAGATAATGTGCTTTTCTACAGTCCTCCCCAGTCTTCCACCCCCCTTTTTGACCCCCCCACCCCCGCAGCAGTAGTGTGCTCCATGTTGGTTAGAAAACTCGCAGTGTCCATGCTCCCCTACTCGGCTTTGTTAAAGATTTTAGCTGATCACAAATCATTAACAAAGTCCAGATCTCTGCTCAAAGGTTGGGGCTCCTCTAATCTGCTCGGTAGGTGTGGGGTCATTTCAAAAGGATAACAGCTGCACGCGTTTGCTAGGCTGGATGTTTGAAATGGTATTTTAACCGGAGCATCGAGAGACCTGAAACTTTATACTTTTTGTACTACTAGCAAGTAATTTCTGCACATTTGTAAAAGCACCTCACATGTGGGTGGAGATACAATGGAGGAGCAAACATTTCTGCCACTTTTCTCAAACCCTTTCAGTCACTGTGCTCCACCTTCAGTTCTGAGGAGCTCATTTGAAGCTGCATTCCACCCTGCAAAGCATTACACTCCTCCAGTTTACTGTCTCCTCTGAGAAGAGCCCCCGTTTGGGCCGGGCTCCTTCCCACCACGTGCCTCCCTCCAGCCGAGTCTGCTAACAGGATACAGGCCCACATGTGGAGGATTGCGCAACGGCACCGCGTGTGAGACTGAGTTTTTTTCCCCCCCTCTTTTTTTCCCCCTTCTGTGTTTGCAGAGCTGCAGGATGCTGTGGAGGAGGTTCTGCCCACTCTGCGGGAGCAGGGCATCCGGGTGTACCTGCTGTCCGGCAGCTGCGGGGTGGAGGGCATCACCGCCCTGTCCGGCAAGATCGCCCAGGCCTCGGACCAGCCGCTGCCCCGGGAGCTGCGGGCTAACGTCAGCATCAGGAGCACCGCCCTCTACATCTACACCTCCGGCACCACAGGTACCCCTCAGACCACAGCCAGGCCTGGCCGAGCTGTGTCCGGCAGTGTGAGCGTCTGTGTGCTTCTGAGAGCTAAAGTCAAGTTTTTGGGGGTGGGGGGTGGGCTCCGCTGGGTTTTAGGCTCGTTTGGTTGACATCTTGGTTAGTTTCCTTCTTTCCTGCCTCTGTTGGTGCATTGCAGAACTTCAGCTGTAGTTGACTGGAATGGTGAGGCCATTCACAGGTATGTGTTTGCATGATGCCAGTGCATGAAACCAACCGAAAGAGAAATATTTAACAGCGCACCTGATTAAAGAGGTTAAAGATCAAAGAGACGGGCGTGAGAAAACACTCATTTATGGGTAAGCACTTACGTTTCCTTTGGATTTAAAGTCTAATAAACAACGTCTGGACTCACAGGTCAAAGTCAAATAATTGTACTCCAACTTTTTTTTTCTAAAGTATGTTTTTGAGTCAGATTTAATAGAAATAAGCCACGTCCCTGTACAGTGCTCCATGCATTTCTATTTTATCCACTTACATGTCCTGCATTATGTAGATTCTGATTTGCATTTCAGAGGAAAATCAAAGGTCAGTGTTCTGACACATGGATAAAAGTGTTAAATACAAAAGGGACCCAGTTCTTCCTCTCTCTTTCTTCATCTCAAAATGATTTGTCTTATTGAATTATTCACGTTTTCTTAGTGACGGCAGCCTATTCACGTTTTCTTAGTGACGGCAGCCAGACCCAAGCCCAAGATATTTCTTTCTTTCTTTCTTCATTGCATTTGGGTCCAGGTCATAGAAATCAGTCGCCATGGCAGCGGTGACGGCTCAGGGAGCCCCGTTCCCTCCCGTGCTGCACCGATGAGCCGAGACACAGCTCTGCTCTGTCCCACCTGAGTGCTCTTCACTCCTAAACGTCTTTAGTCTGCTGCTGAACCCAGCATGGCCACAAACACAAACCAATGCTCGCGCTTTTGTTTGTGCGTCCGAGCGGCGCCGTGCGGCCGCTGGCTGCAGCGTGGTCAGGCCTCCAGCTGACCTGTCGGCTCCCGCTCCCAGTTTGTGGCTCTTTAGATGCTAAATGCCCTGTGAAGGGGTTTGTGAGCAGAGCTCAGGGTGATTTATCGTCCTCTCCCTGTGGAAGGTTTGCCCAAAGCAGCCGTTGTGACCCACGAGAGGGTGTGGGCCGCCTCCTTCCTCCAGGCGGCGTGTGGAGTCACCCCCGAGGACATCTTCTACATCAACCTGCCTCTGTACCACAGCGCCGGCTTCCTGATCGGGACGGCCGGAGCCATCGAGAGGGGTAACGGCCCTTAGGTTCCCTCGCAGGACGCTCGGAGGAATGAGGTGTTGTCTAACAGGCGGTTTGCTTCAGGCATGACGGTGGTTCTGAGGAGGAAGTTTTCCGCCTCTCAGTTCTGGGAGGACTGCCGGAAGCACGAGGTGACGGTGATGCAGTACATCGGCGAGACGCTGCGCTACCTCTGCAACACGCCAAAGGTACCGGGGGCCGGCCCCCTGCTCCCGCTCCAGCTGTGGAGAACTGTGGAGGATGGCAGATTTTTTTTTTCCTCTCGCAGAAAGAAAACGAGAAGGACCACAAAGTCCGAATCGCCATCGGCAACGGCGTGCGGAGCGACATCTGGTCGGAGTTTCTGAACCGCTTCGGGGACATCAAAGTCAGGGAGCTGTACGCCGCCACCGAGGGGAACATCGGCTTCATCAACTACACCTCCAAGATCGGCGCCGTGGGGCGGGTCAACTTCGTGCACAGTGTAGGAACGAGTGGAAGGTTCTTTACCACTAAAACTAATCAGCACAATCTCCACAATGGGAGGTTGATCCCCTTTTCTTTGGTGCTAAAACGCAGACGGTGTATTGGTGGTTTGATTCTCAGCTTCATGAGAGTATGCATCCCCCCTCACGTGTCTTTGATTAAGGCACCAAGGCCTGTTTTACCTCCAGTCTGGACATGAAGACATTATAGAGAAACACTGTCAGTAAAATGGTTTTCCGATTACCTTTCTTTTTCTTTCTCCTAGTTCTTTTTCCCCTATACTTTGATCAAGTTTGACATAGAGAAGGAAGAGCCGGTCAGAAACTCTGCGGGTCTGTGCATCAGAGCAGCTGTAGGTGAGTCCACATCCCAGTCCCAGAGAAACGGCTCCGGACTGAAGCCTTTTATAATCCGGCCCAGCTGCCCTCCCGGTGCGGTCAGCTCGTGTGCTTGTTTTGTCCTGACCGCTAACAGGTGAGACGGGGCTGTTGGTGGGAAAGGTCACCCAGAGGTCTCCCTTTGTGGGCTACGCCGGCAACAAGCAGCAGACGGAGAGGAAACGGCTCCGCGACGTCCTAAAAAAAGGCGACCTGTACTTCAACAGCGGCGACCTGCTCCGCTTTGACCACGAAAACTTTGTGTACTTCCAGGATCGAGTCGGCGACACGTTCAGGTGAGTGATTCTGTTTTTCAGAGGTGGTGTTATGTGGCTGCACCTGCTGCAGGCGGGGCTGATGGTCTGTCTCCCCGCCCCCGCTCACAGGTGGAAAGGCGAGAACGTCGCCACGTCGGAGGTGGCCGACATTCTGACCATGGCCCGCAGCATCTCAGAAGCCAATGTTTACGGTGTTAAGGTTGAAGGTAAGAAAGAAAAAAAAAACAACAACACTGCAGATATATTTGATGTCTTTCGGCACGTGACCCGGCATGCTTTAAATGACTGGTGCAGGTCACGAGGGGCGCATCGGCATGGCAGCTGTGACTCTGAATGAAGGAGGAGAATTCGACTGCTCAGACACCTACAAACAGGTCGTCAACTACCTCCCAGCTTATGCCAGACCCAGATTCATCCGGATTCAGGTGAATATGAAGCTTATAGAGTTTTTAACAGGAGAAAAGAAGGCGGTTCGGTCAGTGGTTAGACTCCCTGTGGACCACATGTCTAAAGGTCCCTGTAAAGAACACTGAACCCCAAGTTAAATGGCTGTGTGCATGAATGAAATGTAGAAGTAAAGCACTTTGAGTGGTCAGTTTGACTGGAGAAGTGCTTGATAGCTGGAGTGCATTTGGTTTTTCTATAAAGTTTTAGTAAAGTAAAAGCTGTACAGAGATGAGGATTCCATTTTTCTTTAAAATTAATATATTTTTTTCTTTAAATGACATAGGACAGTGTTTCTGTTGACTGTAATCTTATATTTTCATGGTGAGCTGAGCGTAAGAGCTCTGCAACGACAAACGAGATGCACAGAAAGGCCTGATGGATTCGAGGTGTGAAGGGATGAAATTGCTCTGTTTTCTGCAGCCCTGCCTGGAAATGACGGGAACGTTCAAGATGAAGAAAGTGAAGCTGGTGGAAGAAGGATTCAACCCCGCCCTCATTAAGGATCTGCTTTACTTCCTGGATCCGGAGAAAAAGACGTACGTCCCCATGACAGAGGAGATCTACAGAGCCATAGCTTCAAGGGAAATCAAACTCTAACGTAGGAACTAACGTAGCTGAAGGTACACCTGCTCACTCATGGACCTTAACAGCCAACTAATCTCAGGGACAGACTTTTGACACATTTCATGTTTGAAAAGACTTTTCTAACTCTTGAACTACTTTGCACCTCTACAGTTTTATAAAATTCCTTAGAGCCGACAGTGTTTGCCCCACCCACTGTTGTGTTAGGGTTACGCACCTGTTACACAGGAACGCATTAGCTTCGGATGCTGGTCTGTGCTGAGTGTAACCGGAGTCGGTGCACCACAGCAGGGAGCAGCTTCAGAGCCGACAGTCACATGTCTTAGTCACTACCTTCCAGACCTCAGCCGAAACAGTAAAGAGATTTTTCATGTTGTCTAACAATATGTGTTGGGTTTTTTTTTTGTCTTTGAAAACGGGTGTTGCTGCACCCACTGTTCAGTCTCCTTCAGTCTAACTTCGGGTAGCGAGCACAGAGGATCTGAAAAATCCAGATGTTGTTCTTCCCAGAAACACCGATTTGAAAATATTGGAACTAAACATGTATTTGGAAAAATGGTAAAAACAGGTTATTTGGGCTATCAGTACACACTCAGCATTTTTGTTCTCCAGTCCATCTATGGCAATAAAAAAAAAGAAAAAAAAGCTCTGAGCCCGTTTTAAACCTTCAACATCGATCTGTGCTGCAGCCTGATGATGTGAAGACTGAGAAAAACTGACAACATTTAAAGAGTGATGCTTTCCCCATACTCTGCCGAGAATTCTAAAACAGACTAATCCAGTTGTCCACATTAACCCAAGAAAAAAAAAAAAAAAAAAAACTTTTAAACACCCAGAACAACAATCAAATTCAGTGGGCACGTACTTTAGAAATGAATTTATTTAGTAATACAGTGGTATACTTAGAAATGTGTCGCAAATGGAAAAAGAAAAACCAGAACCAAAATAAATAAAAAAATGTCAGCCACACAGGAAATGAAACTAGTGTTGGGTTGAAGCAGTGTTGTCATATCAAAAGAAAAATAGTACTGATGTGCCATAATAAATTGTCTATTAGTACAAAAATACATTTCAGGGCACACAATACAGCATCCAGTATCACAAATAAAGGAAGGGACCACTCTTCACAGCAGCCCCCCTCAAGTACATCTTTTAAAATCAGTTAAACCAAGCACTTCTCTATTTTGTAAATAAGAATAAAAAGTTTTCTGACAGTTAAAAATGCCTTACGTAGTGTGTCTGTCTGTGTATTTGTTGGTAGAAAAGTCGGACTTATTACTGCTTATGTCAGTTCCAAGGCTCAGGGGTATAACCAGAATACAAACATAACCAATGTAACCGCTTCCTCTTTTTTAAACAAAGGTTTTCTATTTTATACAAAATAACAAAGATGTACAAAAGTTCATTTACAGAGAACCAAGGCCATATGCTAGCAGTATGTACAGCCACAATTTAAACATCTTCTAGCTTTGTATTTCCTCAGACTTCAGATGCATAGCAGTAAAAGAAAGCATACCTTTTCATAAGCCCCAATTATCTCTGGTGTGCTAAAATCCAAGACGTGAGAACACAGACGACTTTTCCTTCCGTAGTGATCGCTACAACTCAGGGTCCCGAATGTTTTTAAAGTTTCACTGAAAAGTTAATATGCAGATAAGGCATCACTGCTTGCAGTGTACGATGGGGTTTTCATGTGTTGAACTTAGTAGTAGCAGGCTTCTGGACCTGAGTCATAGCACATGCATAGATCTCTAGACAGCAGGAGTTTGTAAAATCAAGTCATTACATTTATCTACGATAAAACTTCTCTACAAAACAGCAGTTTAACCACAGAGCACTCCGTCCAAACAAAAACGGGCGTCTGATACTAATACTTAACTGTCATTCTTCATAATTATTCTTTTTTTTAAATCTTCATGAAAACTACATCTTCCTTCATGAGCGAGTCCTCAGAGATCCTTCATGAGTGAAAAGCATGACCACTGAACTCACAAACAAAAGTTTTGCATATACAAACTTTGCTGTTTGTGAGCGAGTTTATTTATTTTTTGTTTAAAGTCTTATACAGTACACAAAAATCCCATTGCAATATTAAATAAGTTCCCAAAATTCTCCTTTTTTCTTCCCCCTCCTGCTCTAAATCTTTACAAAAATTAGCTAAAAATGTCAAAATGAGATCATTCAGTCTGTGGCACTGGTCATGCATTCCAACTTCAGTTCCTTTGTTTTAGATAACTTGTTTAAATCTTCTCTCTTTTTTTTAAAACATTTTTATTTTATTTCATTTTTTTTTAATCTTCATTTTTTGCAAGCCTTGAAAGCACCGAAAAACAAAAAGAAACAAACGAGAGTTTCTGGACTCCTCCGGCTCTCCGCGTGTGTTTTGTGGGAGCGTGTGTTCTCTTTTTTGGGGGGGAGAGGGGGGGGACACAGTAAACAACGTGAGAGGATGGAGTTCATACTTCATCGAGCGGTGTGCGTCTCGGCGCCGTGGAGGGGGGGCGCAGCGGGGGCCCCCGTTAATCACATTCAGTAACAGGCCAGCTGTTGCCCTCTTCAGAAGTGGTCAATGAGCACAGACACACAGTTTGCACCCACCAGGTAGTTTGGGTCTCCTGGGAGAGATTTGTTCTGCCAGGTTTTAGGATCACCTGCAGGGGCCAAAAAAACAAAACAAACAAACAAACAAACAAAGAACACATCATCAGTTTCTATCAGAGCTTCAGTCGCACAATAAAATACAGAAAAAGTTGAGTTTAACACAACAAAGCAGGACTTTTCCATTAGATGACACCAGAAAGAGATGCAGTGGGTATAGCAAATTCTTAGAGGTCAGATTAAGTTTAAAGTGGTGCCAGAAAGTATTACTTTTTTTTAAAAATGCTAATATTTTCTTACGACTCCTAAAGGTGGAGTGAGAGAATGAAACATAATTAATGAATGATTCATGAGGACACTGAACTAAACTTTTAGAAGCAGCTTGGTAGTTATTACACTATGAAAAGAACACGGCTGCATTCCGGCTGTTTAGGAATGAGTCTGGTAAATGTTCTGTGAGCAAGAGGACAGATAAGCCTCATCTTTGGAGAAGTAAGCTATTCAAACTAAAGGACCTCCTCCCCTCTGTGGAGGTAGGGGGGTTTGGCCCTGTTATGTTGTCATTTCAGCTAAAAAACTTAATAAAATAAGTTTCATTGTTTGTAATGAGCTGATCTGAAGTGTAAAAGTAGGACACAGAGCAGCAGGCGAGCAGAAAATGGAGAACAGAAGAGGTGATGGTCAAAGCCTCAGTGAGCCAGCCCACAGACCCCAAAAAGGACAGAGAGGGGACAGCGTACCCGACGAGGAGTCGGAGGATTTTAGAGCAAAAGACCAACCATCAGGGGTCATAGACGCACAGTGAGGTAAGCGCAGCTCCACCGGCTTCAGGAACTTGAGTCCGTGCGGGCCGCACATCACCAGCGGACTTAGCAGCGTTTCTCCTGCACACAACGGGAGATTTACATTCCACACAGCCTGCCCAGACCAGAGGATTATCCTCCACCCAGAGGAGAGCAACTCTGAGAGCGAGCTGCCAGGCCCTCATCGTCCGCTGCCTGACTTTAATCAAACACACACACACACACACACACACACACACACACACACACACACACTCCCCCCGTAATTAAAATGCCTCTACAGCCCAACGCCAGCATGCAGGCACATTTTCATCAGGGGGGGCATTTCCCTAAATACGTCTAAATCAGCTACTTCATAACCTGTCCAGCAGAACTTTAGATGTCAGCACACCTCCCTGTGCCTGACCCCCCCCCCGGAGAACATGTCCACCTGGCTGAACATGGACCTCCTCACACGCTGCTACTCGTGCCCTGACATGTTTAGGATGGCGATGGGGGACGGACCTTTCTCCTTGTCGAGGGGGGGCAGGATGCTGTTGTCCCGGCACACTTTGAAGTAGATCTCCTGCTCCACGCTCTCGGGGATGGCGCCCTGGGGGATGATGATGCTGACGCCCGTCTCTATGGAGCTCAGCACTCCTCCGTTGCAGTTGAAGATCCCCCGGGCGGTGGCCACCACCGTGTGGCCCTCGTCCTCGTCCTCGTCGTCCAGCGCGCCGGGGCTGAGGGGAGAGGAGGCACAGGCCGCCGTCGGTCAGTCGGGGGGGGGGGGGTCAGCGAGGAAGCCCGCCCCGCCTGGCCTGCCGGCCGCCTGCTCTCACCTGACGGGGATGGCCTTGGGAATGGCGTTGATGTTGTTGTGCTGGTACTTGGGCCGGTTGTCCACGGTGCGTGTGAAGGTGTCCAGGCCGCTGTCGTGGTCAGGGGGCTGCGGGGACAGCTGCGGCTTCCCGCTGCTGTTGCTGACCATGCCGGCCTTAGCCAGCAGCTCCGTCTTCACCTGCGTGTCGTTGGGCAGCAGGTTGTGGTTGAACTTGGGGCTCTCGAACTTGCGCTCGAAGGGCCGCGCCGCGCTGGTGTAGGACTTGGGCACGTAGCGGTTGTAGCTGGCCGGAGCGGGGCCGCCCAGCGTCTTGGGGGGGGCCGGATCGGTGCCATTGACGGGGGACTTGTCCGGGTGGCCCCTCGGGGGGAGGTAACCGCCCGGCGAGGGGTCGTCCCTGCTGACCGGCCTGAGAGCCGGCAGGTCAGGTTTAGGGTTGGGTGAACTCAGAGGTTCAGCTATGGAGTTAACTGGAAAAGAATCAGAGAAAGAGTCCCCGTTATGTAGGTAAAGAAAAAATGAGAAGAAGAAACACAAAACTCCAACAGTCTGATATGACTGAGAAAAAGAGGAAAAGCGAGAACACTTTGGTTTTTACTGGATGTAACAAACTGATCTGAACGACGAGGTTATTCACGGCTTGGAGCCATTTCATTACATAAGAAAGTCTAAGCTTTACTTTCACAACTTACCATCACTGGGGCTGAGTTTGGGCAGTGTGCTGGGGGGGGCGGCGGGTGGCGGGGGGCCATACGGCGAGGAGGGGCTGATTTGGGGTAAGGGTTCGTATCTCTTCTCCACGGGGCTCACCTTCTCCATGGACTCCACTCTGTGACCACAACACACGGCCATTAAACAGCTGCCGACAGGGAAGGAGCTCAGGATCCAGCTGCAAACAGCTGGACCTGCGCGCCGCTCTACCTGCTGTATGGGTATGACAGCTGAGAGGGCTTGGGAAGATCGTGGAAGCGGTTGATGCCAGGAGCGGGCTGACCCATCGCCTTGCTGTCAAAGCTGCGCCGATCAAAGTAGGACAGCTGCTTCCTGTAGTACTCCTCATCCTCATCTGGGTCATAGTGGTTGGAACGCATTAAATCATCCAGGGGCTTAGTGTGAGGCTTTTGCGGTTCAGGAGCTCTGGAGGGAAAGAAAGGGAGCAAATCAAGCAGGTGTGCACCTTTAGACTGAAGGGCAGACAAAGACCGGATACAGTTTCACATCTTCTGGTGAGAGAAAACGGCACGGAGCGATTAAACGCGTTTAGGCAGAGTGGAGACTTCTGCTCCCTGACTTTCCTCCAGTAGGGGGCGCTCTGAATCCGCCGTGTGTGCTGAAGCCTTCAGCTGCTGAGCAGAGGCAGACGTACCTGTAAGTGGACTTCTCCTGCTCCAGATTGCTCAGGGAATTGGCTTTGAGGACCGGGCCAGGCACAGAGACAGGCTTCGGGACGTCTGCAGGCTGGGAAACAAAAGGCTCGTTTTAAATGTTTGAGTCATTTCTTTAACTCTGCCTGACTCCAAACATCATAGATTACAAAACAGTGGGACTAAAATTATTTTTTTTTTCTTTACACATTAGTGATTTGGTTAGCTTTGTCAACCTTTTTTACACCAATATTTCAACTAAAGCCTTTTTTTCTGTATATTTCACACTAGGAAATGGCTCCCATGTGATGAAGTCGCCTTTGACTTAAAGTCACAGACTAAAAAGGCATCGACGTGACTTTGTCTATCGGTTAGTCACTTAATGAGGCAGAAATCGGCGCCTCTGGAAAAAAAAAAACTTACCCTGAGAACCGATGACTCCCCCCCCTCTTTAGCTCTGTCCATGGAAACGGAGCGCTTGTTTTCAAACATCTTGACTCTGTTGAGCACTGACTGAGGCTTCATTGCTGGGTCTTCATCCGGGTCTTCCCGCGGTGGAGGGGGAAGCGGTTTGGAGCCCGGGGTGATTGCTGGATCACTCGGAGAGGGCAGAGTGTCGGGTTTAGGGGGCGGGATGGCGGGTTCAGAGTTCATGATGGACTCGTGCATCCCTGGCTTGTAGCCCCGGCTCTGAGGCCCTGGCATGTAGTGGGGCCTCAGACCAGGGTCAGCGTAATACTGCTTTGGGGGCTCTGGTGAGCGAGGTGAGTTAATGGGGAAGCTGTGGGTTTCTGCCTCGTATGGCGAGCGCGCCTCGTAGCCTGCGGGGGGGAGAGGGGGCGGCTCATCGTAACGAACGGGCCCGGGTTTGCTGTGCCGGGGTCTGCCGTCGTAGCCTATCGGGGGAACCTCGTCGTAGCGCGGCTGAGGGGGGCTGTAGTCCCTTCCGGGTCCGTCGTCGTAGGGGGACCGGGGGCTGTAGGCCATGGGTTGCTGGTGGCCCGGCTTGAACCCGGCGGGCTGGGAGGACGAGGTCTGCTGGTCGTAGGGGGGCCACTGTTCATTGTAATGAGGCACACGGTTGTCGTAGTGCAGGTGAGAGTCAGTGTTGGGAGGCTTTGGTTCTACGTAGCCGCCTCCATCGTATCCGTAAGGCGGGTGGTCGTACTCCCGGTATGGCTGTTTGTCCTGGAACGACGGCTGGTGACTGTAGCTCAGTGACTGCTTCAGGCCATGGTTGATTCGAACAGGGTCCTCCATGTTGTACAGGTCTTTCTTATACATCTGTGGAGAAAGGGCACCGACTGAATAAATACATTCAATTATCACTAGTCTGTGCTTTCAACCAACCACCAAGCGGAAGAAAAAAAAGATTTTCCCCAACAGCTGATGAAGATTAAATTCACATAAAAAGGAGAAAAATACCAAATACGGCCAAATTGTCAGGAAACCCAAAAAGAAATATTCAGAGCATGTTCACCATACAAGCAAATCTTTTTTCAGAATTCAAAAACAGCATTGAATGCCTGTTTGACAAGATGCCTTTCAAGAATGATCAAATCCATAAAGACATGTGAATTCACATGTTGGCGTGTTTAATCGAGGAATAACAAGCAGCTGGCACATTTCTGAAAGGCCTCGTTTCAAACATATGATGTGTAGCCTGAAGACAGCAAATCTAGTTACAGCACTTGCCATGGAACAGGGTCGATTTGTTGGCATCTACTCAGGACACAACTACTCAACAGGAGCGTCGGACATAATGCAGTGTGCTGTTGGCGGTTTGTTTTCCCATAGAAAGACGTATTACCAAAAGTACTGTCTGCAGGTTAGCTCGCATCATGCAACAAACATTCAGTTTGTATCTAATGCAACGTCAGACTACAACAGACGACACGTCTACCAACTACTATGCCACTGTCAGTGCTACAATTACTCAGCTACAGGAGAGAGTTAAAGCTGAGAGGAACCCAAAAAACATTAGGAGCCATGCAAAGGAAGTAGAAGGCAACATTTAGGGCTGGTTGTGGATGTCTTCACCCTGTTCAGAGACCCAGGTGTACCAGTTCCTTCTGGTCTCCCAGCCCACTGTGGTGCATGTGGACGAGTGTGTCACACATAGTCTCTGGGAGCCAGAGGCACACAGTGGGCTCTGTGAGTCACACAGTGTGGGCATGACATGCAGAGAGCGAGTGGAAAGCATGTGTGAGAAGACAGGCAGTTAAAACAGCAGGCTGGGGCCCAGGCCCGGTCCGAATGGCTGGCGAAACAGCGGGTACCTTTGGTTCTGGACCAGGTGGTCCAGACGGGTGGGGTTCATGTGGTGGTGGGGGCTGAATAAGCTCAGGGGCAGGGCTGGGGCTGCTAAGTGAGTCCGCCTGAGGAGCTGCGGCTGCAGCGGGCGGCTCCTCTAGGTGCACACCCTCTAGCTGTACAGGCTGCTCAGCAGCAGGGGAAGCTACCGACGACGATGGCAACGAGGGCATGGGCGGGGCAGCCTCACCTTGCTGTGAAGTATTGTTAAGAGACATTTATAACACAGCCTGCCAATGCACATCTCAGTGTAAGGAAGACGCTCACGGTGTTGGGCTGACTCAGCTCTACACCAGCCACAAAAAGGACTTGCACAGAAAGGATAAAATAGCCGTAGCTTCTAAAATATGTGGATTACTTCTCATAGGACATTTATCTTAACCATCAAGACACAACACTGAACACAAAGGAGCTATTCATCTGCTCTGTGGTCGCATACTGTAAGGTATACATCCATCTATTACAGAAGGGCCTCACCTGCTGTGGAGCGGCCATCTTGAACCCAGCAGGGTCTATGCGGCTGGCTGGGTCGGGCTGCACGCCGTGCTGGTATCCGGGGTACCCTGGGGTGTCTTGTATCACCGGGGGATCTTCTCGCACAGGCTCTGAGGAGCGCGTGATGGCGGGCTCGGTGGGCAGACCCACCTCATCGTTCAGGGTCTCGTCTAACTCCTGGTCTGTGTACGCGCCGCCCTCTGTGTCCGTGTCCTCGTAGTCTGAGGTGTGGCGGCTGTCTGTGCTATACATGGAGTATTCGCTACCTGGCGCCGACAGGTAGGACAGACGGTCATCGTGGATGTCCAGGTCATCCTCTGTGGTGCCGTCCGCCTGAGCAGAGCAGAGAAACGGTCGCTCACAGAGTCTCAGGTAAAAGGATCAAACCACCCCTGCTGCTGGTCTCACCTTGCCCTCCGACACCCACACCAGCTGATTCTGCTGCTGCTGGATGGTTTCCTTCAGAGCGCCGTACCACCCATCGTTCATGTTGTTCAAGTTGATGGTTGCTTAGAGAAAACAAAATCACATTATCAACCTAAGAAATGTGTAAAGCGGGCAACTTTAGATAGCGTTTAACTCGATGCTCGGCTCGCTTACTGGTGAACAGGTGGTGATTATTCTTCCTCAGTTTAATGGCTCGCTCATAAAGCTTCCTGGCGCTCTTCCTGGACTCTGGACAAAGTCTTGTCCTCATGTTCTTCACACCTTGTTTATTATCGGGATTTAGGAAGACTACAATTGGGTACCACTGAGCATAATTCAGCCGGTCCACAGCATTTGGGGTGATGTCCAGCAAAGCATGTTTGTCCTTTGATGGATAAATGACAAGAAATGATCAAGAACGTTGCTTTCCTATGAAATACATTAAAAACGCTTTACAGATAGACTCATGCTCACTCTGTCAATGATCTGTTTGATGGTGTGAAGACGAATGATTCCTGAACTGCGCTGGTCTGTTCCCGCATCTCTCGGTTCGCTCTCTGCAAAAGAAGAGTGTGAGAAAGTTAGTTTCTCCGTCTCTCACATCATTACCCGACTCCATTCACGTGATTTCGGTATGCAAACGTACTTGCGAGCTCAAACAGATCGGGCTCTTCTCTTGATAGTTTTTCACGAGCGACGTCAGCGATGGGCCCAAATATCACGACTGGTCTGAGAAAACCGGCTGCAGAAAAAAGCGGGCCCACATCAGCGAACACACAGAGCTGCAGTCGCCGATGGGAAAAAGCCTCACCAGGTCAGAGTCCTCACCTTCTCGCAGCACAACTCTCTCATAAGCTGGGAACTTGGTTTGGACAGGCTGGGAGGACAGGTCCTCCCTGCTCTTCCTCAGGTTTCTTTTTGAACTGCGGAGACCACGGAACCTCCAGAAGTCGGCCCTGTCGCCGCCTGCCGTTTTGGGGAGGGTGTACTGCACACTGGAGAGCTGCTCTGCTCTGTTGGCACACACACAAAGGGATGGACGTCCGGATATAGGTCATTAACTGGACGTGGACGTGAAGTGATGAGAATGCTAATAAGAAATGCGACACCAGATGGGGCTCTGACAGCAGCGGGGGTGCCTTCACCTGTTCTTGTTGGGGATTATGCCCCTCTCCACTTCCTGATGGTTCTTGCCAATGCGAATAGCCAGCCAGGAGCCCAACTTCCCATTGTAGAGGGTGTCCACCACACGGAACACCTCGCCCTTGTTGAAGCTTAACCCGTACGGAGACTCCTTTTCATACTCAAAGTGTGTCCGGATGTAGAAGGAGTCGCCAACATCCGACTCCACGATCCGCCGATACACTGAGGAGAGAGCAGCCACTCATCAGCATCAGCTGAAACTAACACCTGAAGTGCTTTTAAATGGTCCTGCTTTTACCATCTTTTTTCTTCTGAGCCAGAATGGTGACCTCTTCACCCTTAGGGAGGTCCAGAAGGAATAGCACCGCCTCTTCTCGAATTATGTTTGCAAAATCAACGTTATTTACCTGAAAGTAGGGAAAACATGACTCAATTTAAGATGGTTTTTATCTTGTTGATTTGAGTTCAGCTGCCGCTGGAGTGAATCTCTGCTTTAGATAGAAGTGCAGATTGCTCCTCCAGTGCTCAGAACTCCCCGGGTAACAGGAGGTGTTGAGAGAACTTCAGTCTTCCCTCATTATACCAGGAGAAAAGGAAAGGAGGTACAAACAGCAAGATATACGACTGTAAAGGAATGGGGTAAACCTTTTCGTTTGTCTGTTCTCTCTTGGCTACGGCTAAGACCTTGCTGACACTGGAACTTTAAAAGCAGGCAGTGTTTTAAGACATTTATTTTAAAAAGGTTGAATGGTTGCGGATGTACTGTATAGCCCATAAAACATGATTTAAATGGTCAACATGAGCTTCCCCTGTTTAACAAAAAAACAACAACAAAAAAAACAACTTTTCTTACTGTCAGTTGGAATTGTAGAACCATGCCCTGCATGCTCTCATCCCAACATGAGTCTCACCCTGAGAATTTGGTCGCCCTCCTCCAGGCCCTCCTTAGCAGCTGGGCTGTCCTCCAGCACTCCGGCTACAAAAATGCCCACGTCGTTCCCTCCGGCCAGCCGCAGACCCACGCTCTCCCCCTTCTTGAACTTTACCAGTTTCATGCTCGGCCTGAGGATAAAGACAGTCGTCAGACTGATTTCCTCTTAACGGATGGCATTTGGCATTTCTTTTTCTCTATAAAACATAAATTAAGCGTTGGATGCTAGCCAAGCTTATCATTATTATTATCTTTTTGTTTTGTTTTTTGCCTTTCTTCCACTTGACAGCAAACCCAAGTATTCATAAAAGACACAATAAGGATAAGAACAATTCTATATAATATGTACATCGCAATAACACAATTCATTTCATGGCATTTACAAATTAGTATTTGAAGGAACCTTTTTAAAAAGAATGACTGTTGAACTGAAGTGCTGTTAGCATTACCGTAGGATACTGTCATCGTGGGCAGCGCTTGGCACAGGGGCATCAGAGGGACTGACTGGCAGGTCAACATCTGGCTGTCCAGGCTGAGCGTACACAGGCTTGGGCTCTGGGCAAAAAAAAAAAAAAAAACATTCACTGCATTCATTCAGATGGATGAATCAGAAAAATAAAGAAAAAAAGGAGACACAAAACCCCCCACTTAACACTAAAGATGCTTCTGTAGGAGTATAAGTCACTAATGAAAAATGCACACAGGCATTCACATCACCACACAGGCACAGTGCACACACATATACGCACTGTCCTTAGCTGGGAGGTCAAAGAGAAAGACAGCAGAGCGCTGCGGGCTGGTGAGGAACGTCAGACTCGATCAACTCATTTGCTTTATTTTCACTTGGCTCCAGGAAAACTCAGCCAGACTCAGCAGGCGTCTGCATCAAGTATTTTTGTAGATATACTTTAAAAAAGAGATATACCGGTTGAGACCAGAGGTCGCTTTAAAGCCACATGATTTTTCTTTGCTGCCGAGAATCAAACAGCATTTCCTTTCATAGCTGATCTCAGGAATTTGCACCTAGAGCCTCGGATTCTGACATATTTCCTGCTGTGCTTACTGACTGACTGCTGAGTCTCTGACCTGGCAGAGGTGGGAGCTGTTTCTCCTCTCTTGCGACAGCCGACTCCTTCGGTTTTGGCAGCGGGACCTCCTCAGCGAGCTTGGATGGAGTTGAGGCTTGCTTTGAGATACGGTCGTCATCACGACTTCTGTGACTAAGGATGAAAAATACATAGCTTTTGAACATTTGCACCATTAACACACTGGATCATAAATAATGCTTACAGGAGATGTAAAGCCTGAGGACAGCATGTGCAGAGACGTGCAGGCTGAAAATGGGGGGGGGGGGGGCTCCAGCAGAAGACTGCATCTTAGTCTTGAAGGTCATGGCGTTGCCTGTCCACTCCTTTGTGTGTTATTTTTAGCATAGCTTATCTAAGGTGTCGGAGTGGATTTGGTCCTCCAGGTGATGTTTCACCATGTGGTTCCGGCTTCAAAGCAGCATGCTTTGACTAAATATATAGTTTCTAAAAGATTTAGAGACTTAAGTCAGCTCTGCTGATGAAGACTGACACCAAATCTCTCATTTTTTCACAGGACCGACAGAAGAACGCTGCTCTGTTTTTCATGCCTTTGTGTCTTCTGGCCACATGGCTGCTGACTGGCACTACTGCTATCAAAGCGTTGTTTTATTCACAGGCTGACAGACTGAGGAACTACAACCAGTCCTGCTAAAACCGGCTGCAGAGGAACAACTTCTTTTCAGCCCATCCTGGAGACAGACCCATCTCGCGCTGCCAACTTCCTGAGCTGAGAGAAATGCCACAGATCAAGTTCACATAAACAGCTCTATCCTGTTCCTCCAACTTCTTCCTGTTATTCAAATGAGCTCAATAGCTTCAAAGTGCTTGTGGCCAGCACGTCTTGCTTCCCAACAGGTCTGCAAACGCTCGCCCACTTGCAGAAGACTAGAGTTCGGTGAGGATCTATTGTTCTGTCACCACTGAACCGTTTTTGTTTCCTTGAGTTAAACATGCGGTTTGGCCCACCGAAACATAAAGGAGACGCAGAGATCCTGTAACACTTTCACAGGACTCTGTCGTCTCAAGAAGAGGCACTGCTGAATAATTGATGTCGTAAAACATCACATTAATCACATTCATCGAGTTCTGATTTTTTCTGATGCTTCTCACACAAATTGGGATCAGCTCTGCAGACAAAAGGGCTGAGAGGTCAACCTCCCCAACTGCATTAAATCTATTCTACAGGATCTCTACCAGTACCACATCTAAGTCTAAGTGCTAAGTGCTAAACTTACGGTATTCTCCAGCTGTTCGAGTGTGAAGGGAATGAGAGACAGACAAATCCCATTAAGTAACACTGTTCCTGAAAGGCATAATATCCAGGAAGAAAGAGAAGGGAAGTCTAACACCCTGCAGAGGAGAGTATTGAACCGCCTCTCTACTCTAATTCTAACCTTGACTGACTCTTGCAGTTAAACAGTAAAAGGGGAACGACTGCTGTGCTCTATTAAGCTTAAATAAAGAAATAATGAGGTAAGTACTGACAAGGTTAGAGCCAAAGAGGAGCTGAATGGGGATGGCATTAAGGCAAACATCAAACTGCGAGGACAAACGATCTGAAGAATACGCCTGTCCTAACAAAGCAAAACAAAGCCATCGATTATGCTCAGATTTTCTTCTTCTTTCTCTTTAAACGTGCCAATCCAATTCCTCTGCTGCGTCCGTTCCAAATGTGTGCGTATGCTCTCACCAGCGGGACAGCCATTGCTTCTATTGGCAACAAATGAACATACAATTAGAAACTATTGTGTACCTGCCGTTGCTGATTTGTGGGGGGGAATGCCTGGAGTGGTCCGAGGGTTCGGACCGTCTGTCGGGGGAGCGGGAGCGGCTGCTGCGATGCCTGTCGTGTGATCGATTGGAATGGTCCGATGCCAGAGAATGGATGTCTGAAATGTCTGATCAAAGAAAAGTCTCGGCTCAGCTACCACAGTCTGACGTCCGCATTGAACATTGGCTGCACCCCCCACCCCCCAACAGGCCTCTCTCTCACCATCTCTGTCAGAGGCGTTGGCTGAGGGAATGCTGTCGTCGAGGTCAGGGATGTTCAGCAGGGTCGCTCTATCATCTCTCTGAACAACCATTTTTAGTTTGCCCTTTGACCTTTCTATCAGCTTCTTGGCGTCTATCAAGGAGAGGTTCTCTGTCACTGTGCCATTAATCTGCGGGGCATCAGAAGAGGGCGTTACCCACGAGCCAACAAAACAGCTCCATTCTTTACACAAAATAAAAAGAGAGGAAAAGGTCCCTTTGTTTCAGGCTTGATGTGATAAAAAGTCTGAATGTTGAACCTGAAGGTGTTTCAAGGATAAATTAGTATCAAATGGAAAAAGCTCAGTTTAAACCCAGTCATGGCACTGCTGGTATGTGTGCATTAATGGGTGACGCTCTTCCTTCAGTACCAACACAGAAACCATGATTTCAGAAGTAAAATTAGGACATTTTTCAAGGGAAAAAACAGCACTGGATTACAATGAATACAGTCATTTCTTTCACCTGATAAGACATGGGGGAAAAAATAAGTACTGGTTCTCTCCTTCCCTCCCTCCCTGTCTCACCTTCAGTACAACATCCCCCTCCTGGATGTTGCCATCCCTGGCTGCCAGGCTCTCAGGGGAGATGTCCTTGACAAAGATGTGGCTGGCCAGGCGCAGGCCATATTCTGCTTACAGAGTGAACGACAGCAACAAAAACCATGTTAGCACAGAGTTGACGGGACAGCACCACACTGACCGGACTTTGCCGCCAGCTGCCGCTCCCAGTGAGATTAACGCCGCTGATTAAAGGAGATTAATTGCTCTTTTAACTTAGATTTACTTGAGTTAACTTAGATTTTGCCAACTCTGGCAAGTTTCCTTTACTCTGGCGGTTAACCAGTGCTGATCTGGACGTTTTTCTCTTTTCTATCCCCGACTTTGTGAGCCTCACCTTCATTTTTTCGGGATTTGACGAGCGTGACTTTGGCGGGGCGCGGGGGGAGGTTGTGTGAGCGGCGGTCTGAGCGCGGGGAGAGGCTCCTCTCCCGGGAGCCGCTGCGCTCGCGTTCTCTGTCCCGCCGGCCGCTGCTCCGGCCGCTGCGGCGGCCCATGGCCCCGCCCACGCCGCTGTAAGCACCACTGCGTCCACTTCGCATTTCATAGATCTCTTCGTCGTAGCTGTCCTCCTCCTCGTCGTGTTCCGACATGGTTTCCCGCTCTCCGAGGCGACCCATGGGGACGTGCACCTTCCTCTTCCGTCTGATTGTCTGGATGTGGAAAATTGGATAGGTCCAGCATGTGTGAGAAGAGCCTGGCTGCAAAACGCACACCAACATGCATATATCTCGTCTCCTTCACAGCTGTGGGCACTCACAATTTTGGCAATTTTCCCGCTTTTGCGAAGCTGCTGGACAGCGTACGCATGCTCCACGTTGTCCATGGAGACGGCATTGACCATAACCACTCTGTCATTTTCCCTGGAGACGAGAAACACCATGAGCAGACAAACTGGAGTCTTTCTGGAGCGGGCAGAGTAATTCAATCCCAAAAGTAGAGATCTGATCGGGCTGCCAATAATAGGAGCTTACTGCAGTAGGCCTTCTGCTGGGCCTCCTTTCAGCACGTCCGAAATGACAATGGAGGTCTCGCCACTCTGAAAATGAGGGTTATCCCGACCTCCTGATATGGCTATCCCGAAGCCAAACCCTGGTGCCTGCATGGTGAAACACAAACAAGGAGCAAAATCATGGCCTGTCTGTGAAGATGCCCCAGAACCGTTGTATAACTCATACACCGATCCTTTTATCAGACTCTACAATGAGTATTGTTTGACTGGTAGAAAGTTTGTGTTCTAGAGGCCAAAAAAACAAAAAAAAACATTATTTAGGCCCTGCTGCACAAAGAGCGTAGGAGAGGAGAAAGACTATGTGTCTTTCTGCTCTTCTGTCAGATCCACCTGCAGCACAGACCCTGCATGATTTGATTGAGGAAAAATCAGAGGAGGATAAATTCAGCCTGGAAGAAAATATAGCAGGGACAAAATACAGGCTGGGATAGGAATTTTAGGAAACCTGACTTGTTTCCATAAAGATTAAAAAATGGGCAGAGGGAGGATAACAGCTGCTTACCCTGTGTAGTGTTACTGTGTGCTGTTCCCAAATGACTGTCTCCTCCATCGCTGCACTCTAGAAGAGAGAGGAACACTGTGTTCAACATTCAGGATCAAACCAACACGTTCTATTCTTTTAAAAACGATCCACGGCTTTAAAGACATCAAGTCGAAGCCACATATATATCATCTGTCCCCGTGATCAAATGATCCACCCCGTGTCCTGAAATCAAAGCCACACAGCACCCCGGCCGTGTCTATCGCTGACCTTTATGTTCAAAAAGGTCAGCCATAATTGTTTTTTCAAAAGAAAGAGTTATTTGGGAAATGTAATTGCCTTCTTAATGTGAGAACATGGTTCCAGGCAAAAATGTCTAATCTACACTTATTCAGCAAAAAAAAAAAGAAAGAAAAAAAAAGATAGAGAATTAATAATAATGAATAGACCTTGTATTTTTTTTTACCAGTTCTGTGAGAAGATGATAGCCGAGGGAAAAATAATAATGACATTTTGATGGAAGCTAATTCTATGCGACGCCATTAGAGCAGCTCAATTTAACTTATCCTAAAAGACATATCTCAGCTAACCAAAGACTTAGTCAACACCAACAACCAAAGAGGATAACACAAAGGTGGACTGATGCGGGCGTCCTCTGAGTCTGTGCATCACTTCCCCGATACTGCAGCCTCATGACACATTAGACATTATTAGTCACTCAGTGACTGCATATAAAATACTATCAGGTTCATGTCTTTGGGGCAAATTACAACCTATATCACAGCAGCTAATGCAATAACCCCCACCATTTTTCATATAAACTGATCCCGACTCTTTGACTTTAATAGGTGAGAGAGGCATCCAGCACCATATTTCAGCCCTGCATTGTTGGCGAGGACTTGGGTCCCTGAAAACGTGATGGAAGCCAAGTGAGAAGAGGGTTTATCTACTATGTAATCAGCACTGGCTGAACATCCAGGATTCTCCATTGCCATCATGCTGGCAGTTTTAAACCCAAAATGTGAAGAAAAGTCACAACGGGATCACATTGAGGAGCGATATGCTTACCTCCGCATGACTCTTTTAAACCTGCACCGCTATCAAAAGCAAGAGACGATCACTATGAGGAGGGGAGACCAAAAAGGATAGGACAAGAGGTCTTGTTTTTTGTGTTGTTGTTTTACCAGCAGAGTTTTCATGAAAACATCACCCTGATGTCTGTTACGACCTGTTGGCCGAGGGCCAAATGCAGGCGGTGCAGAACACAGGCGGCTGAATAAATCACCACAAGTGGTCCCAGGCGTTCTCAGTTTGGCAGCAACAGTCACAAACTCCTAAAGCAGCTTATGGTGGGAGACACACAAAGAGGCCAACAAACGTCTGAACCAGGGAACTCCCACTGGCCATTTAAACTGAACACACAGCAGTCGAGAGAAGGGCAGGAAAGAAAATCATAGCCCTCAACAAGTCTGACCGGTGTGGTCTGGTAAACTCTCTTTAGGAAAAAGGATTCGTTACCATGCATCTTCTTGATCTGCATCAGCAGAACGCTACACCGGATTCTTCTCTAAATCTAAAACAGATTTTCTTTTCAACTTAATAAATCCAAATAGGTTTTTCTCACTTCATATTCCAGCTTTCAGAAATCTTTACAGAGACCAGCATGGAATGGAAATGTAAGCAAACAGAGCTAAACGGCAAAAATAAAAACCTAACCAAGTGCTGGAGGAACAAACAAAAGGCAGATTTAGCTGGTCCTGCAGAACGCATACCAATCTCTCTCTCTCTCACACACACACACACACCTTTCATTTTGAAGGGATGTAACTTCTGCTCCCGTGGAGCTTGTTGTCCTGGTAACGAGGGGGACAGTGTGGCTTTCAAGTGGCCTGGCATTTTCAAAACGTATGAGGATGTTTGTAAAAGAAATGTAGTTCATAAACTTATATCCTTTTCATTTTGGTTTTACATTTGACAAAATGGACAAATACAAGTCAGAATTTAATTCAGTGTTCCTTTGTGGTAAAATGCTTTAAAACAAGAAAAAAAAACATACAGAATTTAGAGTTAGCATCAAACCATCATCTCAGGCAAGTTAAGTGAAGAAAAAGCACCCAGTGACGGATGGTTTTAGTCAAAGGACTGTGAATGCCCTTTATGACCACAAATGACCAGTGCCAAGAGAAACGTGCACCGAGCCAGAACCAGGCCTGGCAGCCGGGCAGCCTGGTTCTGGCATGGAGTCACGCCATGTTGGTTGGGTCATGCTTGGGGGATTACAACAAGGCAACTTGGGAGCCAGCATTAGGGAGCACAGATGGACATAGCAGAGAACGGAGAAAGGAGAGAAAGGCCCTGATGGGCTGCTGCTCTTTGTGAGTGAAATCCTTTTATTTTCATTAATAAAACAGATCATAATCAACTCATTTAGTCCGACCCGTGGTCCAAAATGTTGCAGAACAGAAACTTTTTTTTTTCTGCACAGAAACAAAGGAAACAGATATTTGAGAAGATTTTTTTGCTTAAAATACGAGTGACCGTCTTGCTCAGGATGTTGCTCCACAGAACGACCCACTGGGAGGATCAAGCGTTGTTCACAATATTCCTGCGCGTATGAATTATTTACGAGAGCAGGGCCATTTACAGCTTAAGTTACCATACAGAGATTACTTCTAGAAGTGATCTGTTACAATAAAACATAGCGACAATAAACATGTAACTACTTGTGTGTCCTGGTGGTCCGACCTGAAGGTGGAACAGCTGTAAATCCTGCCTCCTGTTGGCACACACTGCACCAGCAGAGCGTTCCCATAGCTTATAATCTGACAGTATGAAGATGACGTTTAATGCAAGGCTTGCCACTGAGCCCCTGAAACCTTCATTTCATCAGGAGCTCTGTCAGCTGTTTAACCGAATTACAAACGCTGGAGTACCACACTCATCTAAACTCTGTGCACTTTGTTCATTGTAGCGAGCGCCCTGAGTATTAGGGAGCGTTCAGCAGAAAAACAAATCATTTTTCATCCAAAGAGGGAACAGAGGCAATTTGGGTTGGGTGCTCCATTCTCTTACAAAGAATAGATTTTTTTTTTTTTGCTGTAGTATGGCTTAGGGGTGAGGCAGTCTTATTCAATTCTGACCACTCCGGGACCAGAGCAGCTAAAAATAGCTCTCATTAATTCTGCCGTTGTGATGCTGCAACAGTGATTCCAGGGTAAGTTGCAGCAAAAACAATGTAGAACACTTAATAAGCTGTTGTTGGATAAGGGGCCGCAGATTGACTGAAACAAACGATGCAATACAGCACAGAAAATAAATCTACTTTCTCCCCAGAGCCCATTTGTTGGGTTTGGCTCCGGGATCTGAGAATGAGAAAAGGGTCTATCATTTCAGAAATCCTCCACAATCCCAAAGCAGCAGAAAAATACCACTTTTCAGAGTCCAAGCATCGAAACAGTGGGCGCTTCATATTAATGATGATGATGAGTGAACAGCCAACTCAGCAAAATCATTTTTACACAGTCTAACAAACTGTACAAAGCACATGAGACATATTTCTATTATAAGATTTGCACTCTATTATGTCATGATCCAGGGGGGGCTGACAGAAATGACTGAGCCAGCATTAAACAAAATGCTTAAAAACAGTGTTGAAGCTGCACTGTGGCCACAGACCAACAACAGGAGGATCACACTCCACTGTGCCAAAGAGGCAAAAAAAGAGAAGAAAGGCACAGAATAAGATGATTGATCACTTCAGAAAGTGAAATCGATGTGCTGGGGGACTGCTGACAACAGCTGAAATTCTCCTCCCTCTGAGAGCACCGTCAAATGCCAACAAGGGCCTGTGCCTTACCACCAGTGAGGGGGGTCCCCAGAGAGAAAAGTGACACGCTGCACATACAACACGGTCGGACGCTGTACTGCGGATCTGTGATGGAGGGGAGAACGCCTGAGAGATGCAGCAGCGCCGGGGAGGCACCAAGGTCGAGGTGTGAAGCCAAGCCAGACGCAAAAGTCACGGCAGAGAATTACAGCAGAGAAAGATGTGCCTTTTTAAAGGATCACCATTTCCCCTTCGTCTGCATGCCTTCACGTACAAGCATTCAAAGCCGGGTGAAACGCGGGATGCAGAAAATCAAAAAGGCACTTACAACTTCCATCAGTTCATCCTGCTCATGACAAAGGAGGGAGGCAGAAGCAGCCTCAGCTTCTAGCTGCTGCTCCGTCAATCCAGCTGGAGATTCCTGCAGACGCACATCAGCAGCAGTGCATGACCGCACCAATCAGTGCTGATGGGGGTGAGGGGGGGTGGGGGGGGGGG